AACACACCAGCAGCCGTCTGAACCACATACATACGGTGACGTCACGCAACTGAGCCACGTCGTACAGGACCTACAGGACATGCTGAGAGAGGTGGAAGACCTCCCGGCGAGCACCGAGGCCTCACAGCAGCGGCTACACGCCTGCCCTCACTGCGAGTCGGGTTTTGTCTCTGCACATGGCTTACACATGCACGTCACGCGAATGCATCGCGAGCACGTGCAAAGGTACATTCCCCCCTCCTTTGATCGCAGTCGGCACTCCAAGGATGGTCTACCAGGAACAGATGCAGGGTCAGGCCCTCCAGGGCCTGGCGGCCTTTCGCGCCAAGGTGCAGAGTTCGCCCAGCAACAAACTCAGTGCCATTGCCACCCGGCCAGAGGCTCAGGAGCTTAAGCATCGGTGCATTTTGTGCGGTTTTTGGACCCCGGACCATACCAAGCTGAAGAATCATCAACGACAGGCCCATGCACAAGCATGGCAGCGAGATGGTCCGGCAGCACTTCAGCTTTGCAAGGCCTATTCTGTGCAGATGATAAAGGGGCACCCCTGCCCCTGTTGCAGGCTGCCGGTCTATGACAAACGCAAACACCCTGAGCAATGCATTGTCCTGTTTCAGGTTCTGCTTGGGTGGCACAAGGTGCAAGGCACGGACAAGATGCGGGAACAATGTTCCAAGCCTCATCCCAAGACCGCGGTGACAATGTCACTTAGTGGCTTTTTTGGGGCTGCAGACAAGCCAGCTACCGCGGCTGCATCACCCACTGTTGCCATGGCAACGACGGGCGCCGTCGGCAGCACTCTCCCGCCAGGCCTGTATTTTCGTATGCGACACATGGTGAACTCGGGTAACACCTGCTATGTCAATGCGACCATTCAGGCCCTACTAGCCGCGCTAGACTCTGCGTCCAATGTAGCGGAACTGGGACCACTGGTCCAACACTGCATCAACCCGGAAGCGGATCCAATGGATACGAGGCACATAAACCCCCCAAGCCTATTCGCTCTCCGGTCCTTAGTGCCTAGATGGCGGTTCGATGGCCGTCAACAAGACGCCTCCGAATTTGTCACATACATGCTAGAGCACAACACGGGGACTCTGCAACCCGCTCGCTGGGAAGGACGCACTAATGGAGTGCCGGAAAGTGAGGATGACGGCCTCACGCCGTTGCTGCTGCCCCTTTCCTCAGCCTGTCGTACACTGCAGCAGGCCTGCCGTGCATGGTATGACCACACGTTCCAGCGCGCCCTGGCATGGGCCCCTGACATCCTGCCAGTCACAATCGCTCGATGGATGGACGGCACAAAACGACGCACCCCGCTGGACCTGCGCAGGCACCTCTCAATGCCGTCTTGGATTGAGGGTCAGGGCCGGCAATGGCCTCAATATGCAGTCATTTCGGGAGTTTTTCACATAGGTGCTGACATACACTCCGGCCACTACCGGTCCTTCTGTATTCACCCAAATGGAGGCGCGCTGTATGTGGGGGATGATGCCACCCGCCCATACCCAGCCTCGGCCTCAGATCGCAAACATGTTATGGAAGACTGCTACCTCCTTTTCTTGAGAAGACAGGAGTGACTCTGACTCACCCTCAAGGGGTGAGTGCTGGCCCTCAAAACCTAGGAATGCGTGCACCAATAGGGTGCCTGTGCGTGGGAAGGCCGGACCCCACAATAGGTGGGCATGGCCCCCCCCACGTCAAGGCCAAGCATGCTTTAGGCATGCGCAGGCTTACCCGCAGCTTTTCAGGCTGACCCAGCATGGCTGACACGATCCACAGCCCGGACCACAAAAGTGGTCGAACCGCCTCTCCCCTGGCTCCAGATTCACTAAGATTCACTAATGGGAGAGCCATCTGAGCCGCTTGGGGTCGACACTCGACGCCAGACATCCGGAGCCGGCAAGCAGCGGCAAGGCAGCGCCCTGCATGCCCTCTCCAACGCTGCAACCAATGGTGCCACTGGCAGACTAAGCAGTAAGTCGCGGAGGCCATGCCTGTTCTCACTTGCGTCTCTTCCGAGACAGACTGATGGCCCTTCTGCCGGATGCCGCCGCTGTCAGTCGGAAATCATGCCCTAGCCTGCTGCCAGTCGCGCTACTGCTGCTCTGCTGACAGCATACACAACGCGAATTCCGTTTCAATGTTCAGGTACATACAACAATCTGGAGCTTGATACCCTGCAGCCTGCAAACTCGCTTTGGTTGATCACTGCCAGTTAGCTCAAAGCCTGTAGGCCGCAACCACTCAAAGGTCTTTTGACCTGGGCGGATCAGCTATAGGGTCTGAGTCAGTTTCACACCAAAGTGAGTGCACCGCGGCAATCGCCCGCTATGTGCAGAGCCCGCTCGCACAGCGTTCAATTGAAAAAAAAATAGTAGTAGTAGTAGTAGTACTAGTAGTAGTAGTAGTAGTAGTAGTAGTAGTAGTAGTAGCAGGAGAAGTAGAAATAGTAGTATTAGCAGTAGTAGTAGTAGTAGTAGTAGTAGTAGTAGTAGTAGTAGCAGTCGATCGTAGTAGTAGTAGTAGTAGTAGTAGTAGTAGTAGTAGTAGTAGTAGTAGTAGTAGTAGTAGTAGTAGTAGTGGTAGTGGTAGTGGTAGTGGTAGTGGTAGTGGTAGTGGTAGTGGTAGTGGTAGTGGTAGTGGTAGTGGTAGTGGTAGTGGTGGTAGTAGTAGTAGTAGTAGTTGCAGTAGCAGTAGCAGTAGCAGTAGTAGTAGTAGTAGTAGTAGGAGCAGCAGCAGCAGCAGCAGTCGCCGTAGTAGTTTTTATTGTTGTTGCTGTTGTAGGCAGGTTAGTTAGTGTTATGTCTGTGTTTACGATTAGCTTTCATTGTCGGGGGCTGTCAATCTTAAATCTTCAATGACTTGAATGAGCATGATCGTATGACGGTTGCCTTCCATTAGGAGTAGCATGATGACACTTAGAACGAGTGTTCTCGCTACTACTAATACGCTTAGTACGACTGTACTGCTTACTATTCCCTTCCTCCGAGTACTCACGGCCACGCGAATATTGTTACTTTTCTGCATTGTTTCGTGGAGCCTTTGGCCCTGCGATGCGACTGGATACACACTGCAAAGTGTATTCCGCCAGCGTGGACACCGATCGATCTCGCCACAATGACGACAGCAGAACAACAACCAAAATGTAGACGCTGTCTAGACAGAAAAAATCACTCAGCTGCTATGCTTGCAATAGATATTTGCTCATTTAGTGACGGCAGTGGGACTAGCCATCGCAGAAGCCGTGCTTAGCAGTATACATCCTGTCAATGGGTAGTAGTTGTGGTACTAGTTCTACATAGTTCTGCAAGGGGTGGCTATATCTCTCATCGCGGGGTCGTGTACACATCCATCGGCTTCCACACTGACTGCTGCAAGCCGTAACGGTATACGTCGTCCAGGAGTCGACAAATGTTGACATGTGTCTGACGAACCCCGTTCCGTTCCCTCCAACTCTCAGCTCGACCCTGGCTAGCCTTCAGGCCGAACTTGGCTCTGGGGGGGCCCTGATCACCAGTACGCCGGCGCGTGCCTTAGCAATGTCCAAATGCTCATCGCAGACAAATTCAACTAGTTCACGTGCCTGAAAATGCACCGACATCTTCGTAGCCACGCTTCATGGCATAAGACTGTGCATGAATCAACACTGTGATGTCTGTACTCCATACTGGTCTCTACCTTGTCTTTGCCCTCGAGATGTGGACAGCATGCTGAGCTTGGTCAAGACTGCTTCGACGCGTGGGTGTAGCTGCACGTGCCCTATCAAAGGTCGTGCGAAGAGCTATACGGCCGAGCATACTCTGGCCTGGCTTGTTCGGTATCGGTTGTCGCAACGTTGCCATTGCATTCACGCATGCAGATGTGTGCTAGATCTGCATTTGAGGGGTCATGAGAACTGTACAATACCTGCGCTAGTGGCTGCACGCTTGGACCATATATGTTAATCCGCACTCGGAACATCGCACTCAAGTGGCATCAAGCAACAGCTCTAGGCTCTAGGCTATAAAGTCCATTGAGCAGCTTCTCATGCACCTGCTGCCTATTTTCACAGGATCAGTCACGTGCAAGTCGGCTGGCCGTCGAATTCCAAGTCAACAACGAGACCTGCAACACGCAACAGCAGGCATGGCACTTGCAACAGCAAACAGAACCGACAAGCCAATCCGAAGAAGCAAACTGGTGGAGAATATCCTCAGCTCCGTGCACGATGAGCTTCACCGATCCCTTAAGGCCAGTTGCATTGGGTGAGCCTGCGCCTGACGCACGAACATGGGCTGCGCAGCACAGACATTGCAGCTGCGAAAGCTTGAAAACGGTTTGTTGCCTTCAGCCCTGGCAAGATCTTCGGCCGCTTAGGATGCATGTCAACCTCTCTGCCTGGCACACAGGTCACCACCAAAGCAGACTCCTAACGTGGCTTGACGCAACTCCGGGAGCCCTCCCGGGCTCTCTCTGTGTGTCTCTCCGTGTCCCTGGTCCCTGCTCGTCTTTCTGAATCTTCGGACAGATGAAAGTCCCCAGCCGTGGCAGACGTGCTGGGCGTAGGAACTGATGGCCACTGGACACACAACCTGGGTCTAACTAACATCTTTCGCCGGGCCTACGGGGGAGGTGAACCCCACAGCATTCTATCTCAGCTGCTTGGTCCCAGCTTTTATTCCGAACAGAAGCCTGACCCGCAGCACTTCCTTCATTCCTTCCCCGGAGAAAGAGTCTGACTGTCTCTATCTCTTGCTTTTGCCAAGGCTGGGGGCAAAAGGAGCGACCCTGTGTCTGTCTTTGCTTTGCTCGCGGTTTGAGGCAGGAACTCTCTCTCTCTCTCTCCCTCCCTCCCTCCCTGCTTCCTCTCCCTGCCGTAACAGGTGTGTCAGGACAGACAGCAACAAAACAAAAAGGGGGAGCGAGAGAGAGAAAGAGCAAGCAAGCAAGCAATAAAGAAAAAGGACGTCTGTAGCAAGGGACCTGGGACCACGTCAACATATCACTCAACCCTTGCCTCAGAGCAGGAAGGCCAAGTCATTGATCTTGGAAGCATAGCCGAAGTACACGCTGCCAAACCTTGCAGCAAGGCCACGCATGCCACGCTGCACTGTCCGTCTGCTGTCGCATTTAAGCCGAGTGCTTGCCAGTGCCAGGCACGTGAAACGCTGAGTAACCTGGCCACATCCTCGAAACATGCGACATAAGTGACATGAGCGTGAATTAGGTGGGGGCCTCCATGTTGCCACAACACAAATGTTTACCGGTTTGAGACGGGGACAGCGAACGCAACGTGACCAAGCCGCTCTTCTCTGGCTCCTGGAGGTCCGGGCAACACTCTCTTCTCAAGAGCCGTGGAACTTTGCACAGCCTTCCAGGTCTCCTGCCGCACAGCCCAGCACCCTTTCGGCAAGTCGTCGGCAAGAGAATCCAGAAAGTTGGACTGGAACTCCAACTCGGCACATAGCTGGTCGCATACGTGGCTAAACGCCTCGGTGCAGTTGAGGGCCGGACATCGTTCGAAGCCTGCGCCTTCAGGCTCACGACCTCAGCATATTTGGGGATCTGATAAACCGCACATTCTGGGCTTCTGCCGCCTTTGAAGCGCTGACGCTTGCTGGGGGTCTGAAGTGCACGTAGTTCTCCAACAATGTAGCCTGCAGGAGGACTCGGAGCTCTGCAGATCTCTGCTCTCCACGGAGGTCCGTTCGCTCGCGGGGCCTTCGCAGGCTCGAGGCCTCGGAAGGCGCTGTTCGGAACCACCACCTGCCGACGCAACGCAGCACGCTCTCAACGCTGAGATCGTGATCTGCAGGCCGCCTGGCCTGCGCCTCATTCAGCGAGTAGGCGCCTGCCAGCTCTCTAAAACCCCCCATCCTCCCATGCCCTAAGCCCGGAATGCTTTGTCCGAGCCTTTGGGCACTGTTGCAGTGTCAAAGTCGATCTCCTGTCCGGACGAGCTTCAAGTTACCTTCGAAGACTTCTTGAACTACAGAAGTGCAACACGATCTGGCCCTCCGATTATCCTTGCACGAGCCCAAATCCTGACGACGACCCCGCATGAGCACCACTCAACTCCAAGCTACTCTCCCCCCGACACCAATCAAAATCCCAAGCCTCCCCACCATCCCCGAAGCTTCTGGAACACATCTCGAATTCCCCGCAAGGGGCCCCATGGAATTACAAAGAGACACCATGAGATGCTGCATTTGGGACACACGTGGGCCTGGACTAGCAGCGTGAGCCTGTCCAGCTCAGTCAGTGCTGGCCCTGCCTCTCAAAATTGCCAACACACAAATGCCCTGCTGTCACCAGTAACCGTAACCACCGAAGCTTGTCAGGACTGCCTTGGGCTCCACACCTGCCAACGAAGATAAAATCAAAAAGGGACAGCGAAATCGTTTCGAGGGCAGGCCTCCCACTGATTCCAGCAATGCAGTGGGGTCGCCGGTCAGCGGAGTGGTCTTATCATTCCGAACAAGACCAGAACTAGAGTCTCAGACAACTGTTTCAAAAAACGGCTTTCAGTTGACAAAGCCTGTGCTGGGTTGGACAAGGTTCCATTGTGGACAGCCTATATAGTTAGATCACAGCTGAGCACACCACCAACTGTAGCATGGAGACGGCTTCACCAACCTGGCTTCTGCACTTTGAGGTACATCCCCGAGCCTTCGTCTGATATCATGGAAACGGTACGTGAATGAGATCTAAGGGCAGTCCGGAAGTAGTCTCGCGTACAGAACACCCTCTACGAGTGTGAACAGGTTTTGTGACATGACCCTGCCGGGGATACAGGCTGACTGGCTGGCATTGCATGGAGATATATCGTGTCAGTTAAAAGAGTGCATCGACACGCATGCCTGCAGGTCTCTTTTCCGGCCTCCTCGGACAAGTCCGGCATTGCCTTGAACTTAAAGTCCTGTGCATTTCGACCCTGACACGCTTCGCGCCGCTACAGTACTTCCACGCGGGCCCTGGCACTGATCTGCCGATGCAAGCATCCCCATCCTCGCCGGCATAGAAGAAGCGCTTGTTAGGATACGCAGGCTTCAGGTCCCGAATCTCGCACCTGGCGACATGCGTCCCCCAGGGTCGAAGCTACCATGTGGGCATGAGGCATCACATGGCATCACAGCAGTCAAGTGATCCACAACCAGTCGGCGCTGCGCTATGAAGTAGTCCCGCTCCTCACATGCCAGATGGTATAGGGAGCCTGGACAAACCTTCACCGGGCTTGTTGGAAAGCTGGTCCTTCCCAAGGATCTTGCCCCAGAACTGGATCACCTTGAGGAGACGTGGCAACTTCACCAGCTGAAAGTATGGCATCGTGGACTGAGAGACATTCTTCTTGAGGGCAGCGCTGGGTTCTTCTCAGTTGCCTTGAGCAAAGTGAGACCTGCCTGGCTCTGTGAGACACAAGGCCAAAAGGCAGGAGTGTATATAGCCACAGCGGGAAATCCGATGCCTGGAGGCAGGTTATCTCCTCGCAGCTGAGAACATGGCCCCCGGAGCTCACGGGGAGGCCTTCCAGGTCCTGATGCGCAAGGACGGTTTGAGTTCCAGCAGATCAGGGTTGAGGTTCTCCGATTTAGCATATACTTCGTGGACTTGGCAGCGCCGGGATTGACTTCGGCTGCGTGGGTTCGCTCCGGTCACGATTCAATGCTGCACCCGGCCTCCGCGTTCATGGCAGCGAAGGCACTTGCGCAGAGCTTGCTGCGAGAGGGCTTGGGCCAGTAAAAGCGAGCGTTAGCTGCCGTAACACTTGCAATGGATGACGCTGGGGATCGCCACTTCTGAAGTAGCACTCCTGAGGGCAGCAGTGGCTGCTTGATTCTGCTTTGCATTCCACAAGCCAAAAACTGGAAAGAATTTGAGGCACTGTGTGAAACCATGCTAGGCTTTCACGAGTCTGCACCCTGGACCTTGCCAGTGAAACTAGCCGCAAGTTGCATCGCTCGTGCGCTCTCCGGGGCACTTCACAGTCTCACAAGTCTCAACCTTTCGACTTGCGATTGACATTCCGAGCATGTGGGCTACACAGCCACACGGACATGCTCAGTTTGCGCTCAGCTCGATCGCAATGGTCGGCTGGAACTTGATAACTGGCAAAGACTCAGATGCGACCATACTTGCGAGAACGACCAGAAACTCGTCTCTGAAGGCATTTCACGAGCCGGGCTGACATGGTGGGTGTGGCTTGTTGTTGTAAACATCAATGACCTTCCCATCGTTGTGGATGCCCACGGCAACCTGCACAGCAAGGCAACGACGGCGCAGGGTGAGGTGAGGGCGACATTTCTGCGGCCTCGTTGGGATTCTGGTTCGGTCCAACCTGCTTTCCAGAGATGCAAAGGCTGCATAGAAATGCAAAGCCAGATCTGCGATCGAAGGTTGGAGAGCCCTCACCTTGCGGCGAGAGAAGAGCTGAAAGTTTCCCAGCCCAGAGGGTCGCAACCTCAAGATATGGCATAGCACACCCCAACAGCCTTCGCCCCAATGCTGGGAGTCTTGCATGAGCCGCATACCCGGGGACAAGGAGATGGAGATGTCCTGGTAAGCACGCAAGACGTTATCGCCAGAGGGAAATAATGGACATGCAACCGGTGGCCAAAGCACTGGATCCGGCAAACCAGATTGAACATGCAGCGAGCAAGAGTCACCTTCGACTGGCGCGTTGGCGCTCTTCGTAACCTTTCCTCAGTTGCCCGTCCATTCAATCTGGGAGCATACTGTATGAAAGGGGAACGAGACATCTTGAAGTCCAGCCACCATCTTCCACCGCTGCTTCATCTCTTTTCCCTCACATTCTGGTGATTTGCGAGTGAGCTGCAAAGTCAAGAGAAAATGTTGACGGTTCGAGTCGCCGGCCTCCGCTGTGTCTCCAATTCCCCATTGGAGTTGAGACAGCCTGAACAAACTGACAATCAGGTGACCCAGAGCATGGAGCACCCACAAATCCTCTCTCAATCTAAATCGCTGCGATGGACAGAATACATCGACAAAGAGCAGAACGCTCCAACAACAGACATAGCCACTACACCGACTAGTGGCGTGGGCAGAAGCCCTGCATGTCTTCAAACAGGGAGGGCAGCACACCGACTCCCTCAATAGGGCCTAGCCATCACATCATCGCAGTCGTCGCAGTGCCGGCCTCTTTTCGGCCCTGTCCCTTTCTGTGTTGCTGACGAAGAGGGGCCGAAGCTCTTCCACCTTTCAAAAATGGAGTGATGCACCGTTTGGATGTAGATTGACTTGATTGCAGAACCACCTGAGAGTCGTAGTCTGACATGGCCCCATGAAGCATGCGCAGCTTCTCCTTGACGTCAAGCTCGCCTGCGCAGGGCTGCGATCTTGAAAAGCAAAGGAGGACTTAAAACCTAACTGCATGTGACACGCCGGGCGCACGCTTCTTGCGGCGCATCTTCCGCAGCAGGTCTTTTTTCAAGCGCTGGTACAATACCTGCTTGTGCAGACGATGGCCTCATGGCTACTTTGAGACTGCAACCGGCCTGCTCCACGATGGAGCGCTGCACCAGAAAGATGGAGTGCAGCCTAAGAGAGCATGCACACTCCAGTGTACGCCGTGAGGTCATGGCACCGACAAAAGTGCCGACAAGCAGTAGGGAGCCCAACTGCTTCTCAAGCTCCTGCTTCAGGCCCTGTCAGAACACAACCCTTTGCACGGATGATTGCAATAAAGAGGTTCCGCGGTGGTCCGTGGGAACCGCGGAACTGCATCCGGAGCCGTCTGCCGAACTCCACCGACAGCAACTCGCTCGAAACACATGTCTACGTGCGTCGAACTTGTCCAATGCCATGTCAATGTGCAGCCCGGAGGAGTCTCTTCGGCCTCTCTCTCTGTGGCGCAGGCGTCACTCGCCCCATTCATCTTCTCCCTTGCAAAAGAGTTTCTGTGAGGACACCAGATCTGTCGTGCCGAAGGTCTGAGCGCAAGAGGCTCCCTGTTTCAGAGGGTCTGGACGTGTAATTGCTGCCCCGCATTCGCGGAATCGCTTCCAGGCGTCGGCTGTGAAACCGTGGACTGGACTCCAAACAGCCTTCAGACGTAAAGCAACACAGGATTTCGGAAGAGAGTTGCTGAGTTAAGAGAAACATGCTCGATGACAATGCACACGAGATCCGTTCTCATGGCTGTGCAGGATTCTTGCCCATGAACCAAAAATCCGCCTCACCACAACAGCTGCATTCTGCAGGCTGGTGTAAACGGCGAAGACGGGAATTGCAGAAACATTTGCATGCCAAAGGCATGTTAGCACTCACGTGCGAGGTTCGCCCTTGCAGAGGAGGCACCGTCAGGAATGTCATCGCAAGAGCAGTCTGGGCGATCAGCCTTTGTGTCAAAGATGTTGGCGCTCGGGTTGCACCGCAGGCCTGGAAACACAGTAAATGGCCAGTGCAGCGCCCCTGCAACCGTCACGCGCCGCGCCTGGAGGAGCGACAAAACCGTGGAGTCAGGAGCATGGCCACCAAAGCAACCACCTTGCAATACACCACGGCGACTGGGACCACACGCAAAGGGAGCCTCATGCTACCAGCGTGCCTCCACGGCAGCTAGAGCAAGACACAGTCCTGCAAAAGAGTCCACGGGACGGGACCCTCCTCGACAGTCCGAATCTGGGCGCCACTCCTCCCATGGCTCCGAGAGCCCCTCGGTTGCCAAGGCCGTTCCTCCTCAGTGGACAGGTCGGTGAGTCTCGGAATGTGCCGCCTTGAGAGGCCCTCTGGGTGCCAGCTGAGCAAGAATGAGCCGTTTCTCTGCCACTCCCCAGTCATGCCAGATCTGACCTTGCCGATGCTCCAGGCTCTTGAGCTCATGCTCACATTTTTAGCGCTCTCTTTGAGCATTCCTGAGGCGGCTGCTATTCTCCTGAAACTGCACCTTGTAGCTCCCTTGAGGTAGTCCTCCCTTGATTACCGCCTCAGCTGCATTTTTGCAAACAAGCTGAGTACTAGCAGCGAAAGACCTGAAAGGCTTCGTGCAATTCGACCTCCACTCCCAAGGACTGTGCCCACAGATTGCGAACATGTGGGGAAACCGGAGTTCGGTACCACACCTTGCAAGGACTCAGAGGCTGGTTCGCTACCCCATCCTCTTATTGTCGGTGGCTGTCCTAGCACCTATAGCTCGAGGGTCTTGCCTTCCAGTGCTCAAAGAAGCTTGGGGTCAGCCAGGTCTGTGTCCTGCCGTCGCTCAGAATCGCTTGTTCAGCAAACGGACATCAACTGGCGCCAGAATCCAATTGCACGGAATGCCGCAGTCCGCAGTCCTTCGGTCCGACCTTGGCCCAGAAATCTGTACTCCCAAAGCTAGCAAGCGTTTAAATGAGATCCAAAGCTCACGACATCGGAACTTGGAAACCTCCCCCCAATCAGTGAACTGCGCTCTTCGCTTGGGCCCGGTCTCCTCTATGTAAAAGCGCTCCTCGCCTGAACCCAACAGAGCGAAGAGGCGAGCATGGCACGGTCAATCGCATCGCAGCAAGTCTTCGTCGCACGGACCACCAAGTTTAGCCACACGGGCCTTCAAGCGGAGAATTGATCTTCCCGTACCTCAAAAGCGGCGGCTTCCGGTGCAGCTTGGAAAACCTTGCCGACACATCATGTCTTGGGTTGGGACGCTTCCTCGTCTGATGCAATGGCGATATCAGATTCATTGGCATCCAACCTGAATGCAGCTGAATACGTGAGAGAACATCAGTACCACCAGGCACATTGACTCTATGCCCGTTGTCTCAATTCCACACATCACGGAGTCGTTGCAGTCCCTCGGAGTCCCTGCCTTTCCCAGCCAGCAGTTGTATCTTGGTAAAAGGTAAAGTTGTCCGTGAACCTTGGCTGCGAGCAGTGGATGCACATCCGAAGCAGAGTTGGCGAAGCTGGGAGCTGAGCATGGAAAGCGACACGAGACCGCAGGGAATCAGGTCATCACCATCCGCAGCTGTAAGGGCAAACACAGATCGAGTTTGGATTCACTGGTTCTGTGCGTAACTTGAGCAACGGGGAGCTACAGCAGCTACAGTCCGGCACCTTCTACCTTGGTCACGAAAGTGGTGTCGACGCCCCGGCGTAGCCTCTAAAAGTTGCCAGTTCCAGATCTTGAACAAAATCGCAGCTCTTGTCTAGTCTGACAACATGAGCACAAGGGGTGTGCCTAACCCAAGAGCGGCTGTCCGCATGGGTGCAGGTTGCCGCTGACAGGAATGTGTAGGCCTCGAGGTTGGCTGAGGGCACCCTCCCCCATCACAGCATTAATTGCTTGCTGCTCCAACTGCCAGAGCCAGTTCTGCACACTGGGATCAAGACAATCCTTCGGTCTTTGCTTTCCGCGAAACTGTCAGGGGCGACATGACTGCTTGTAATGTCAAGCATGTACTACTGAATTTCCAAGTACAGTGACCAATACCGCGGAGAGGCTAATTCGGCAAAATCGGGAAGGGGGGTGAGGAAGGTATGTGTTACATCCTTACAGCTGTCTCCCGTGCACGATTTGCCCAATGGCTGTGGCACTTCTGCTGCCGATGCTCGTGCAACATGATAGCAGTGGGGAGGCGGGTACATCACGGCGCCTTACGGTTCAAAGCCTGACCGTGCTTCAAATTGTCGTGATATGCTGCCATCTTTATGAGTTGCTTCCGAGGCAGCGCGGCTTCAGTACTCCCACTCACAACCCGGTAACCCTCTGGCTAGATTTATGTTCCACATCTCGTCGCTGCTTCTTGCAACGTGTCGTGAGAACTGAAAACCGTCGTCCTTCCTTCGTTCCTTCCTTGGGCCAGAGCCTTTCACAGGACACGTGCTTTAAGCGCTCTCGCAATATCATGAACCCATAAGGTCAGGAGTATTGCGACCCCCAAGCGGCCCATCGTTGTGACTGTTGGCACGTTCGAGAGGTTGCTTGCTTGTTTGGTGGGTGGGTGTTCGGGCTGCTACCCCTCTCTCTTTCTTTCTTTCTGCTGGGCTTAGGGGTCCCGAAAGACCCGCAGGCTTTCAGCCCGCCCAACCCCCCCACTGTGTTAGTGAGTGGTTGGCATTGGGGCCAATCCAGATTACGGCAGGGAACTACACAGAATGCTCCAGGTTTTCGTGCAGCAATCCCCACTTAGAACTCTAAACCCCCCGCGTCCCGGCCTCATCACCGCGCCCCTATGGCTAGCCGTACCAGTACCTGAGTCCTTCTAAGCAGGGTTCGCCGCAAGGATTTGGAGCAAAGAAAAAGCCGGATTAATTGATCCCCCCTTACTCTCGCACAGCAAGGGTGGATGGCGAATTAGTGGTATGAGGACGGAACAGACTTCGTCAGGCGACGGTGTGCAATGAATTGCAAGAGGGCGGACTGGATTGGCCAAGTAGTGGCGGGGCTCAAAAAGTCGTAATAGACATATATGTTACAGATGGCATGCGTTCGTGCACTCCCCCGGCTGGGTTCGAAAACGTGGCTGCTGCATCGAGCTGCCTGGTAGGCTTTACATCCCCCTGGAAAGGGTTCAAAGGAGAAATGCGGGAACTAAGGAAGGAGCGGGGCAGCAAAACCGCAAAACAAACACCTCTCTCTCTCTCTCTATCCAAATCTGCCTTCACCTCCAACATCCTCCAAATTTAACACACCAGCAGATCTTGACGGTAAAAACGAACACTGGCGAAGCTCGTCGCCTTTTGTGGTTGGCGAGGAGACTCAAGTCGTAGTACACGAGCACCTGGAAAAGATTCTCAGAGTCATTGATGCTTTGAGGCCGCGGCGATGTCAGACTTTCGGTCCTTTCAAACCTCATCTCAAGCCTAAGCCTGCTGAGCCTGCGACATCATCCTCAAAAGCTTGATCTATCGAGAATTCCTGCAGCCGTCGGGAGGGACACGAGCTCTTCCCATCACGCTGCAAGCCAGAGCAGCCGTCTGGAAGCGATCGGCCTTCTCTGTTATGTTTGCAGTGTATGGGACGATCACCTCCGAAAGTCACGCGGCTCTGAGATCTGCTACGGCTACCACCAGCAGCACGAAGCCGCATGCCCCGTTCCGCCTCTTGGAGAGACCCAGACTGCAACAAGAGCACTGTACCCAGGACTAGGAAGAACACGAAGGCGCCCGCAGTTAGCACCTGTGGTGCGGTAGAGCTGTTGCCCTCGATAGTCTCGGTCCCAGCCGAGGCCCATGCCACTTGGCAGCAGTAGGCAAACAACCAATACCTCATCCAATCCGAATATAGTTTCTGCCACGAGTCTGTTAAACTGCCTGGTCGACAGGACAATCACCAGGTCCCGAACGGCAGCATGATTGCCGAGTCGGGCTGCTGCGAATGGTACCAAATACAGCGCCGTATGCCTAAGATTCCACCGTTCACACGATAACACTTTGTGGAAAGCTCTCGGATTCAAGCAGCCGCGTCGTTGCAGATCTGCAGAGTTCGATCTCGGCCTCCATGCATCCCTTGCTCTGACTATCTCTGACAGTTACCTGCTCTCGCACGCACACACACACACACACACACACACACACACCCGCGCGCACACACACACACACACACACACACACCCACGCACACACCAACCATCAACAGCTACATGACGAAGCCCGTTCCCGGTCGCACCTGGACTGTCTGGACTGTTGTGAAAATGCGACGGACGGGGGCCCTGCAAGCAGCGCGGTGCTGAGGAAACGCAGAGGAAGCTCATGCACGGGATCGCGAGATTACTCACCACAATCAGAATCGAATCTAAGCATGTGAGTCGGTGGTTCTGTCTGCCATTCCTTCCACAAGTGTGTGAATGCCGCTTTGCAGTCAAGGGGTAAGCGAGTCCGTGCCTGTCGATTTGGAAACGCAGCCCACGTCCTGGCCCGCAGCCTGGCTTGACGTCAGAGGTCCGAGCTTGTCAGGACTTGTCTACCACAGCCAACCAACTCTCCTCCTAAGCCTTGGCTTTGAGAAGCCTAAATGTGATTTGGAGTCCCGTGGCCCTGAATTTATGAAGGTGTTGAGCCTCTGCTGGGACGTTGCGGTCCTCAGAAACTCCGGGTCGTACAAACAACTTGTTGGCGCTCAGACGCTGGGCTGCTCACATCGTCTTTGGCCTGCTCCTTAGTCTACCGCATGCGGGGACAGGCCTTGACCGGGATTGCGCTTGTATCAGATCACCTACACCCTCTCAAGCCGGGAGTGGTTCGAACTGCTGCAAGATGTTATCGTCCGCTTCTTTCACCATCTTGCGCGTTGAGATGGGCTCCTCCTGGCGAGTCATGCTTCCGGCTCCCTGCAAGATCTGCTTCCTACTTCTACAGAGATCTGCCGTGTGCACACCGAATGCAGCTCAGCGCGTTGCCTTGTCTGCACCATCACCTGGGGAGCTTGACTTGCGCATGAGTTTGCAGGGTGCGTGGAGGCTGTTTTGTTGGGGCATCTTCTCCGCAGACCTGCCGCGAAACGGCTTAAGACATGCTGACAGCCCTTCAGCTATCAGCTCTGGCTTTCAGCATGCAACATGCGACAAATATTGCTGCGCGAACCACAGCAGGAGCCACTAGTTGGCTCCGAACTAATTGACTTGCCTCGCATCTCACAGATGGCATCTAGGACAGGTGTAAGGCCACAGAGGTACACGATGTTGCGAGGGCCAGGGCCCCAAGTTGTTGTCAGATTGCAGACTATTATTCGCACGGGTTCAATGGCTCCGGTCGTAGGTATGCTACTGCTACTGTTGCGTCTCGCTCTGCTTAGCATGAGCATCTCAGGGCTCTTATGATCTCTTATGCGCGAAAGGCGACAGGTACAACGATCCAGCTCCAGGATCCATTACAGGCGGCAACGCAAATCTGCCGCTGCCGCTCAGCTCGCTCAGCTCCGCTCACACCTCAGCTTTGCAGGTCAAGGTCGCAGCGTCACTCTGCGCCTGGGCCTGCTGTGAGGGCCCACACGTGATATGAGGGCCGCCAAGCAACGCGAAACTAAACCACCCGTGTCTGTACCTGCCGGGACCATGACGGGACGGCACAAATCGTAAAGCAAAGCATGTCATGGCAGAGATAAGCAGAGAGGGCAGAGATTGGCATGAGTGCGCGAGTACACCTAGCAGATCTTGGCCTGGGTGACTCTCATCAGCGGCGCAGGCAGCCCGCTTGATCGAATGGCCATGCTCAGGGGCGGCATGACCTTCACCCCATCTCCCCGAAGACATCAGGTCATCAGGATAGCAGAAAGCAGACATGTCCTGAGCCTTGCCTGCCCCTTCCAATCACGGGCAAAGGGTACGGCAATGGTGGCTCTACTCGGCGGCTTGACATCCCGAGCCTCCCTGAAGGGGTCCTGCAGGATGTGGCATTCGAGTCGCACCAAAATGAGCTCAGACTGTCATCTCTTGTGGGTCTCCTTAACCATCTGCGGAGTGGCCACCATCCGGGGCATGGATTTGATCGGTGTAGTCGTCTGCTCCTGGCCCTGCGGACTTCCAAACATGAGAAATAAAACTGTGCTATCCTGTACTGAGCCACATTATCACGAATCTCGCTCAGTTCTGCGCCGACGAGGTCATCTTGGTGGCTATCACGACTCTGTCCTGCTCGCGGGCTTACTAGGCTGTGGATCTAGACACCTTTCAGAGCTGATGTCCTGATAGTCTTTCCGTCCCCTAATGCTGAAACGGAGTGGTAATATGGGTCCCGATTCCCCGATCAATCGTGACTCTCCTGTGCGGGCGGTGTTGGTCCGTCTTGGCTGCGCGATCGGAAATAAATCGGTGCCGACGGCGGCGGAGGCGTGTGCGCAGGCACTGAAGGGTTCCCCAGGCTCCGTCGCCTGAACCAGGGACAGCACTGTAACAGAGCCCTAGAGCGCAGCGCAGGTGTCTACACACAGTTGGGATGCTAAAGCCAAGAAGCCATAGGTTGGCAGGCTGTGCGTTGCTATACCTGGGAAAGTCTCAGACTTTCAACGCAAGACTCAGAGTCATTTTACAATACCACAGAAACCGAAACGAACTTTGATCTTCCACAATCCTCCCTTCTGGCAGAACCATTCGCCTTTGCGTACAAACGTTTGCGGAACACAAGGGATCGTAAAAACTTCAAACAACCTGCTGCAACCCCCAACAAGAAGCCGCTCACACGTTCTTGTTCAGTCGAAGACATTACTGTAAGAGTTGGGGCTCAAGATCAAGAAGCTTCACGAGCAAGGCTGTAAACTGTAAACCTCCTGAAGGGGCTTCTTGCATCAAGGCGAGGTGCTGGGGCCGCGGCACTGGTGGCCCACATCTTGCTATCTCCTACAGGGAACTGCGTCGGTCTGTCAGAACCTCCCCTTGCGTACAGATCGTGAAATTGCATCCCACGCATCAACAACTTGTTGCCAGCTGAGGTCTTTGTGATGCCCAATTCTCAAAGGGACGCCTACTGGAACGGCTCATGCCCACGGCCGCCCATGGCCTGATGGACATTCACTGGCTGCCTGAGTAGGAGGCACACAAAGGAGTTTCGAGTTGAGGGCCACGGGTGTCACGGATTTGGCTCCAGGCTGTGCAGGCACGTAAGGTCCCTGAGAGGGCCTTGACCACTGCACCAGGCCTGTGAGGCTGCGAGGTGCTGCGAGGCTGCGAGCTGAGAGTGATCCCTGGCCCGGGCCTCCCGTGGGCTCCATCGGGGAACAGGTTGCAGCACTCTCCATGCCTGGAGCATGCGCAGCAACGTGCAGTATCCCCCGCTCTTGCCGGCTGGCCTTGTATGGCTGTGACGCTTGACCTTGACTTCACAAAGCAAGCGCAGCTGCGGGACAACGACACTCCCAAAAGGTGTCTGAGGATGGCGGCTCTCTTCCAGGAGAGTTGCTTGGGGAAGCATCATCCCGACCCTCCACAGACGACTAGCTTGCAGCCACTGTGACCATTTTCCTTGGTACCTTGACATTGAAACTGTAGATACGGGTATCAGAGGTCCTCGAAGCTGGCTCCCTGAAGGGTGGTCTTGCTTGAGTTGCACAGAACCTGGAACGAATGCTTTGCCCAATCGAATCGGTGCAACAGGTTGCAACCCAGTGGGTCGCTGGCGCCATCGAAGGTGACGGCTCTGTTCGGAGAAGCCTCCGCCTTACTAGAGAGCGAGCGACAGAGGGAGAGAGAGCCAGAAGGAGGGAGAGAGGGACAGAGAGCGGGACAGAGAGACAGAGAGAGAGAGAGAGAGAGAGACAGAGCGGCAGAGACAGAAGGACAGAGAGAGGGACGCAGAGACAGAGAGAGAGACAGAAGGACGAGGGACAGAGAGACAGAGGGACGGAGAGAGGGAGACAGAGAGACCGGGAGAGAGAGAGAGAGAGAGAAAAAAAAAGAGAGAGACAGAGAGCCAGAGAGAGCCAGAGGGAGACAGCGGGACAGCGCGAGGGGCAGAGAGACACAGAGAGAGAGAGAGACAGAGACAGAGACAGAGAGAACATCAGCCGCAAGAATCGCTGTGCTCTGTGCACCATGGGCGGCCTCCTCGCCCACTTTCTGCAGCAGCTTGTTCAGCTCTCGCGACACGTGGCCCATGGTCAGCCTGACATTTTTCATCACCACCTGTACAGTCATTGCGGATGTGGTCTCTCCACTGAGGCGGAAACTCCAGATTCTTGACCTGAACTTAGAATCCAAAGGGTTTCACGAGGGCCAGCGATTGAGAAGCTTCATCTAGCTCTGGTCCGGGCACTCTCGGCACAGTTTGATGCCTCCAGCAAATAGCGGTCCCGGAAAGCCTTTGCAAGGTTTGGGGAGTCTCAAAGGGACATGAGATCAAACTTTTGGACACATTTTGGGCCTCTTGTTCGCGCCGCACCACCTCCACTATTTGAGTCTGGATCTCCTTGGCACGAGTGGCTTTGCGATGCTCACATCATCGCAAATCCAACGACCAGCTCAAAAGCAGTCTCGCGTTCGGCTGCGAGCTCTGCCTGGCATGTCTTCGCGAACCGAGACACGGAAACTTCGCGAGAGGTGGACATGTCGGAGCACCTCGAAGCTGGGATTTAATCAAAATCCCTTCTCACTCTACAGGTATCGTAGCCGTTGGCTTCCGAGGCACGGGAGTGTGATTGGATCTTGGCTGGCACCTGAGATCGAAACGCCAAATTTGCCACGGAAGAGGCAAGGAAACGCAGGAGCTGTCGAGACCTCTTATTTCAGCCATGGGCATATCGTCTCTTGCGACATCATCTTGAGGTTCACGGCATCCATCTCGACACGCAGCGCGCGCACCTGCACTTCCGCACTTTGGGAATCGCTGCGATAAAGCAGGCTGAAGAAGGCCCCAGGCCCCACATGGCAAAAGAGACCAATGTGAGTGCAACGCCCGCAGTCCACACTGAGCTGATGGCTGCCAATTCTTAAGAAAAAACATGCTGCGAGTCCGACCTCATCTGCCAGCGACATGCTCTGGTACTCGGCAGGTTCGGCAGGCCGTGTGGGGGCGGAAGGGAGCTCGGCCGCTGCCTCCCATTCATGATATGACAGACCACTGCCTGCCACGAAGTCCAAGCTGGCTACGAAGCTCTACCGGCATCTCCCGTCGAGCTTCCATTGACCGGGCACGAATGTCCCGGGCACGTAGTGATTGCTGTTGGTCCTTCGGTGTCCCTTCTGTTGCACGCATGCATGCTGTGCTTATTCCGCGGGCGTTTCCGCATCCGGATCTGCCTCGCCCCGACTGGGGCAAAGCGTGGCAGAGATCCTTGTAGTTCTGATCTGGCTGTATGCCCGCGCCTTTTCGTCTGGGGATCCAAACCCCGAACCCAGCTGTACGACTAAATTCGGAATATTCAAATATTGTCTGAATGAAACCAAACCTTCTACTTAGCCCTTCCTCTCGAATGCAATCTTCAACTCGCACACAGAAGCAGCACGGCCGCCCCATCCCGGAACAACAAAAGCATGTCAATGTGATGACGTCTATCTGCCATGGCGATGCTGCGCCCAAACTACTTGTCTAACAACTTGCTGCAAGCACGGCACTAGGCCGCTAGGCTTGAAAAACGGAAAACCCACACCATAAAGGACGAGCCTGCGCGCCGGCATCGAGCCGAGGTCGAGCATCCATCAAAGCACGAAGCTCCGAGATCTGCTGCTCAATGCAGCAGAACCTCGCAAGACATGGAAATCCGATGGCTGAGTTGATATCAAACGTCTGGCTGTTGCCACGAAATGCAAGCTATTTAGAATATGTAGATGCCCTTGGAATGTGCAAGCTTTTTCGAAACTTCTCCGTCGTCTCGTGGCAGCTATTTCTTGTTGTGCTTGCCAGCACTATAGGAGCCCGACATAACACCAAAACGTAGACTTTTTCAGGCACACGGCATAGGCTTCAATAGTGACACCAGTTCGTGTACATGTGCTTGTCGATCGCTGACAGTACAATGCTTTGCTAAAATGCTAGATCTTATCGGGAAGTAAAATCACACCGCCCGGAATGCTGACTGCTGCTTTGCGCTGCACAGTTGTAGTTGTTTCAGTACTACCCAGCACATGGCGTCTTTGGGCAGTTACATCAGTCAGGCTACGTCTGACCCTGTCTTACCCAGGAATGTCTGGCTCTTGGCCGCCACACTCGCTTAAGAAAATCGAGTTGCTGTGATGCCGTCGAGGAGCGCTTTCTGCTGCTCCCCCCGCAAGTGCTCGGCAAGATCTTGCACTCCCTGCCGGACGGCCTGGAGCTCTGCCTGTGAAGCAAACAGCAGCTAAAGGCCTTTTGCTCAAAAGGTCGCCAGGACACAAAGCATCAGCCTCGACGCCGCTAAGCGGGCGCTTCTCTGGGCCCTCCATGGGCTGGGGCTCCATGGCTTTGTGCTTGGCTCGGGCACTTCTTCGATTGATAGACATCTGTGGCCTGTGCCTGCTCAACATGCTGAGCCCACAAGTTTCCGGGGCTTGTCTTCTATGTCTATGTGTTCTGTCGCTCTGAAGCCAACCTATCGGAATGGGGCAGTGGCGCAGGCCGAGCATGCAGGCAAAGGCAAACTTCACACAGTCTGGCTGAGCTGGTAGCTATCAGGGTATGAACCCGGTAGCATGTTGCCACCAGAAGGTAAAGCCTCAAGCAGTGATTGTCTTCTCCATAGGTGATCAACACGCTTGGCATCTGGAGTGAGGTGCCGGCCAGAACACCACAATAACACGGTTCGCAGGCAAGAGTGAGGCCCTGCACGTTTCGACATGGAAAAGTCACGAGGCGGGCACACAATGCCGAGGAGAGCCCCGGCCCGACCTGGCCCATGCCAAACGTCCCGCGGCCTCAGAAGAGGAAGGAAGAAAAGTCTCCGAGTCTCTTCTCTCCAAGCGGATGCGCTGAGGCTTCATTTCCTGCGGTCTCTGAGGCCATCTGCGCCTCTATAGAGCTGCTCTCGCCATGAGGCGACAGCACCAGGGTGAGAGCATTGCAACCCAGGGAAAGAGGGAATGGGTCTGGGAATGGGTGGAGGACTGGCCATGCAGCTCGATTGCTGTCTGGGCTGGGATTGGGATGGTGTGGCTGTGCCTTGTATATCTTGCTTATAAGGCTTCGGAGGATTTGCGCGGGGGCAGTTGCTGGCTCTGAGCAATGGCGGGCCATCCTTGATCTCATGCACACTGCCCTGCTGCCCCGAACTTGAGCAAACCTCACTGCAGCACGAAACGACGTAACCAAGAATCCATGACCCTAGGGTCCCTGCTCAAGCAACCACCATGTCAACTCGAACATCGAGCATACTACTTCTGCTGCTTGCAGTATCATGGCTGGCACCTGACCGCCACATCAAAGCCTGAGCAGCGGTTGAGGATAGAACCGACTGCAAAGTCTTCTCTTGATGCCTCAAATTCTGTCATCGGGCTTGCGACGACCGATGTGACCAAAGCGACCCGACAGTTTGAGTCGATGCGCGAAAACCGCGAATGATTCGCAGCTGAGCCGCTGCTCAGGGTCCGATTCAGCAGTGTCGAAGCCTGCTGTGGCTTCTGATATTGTTCAGCAGGTTTCTGAATCACGAACAGTAGGCAGCAGGCCTGCTTGCCGTACCGCAGTACAGAGCGACCTTCGGCAGATGCCTCGACAACGAGTCTCAACAGGCATTCCTGTGAGCACAGCCGACAAGGGCCTTCTCCCAACCAGATATCCTTGACCTCAGCTCCACAGGAATTTCGATTTCACGAGTGTCCAAGGCTGTTTCGAGCACCGCGACTGAACAGCTTCCAGCTGCTCTTTCTGTAGCTGCTGACAGCTAGTCTCAGCCTTCACGCAAGCCGAAGAAACCGGAGGGCGGGAGCGAAATCACGAGCACACGAGTGCCTGCCTCTGCTGCAGGGGCTGCTGCTGCTGTGGCCAGGGCTCGGGAAGTCTCCCAGATCCTGCAAATGGCTACCCCTTGCAAACGCATGCAAGTGCATGCTTCGGCGATTCGCAGAGGCTAGAAGCTAGGGGTCCTTGGAGATCCAGCAAAGCTGCACACTGCCACGCCAACGAGACTGCAAGACAACCATCGCGCTCCTGGTTATCATGCGAACGGGGCACAAGGCATCGCAGACTCAGTCGGGCGCAGAGTCGAGCCAAGAGTCTGTTGGTGCTGCGGCGCTGGGACGCCATCCAAAACTACCTTTGTCCTCGAAGGACCGGTTAAGACACCATGGGTAATGCTGAAGCCATTAACGCAACGCGGCAAAGGGGTAGAGGCGCACAGCTCCCATCTTGTGGCTGGGTTACACTTCCGTAAGACAAAAGCAGATCAAAGGTGTTCAGTCGGCCGGTACTCTCTAGCGACTCTAGCAACTAGCAGATTTTGGCCAGCTATACCGAGGTTTGTGTGCTCTTGCACTCTTTCTGGCTGGCTCGATGTTCATCTGCGCTCAGCTTCGCTTTTCCAACTCCACCGTCGCACGACTTCGGCTGAGAAGTTCCTGGCTTTGTCCCATCAGCTCCCGGCAGCGCCTCTCAGGATGGCTTGGGGCTAGTGGCTTTGGCATTCTGACCTATATCCTTATTACTCTCAGGACCTTCCTTCGAGCGTTCCCACCGTCAAACCCCTCGACTTACGATGCGATGCTCGTACAGTCTAGGTCTTTGGCGGCGCGCTTGCGACAACCAACCGCATGGATTAGTTTGAAAGTCGGCCTGCGCAGGAACTGCGCGATGGCACAAGCCTTACTTGCGACGACCTCATTCAGCGACTTCAGCTTCGCACGCATCTGGGAGTCGGTCGGTACGCACTCAAGGAGCGCCACAGAAAGTGGGACCAGTGAGGGCAGGCCGCTAAGGCAAATAATTTCATCCCAAAGCTCGACGACGGCTGCCTTCGGCAAGCACGTGACAAAGAGGGACAGGTACCAAGACTGCAAGAACTCTTCGAGGTGGATATCCTCGGCTTGCAATCGAAGTGAATGTCGAGGAAGGACAGCCGCCATGAGTTGACCGAATCCATCCATGTATCGTCTCAGCAGTGGAAATCCTCCTGCATAAAGCCCCGAAAGCTCCAGATCGCGCATGAGAGCTGCAAACACCCAAAATGTCTCCTCCTCTGCGCCATCCGAGACCAGCAGCAACAAGCCGACGATGAAGTTCATGCCCTGACAATATCCAATTTCGGGATTCGAGTTCGCATAGGCTTTGCAAATGTTCTGCAGACACTGCGTATGCCTGCCCATGTCGTCAAACGACAGCACGAGGAAGGTCCTAGCTGAGTCCTTCTCGATGAGAGGCTCCCAGCCGCTGCTCTTCTGCAGAAGCTCTTCGTATTGGCCATCGCCCAAAAGGCGGCAAAAACCTCCCAAAGCTGCCTTCCAAACCTCCCATCTCAGGCCGGTAGGAACACCCGCCTGTACCAACTCTTTGAACAACCCAGGCTGATCCTTGCAGAGGGTTAGAAGGCCGTCAGGGCACCCGTCCGACAACGCGGAGCTCCACTTCCGCACTCGCCCGGCTTCGTCAAGGGCCTCCTCCTTCTCCCAGGTTTGTTTTGGTGCATTCGGGGCAGGTAAGGCCACAAGCCGCCGCAACGGCGGCAACGTCGAGAAGAGTGGAGCAAGACAGCACCCGTCCGACATGTCGGTAGATAGGCGAGAGCGAGGAACATGTCCCATGGCATCGGGTACCAGATGCGCCAGTGCTAGGCGTCTACCGAAGCAACCCTGTCATGTCCCGACATCGTCTGCGAAGCGTGGCGTAGTTCAGTGAGCTGAGTGTGAATGCCTCAACGCACCTGCAAAATCAACCCAGGCTTATTCACAAACTAGCAGGTCCAGGCCGTCGTGAAGCCTGGACAAACCTCCGGCTAGAGCTCGCTGCTGCAATGTTGCTTCTGCAGGAACCCAACATAACATGGAATTCTCTACCTCGCGACGTCCCAGGTGATCAGCTGCAGCCATGGAAGTCACAACATGCATGCAGCCTGGAAAGGCAGCCTTGACAAGTCGCAGCAACAAATTTCAATCTAGCAGTCAGGAGGCTGTTGACAACAGCACAGTCCATGAAACAGATGAACAGTCGAATCCGTATCGCTAATTAAAACGGCTCTTGCAGACAGTGAGTTCGGCTATATTAAGGGGTGGGGTAGCCCAGAGCAGCGCTGGATGCAATCCCTCTCTGCTCCAATGACATAACGTAACAATAACTGTCGGTGTTTGTCTCAGCTCTCCTGGTGCACAGCTGAGGCAACAGTCAAGCAAGCGCATCGAGACGCGCGACTGGCAGAAGGGACGCTACAAGGAGGCTGTCTGAAGGTCGTCTGAAGTGAAGGTCGGTTCATCAGGCCAAGCTGAACTCTCTCAGGCAACGATTTGCCAGATCCTTTCGCAAACACTTTCTTCGTGGTCAACGCAACCAGCAGAGTGCTTTTGCAGTCTGCAGCAGGGCGTTCGCCCTCGTGCTCAATGCATCTGCGCCATTTTGGGACAGACGAGCTTCTGAGCAACGATTTCTGACTATGTACAAGCTGTGAGCAAACCTGACTCAGCGTTACATGCCGTACACCGCCCGATTGCAGCTGTACCTGGCGCCGTGACCGCCAAACTCCTCTTAGTGTCAAACACTTTCACTGCACCAGCCCCAGCCAAAGCCAATGTCCCATCAACACCCAAGCGGGGACCAGTGTGGAGGCGAGGCGTGACGCTCTGCGATGGTTGGCTGCCGTGCCTTGCTGCTACACAAGCCAGGTTGTTGAGGCTGGCAATGAGTGGAAAAATGAGAAGACTCCTTGGTTAGGACGGTTAGGAGACTGACTTGAGGCTTAGATCTAAGGGTTTCGGGGGTCAGACGTTGATGTTTTGGCCCCGTGGCGGCGGGACTTGTCTTCTTTGGCCACTTGTCGCAAGTGCTGGTATTTACAAGGCTTTCGTGGCTTGGATTCGAAGTTGTGCTTCCGTTGACGTAACTCAAACTTGGGACACTTTCAGCACATTCAGCTCACGCTTGATTGGGCCACCGAGATCAGAACGAGTACCGAAGAGTTCGAAGAAGAAGAAGAAGGCGTCATCCGTTTTTCCGCGCTGGGCGAAGCGTGCGCGTAGCTGTGCATGGGTCATCGTCGGCGTCTGTGTAGATCTTGGGACTGTTCGTTCGTTTCGGAGCTTCTGCTTAAGTCACTGGACTGAAGCATGCTGTATGTGCATGGGCCCTGAAGCCTCCTGGCACACTCACCTTCGCAGAGCAGCAGAGGTTAAGGGTATAAGGCTCCAGTGACTGAAGCCAGACCGGACGACAGCAGCCACCGCCCCAATCCAGACGATATTGAAAAAGCCCGAAAGAAAGACCAAGATATGGCCAAATCCTGTGAAAACCACTGTGGCCTGATATGCGCGTGTGTACAGTTACGCCTTTCTTAATGACTTGAGGCCACCAGCGGCTGCAGGAGCTACTTCACCAGGGGATCCCAAGATCCGCACACTATGGCTGCCCTTTCCTCGACCTGGGCATGATCAGTGGTCTGGTAAGTTGGACGGCTGCCATGGCAGAGATTGACGACTGAAAGCATTGCTGTCTCAGCAGCCTGAGCTTTCCGAGATGCTCTTCTTGGACCTGCGTTTTTCGCACGACCTGCAGTTACGTCAACCGGGTGCTCATGCTGCTTTCGCTCAAGCTGACTCACTTTCGGTTGGGTCAGGTTCGGCTGGGTGCCGCTGAGTATTGCTTGTGTTGTCACAGTTCAGAACAGCTTGTCAGTGAGAGCATGAAGTAAGCAGGGGTTCGCCCCAACTACGGCCTAAACCCTCCACCCTCAACACGAAACCTTCACTTCCTGCAAGAATCGCAGAAACTAAGCAGCACGACATGTCTTCGTCTGCAGCTAGGGTTAAGTGTTGGTTTGGAAATGTGACGCTTCCGTTCCTTGCTGATTCTTCCATAGGTCCATGTCCCACAAGTTTGGATGTTCGAGATGCCTGCTGCCAAGCGCAAGTCCCATAAAAAGTTACCGGGCGTCGTTACCTAAGGTGGAGGCTAGGCCAGGCCAGGCTGGGTGACTTAGCTTAACCAAGCCCACCCGACTGGTATCCTGACCTGACTTCATGAAACCTCAAACAGCAAAACCTCATCAAGTTGAGCCGGACATGACCGCACCCACGCCAAGCCAACATAAAGCCTGAACCACTGATCGGGTCTGATGGGCATTCGATTTATGACCGTTTTCAGGTCATAGTTAACGGTTGTTGATGCTGTACATTTACGTCATCGTTGGTTGATTGAGGGTGTTAGTGGAATCTTTATCTGCTGCTTGCTGAGCCATGCCTCGATAGTCCGCCGCTCCCCGAAACTCACTTCGGACCCTGGAAACCGTTGCATCGCTCGCCTGTGTTCTCGCGCACTGCTGGGAGCAGGAAGCGTCTTTCGAAAACTCGGTCCAGTTTGACAAACTCTTATGCAGTCACTTCTAGCCTGCGATGGCTCAAAGCAACTAAACTCACTGGGCTGCACGCGTCTTCGGATTGCAATAGGTAGCATTCAAACCTGCAGGGCTTCAGTACAGACAGCCTCGACAGATGCGAAGCTCTCAAGGGCCATCCGAAGCCCCCCGTTTCGGTGCCTTCTGTTGAGCACTGTGACGGCTCCGAGTAGGACACCTGCCCAGAACTGAGTCCAATAATTGCAGCTCGAACATTCCGCCTTGACTTACCGCGAGCTCTGACTCTGGGCACCCAGGAGGGAGGCTCTTGCCTTCGAGGAGCCGCCCGAGAGGAACTGGGAAAGCGACACGCCTGAGGGCCGTCAGAGACTCGGGGACGTTCCACTTCACGGTCTGCTTGAAGTTGCCGGGGGCCACGCTGTCAGCCCATGCCCTGGCCTCCTGCAAGACCTTAGCATGGAAGGTACGAGACGCAAACCGATCTCTGCTTCTACCTGCTGCGTCTCCGCAGTCTCAGTTTCGCACATGGTTTGCCTCCATCTGTTTGACGCTGTTGTGAGACTGCAGTGCCTGCCGCGTCTTTTCGCACTGCTCACACACGAACGTACATGCGAGCGAGTACTTTTCTCCGACACCAAGCGCCTAGAACCCCTAAGGGCTGACAAATAAGTCCCCTATGCAGGTGGACAAAATAAGAATCTCGCAACCCTCACATCCATTCCACCTTGCGGCTTTCTCCATTAAAAACCTTAGCCGCTGTGCTGCCCGCGCGTACCTTTTGAGACTTCCGGACAGCTTCGAAGTCGCAGATCATCCCGGCACCCGGCCCGCAAGATCACTAAATCATGACCACAGCACTCTTTCACAGAGATCTGGGTCATCTATAAACGGGTTGCGATTGCATTGCAAGCTTTGCCCGACTTCGTTTCGCTTCCTTTCTCGCTCGCTTGGCGGAAACTTCTTCGCCCAGCGCAGAATTGCCTCCAGGTTTCCCAGCTGCATGCTGTGATTCTGTGTCATGCCGCCCACCAGCTGCAAGCCCCGGTCGGCGTACGTGCAAGCCATGTACATCAAGGACCTGGCCACCTTGGTTGACTCTTCATGCATACTCCAGCGAGCTCTAGCTCATGGTGCTGCTAGATCCTGCCTGCAACTTACTACTACCAGAATAGAAGCATAGCACCCTGTAATGCAAAGGCATTGAGACTGTGTAGACTGTAAAGAGGTTGGACCCGTGATCCAAAACGGTATTCCAGCCTCCAAATGCTTTACGAAAGTCATACTCAGTTCCCTAATTTTAAGGGGGCCGACGATGAAAGCTGCTGAAAAGAGGGGATAGAAAATCTGTACAGATTGTGTTCCTTGGCACCGCTCCCTTGGCAGCATCCGGTGGCTCCCATGTGGTGTCAGACACCAGGCAAAGACGTGCCATGCCAGAGTATCCTTGGGGTGGGCTCGAGTCGGTGACGACTTGGACTCCCGGCTGGCCCTCCACAAGGTCATCGAAGTCCTTGTTGCCCCTGTGGGCGTTCACACTGATGTCAGCTGCATGGAGGTTGTGAATATCCGTCCCGGGCCCTGGTTTCGAGGTGGACAGTGCAGCGTGGCTCTTTGGCCACACGTGTTCCCGGTTCCAGCCAGCTTGGTACTCGTGGTCTTTCTGACCCGGCTCGATCTCGTAGCCCGAGTACAGAAGAATAATGCGGCTGCTGTCAAGAGCTGCATCCATCAGCGTCAAAGCGTCCCAGACATCCTTGCCATCACTGGCATTCCGAGAATATGGCAGCTGCCTGGGGTCCTGGATGAAATGCTGCCTTAGCATCTCAGAATATTAGAGTGACTCTAGACCCTGGGCTTCTGCTTCTAGAAAGCACTTGCGACCCTCTGGCTGTCATGTCACCCAGACTCAGGGGCTGACTTTACCTGGGAAGGCGACAGCAAGTCAAAACTTGCTCCGACGCTCGGCTTGCATGAGCAGGGACAAACTCCCATGGGCACAGGCGCTGGCGAGCACCGGATGAGAAAGAGCGCTCGACCCAGGCAGCATGCAATCACAAGGAGCTTGGCACGATTCTACTTCTGCGGAAACTTTAACCACGCAACGTCCGCTTGTGCTCGGGCCTCCTTCAACTTGGCATTGTTTGCGAACCACTCTTTGCTCTCAACTCGTTGGCCAAGAAGAGGGCTGCAAAAAGCGCGCCACCGCACATGCCGCATCATGCCAGCTCTACACGCCGCAGCAGCGTGCTTTCAGTGTTTTCGACCCTAAACTTTTAACTGGCTCCAACTCTGCTATGGAGAGGCTGCCTCTGCATGTGCCCTCCACAACCACATCTGGAGGATGATGCACCTCATCGAGAGATGATGTGGTGGTACTGCTTCGATTATCGAAATGGCAGCATGCGAAACGCCGTGCGCGGGGTGCCAACTGAGGTTGGCTCCCATGGGCGGCATCGGAGCTCGTGGCCTGAGTGCTCAGATACGCTCAGTTAACAGCGACGACCTCGCCATCCTTAGCCCCGCGCACGATGGGCGCCGGCTTTCGCCGGACAAGCTCGGCATCCTGGCGCTCCAGCCAAATCACCTGAGAGGCGATGCGGCGATGCCATCACGAGACTTCGCTTCGGCGATGTGGCTTCGCTGGCTGACACCGGGTGGGCGGCTGGGATGCCCTGTGGGAGTACGCAGAACGGTCGCGCATGCCATTCCGGTGGCAAGGCCTCGGCTCCCGCGGCGAGAGAACACGAGGCGGAACTTTGATTGGATTGAATCTGTGTTCTCATTCAATGGGTCCTCCTTCTGGTTTCAAATGATTTCAACGATATATTGCCATCGGCCATAACTGCCACAAAGGAACTGCACTCAGCCCTGGCGGCAGTCCATCGCCTTCCTGCACAAGCAAAAGCACAGAGAAAGGTGTGGCAGTGTGGCACGATCGCTTCAGTACTGCAGATTCCAACTATCTGAAACTCAGAGAACCAATGTGACTAATTCTCGCTCTCGCTTGCCTGCACACCTTTCTCGCGACTCTTATGCACTGCCAGCAACAAGAGTAGACCCACACATGCGTTGTTTCCTCGTCTGCCCTGGCTCTTCGGTGGGACTCCTTGCGCGTTGAACACTCTGAGTTGCAAGTACATGCCATTCTCGCTTCGCCTCTGACATGGCGAAGCTATGGTCACAAATCACCTTCCGGATGCAAAACGCTTGCGACAATCTCGGCAATCAATGGTATTCCTCGAATGCTCAGGGTCTGGCCAGAGCTTTTGTGCAGCTTCTCGCTGGAATCTAAGTCGGTCACAACAAGAACGCCGTCCTTTTCTGCTCGCATTACCGCTTGCTGGCTTACTGGATGAGGAAAACGAGCTTTGCACCAGCTTTCCGAGCATCTGAAAAATGGCTGACACCTCCGCAAAGCATGAATGCATGGCAGAGAAAGGTTCAAGAAATCAGGGCTGACAAACTCTCTTTGTTTTGCTTTGCTCGGAGTGTGAGCAGTCCCTCTCTCTGTCTCTACAGGGCGTGATTGGCTGTCTCTCTTTGCTTTGCTTGGGGCTGGGGGCGGGAGCAGTCCTCCCTCTCTCTCTCTCTCTCGCTCGCTCGCTCGCTGCTGGGGTTGGGTCTGCGAGCAGACCCGGGCCTGTGGCCCCCCCCTTCCTGCCTTGTTGGTGGAAGGAGGCATTGGGATCTGTTACGGAGGATTTCCCCCGGCGGGTTTTACAACAGGTAGAGTGCGTTTGGTGCGGAACCTTCCCTCGACCCTTTACTTTATGCCCGCGTCCCGGCCTCACCTCCGCGCCCTCTTAGGCTAAATCCTTAGTTCCTGCACCACACGCCACTCCCCCCGTAAGCTAGTCGTACTGCAGCCGCCTCCCCCGTTTTACAGTGCGAAGTAGCTAAGGGCCGGGCCCCACAACAAATAGTATGCCAGTTCTTGCAGAACACAATACGACATCAGGATGATATGGCGGAGGCTGCTTGTGGTTCCCCCTTTTTCCCCCAAAGCAACAGCGTGAGTACAAGTACGATGCAGAGACGACTGCAGGGGTTCCCCACTGGTAGTGTCTACGAGCTCCAGTTGCACTGTGGCCTGCTTTCCCCCAAACACAAGAGTAACAAAGCTTGTCATGTACTGGTTTCGCAGCCGGCTCACGACCTGGGTACGGTTCCCCCTCCTTTAGATGGGGCCGTGTCTGTCGTAAAGAGCAGCTTGGAGCCTTCTACGTCGGTGCGAGGCCGGGCTGGAGTCCGTGCTTTCCCCCGGCTCCTCACTGCGTGGTCGTGTAGAAGGGCTCGAGCGTCTCCCCCCATTGGCGTTTGGCCATGGCAGTGTCTCGGCATCCGCGGAGCTCACGTTTGGCGCTGTCGGCAGTGGCAGAGTTGCCATGGCTTCCACTTCCCCCAGGTCGGCATGGAAGCTATCCGTCTCCAGTGCAATGGCATCAGCTTCGGTCATGCCATGCATGCCAATCCACTGCCTCTTGGTTCCCCGGCTGCTGTGTGGTACTTCAGGTTCTGCGCTCCGTGCTCTATCTCCTTCATCTTCTGCTTCTTCCCCCGTTTGGGTGCCGTCATGCACGGCGTGCGTGCCCCCAAAGTAGGCTTGCTGCCATGCTTCGAGCGCCGCCAGGGTCTGCACTGCGGCCCCGATGCTCTCTCCCCCCATGTAGGGTACTTTCTCCTTGAGCTCCTTGGCAGCGTCCATGAGGCGTCTGGCCGTCGAATGTACTTGAGTGGTGCGCGCTGTCCACTCCTTCGTCCCCGGCTCCAGCAAGGTGATGACATCTGCTGGGTGGGCTGTGGCTTCCCCCGTCGGCGGCGTACCGGTAGGCATCTGTGTCATCGTCTGTTGCTCCCCCAGTGCAGCTCCTGGTAGTACGGCAGCTTGGAGTTCTGACTCCCAGCTGAGGGTATTCCAAGAGCGGTCTCCCCCCATGGCTTTCAGTATGACCGCATCCAGCATGTTGTACGCCTGGTTCATGGCGTTCCCCGCTTGTTGTCGTAGTCCAGGAGGAACTTGAGGTGGTAGTTCAGCTCGTAGTTCGTTTCCCCCCATCTCGCAAAGGTTCCGCACTGAGCTAAGGTCCTGCGCATATTCCTCGTTGGTGAGGCATGGTGAGGCCTTCACCTCTGCGCACCCTCATACTCGAGATCTGCCTGTAGGCTTCCCGCAGCGCTCCTGCATCGACTTCATGTGGGATGCTCACCCCTGGCATTGCTGGCATAGCTGCGGCACTGTCTTGAGCGAGCATGGCTAGGGCTATGGAACATATGTTTGAAATCACCTGTCCATCTGCCCCCTGCAGCGTGTCTGCTATCTCTTGGATGAGTTGGAGCTGTGTGGTAACTGCCGTGATTGCCCCCTGCAGGGATGCAATAGTGCTTGTTGCTTGCGCAGGGTGTTGGTGGGCTGTGGCGTGGTTGTTGGCTGCTTGTGCTGCTCTGCTGTGGCTTGGTTTTACTCTTCTGCGGCCTCCCCCGAGTGGGGTGCGTCTTCTTCTGCGTATGAGGCCGAAGTTCTCCTCGTCTGTGGTGGTGCCGTCTTGCTCCTCATTGCTGCTGTTCCCCCTTCTGCACTCCTCTGTGTCTGTGGTGGTGGTGGTGGTGGTGGTGGTGGTGGTGGTGGTGGTGGTGGTGGTGGTGGTGGTGGTGGTTGTGGGTCCTGCCATGGACCTCTGTTGTTGCTCTCTCGGCGGTGTTTGCCAGAGTTCCGTGTGGTCGTGGTCTTGGTGGGGTGGTTGTTGTCCAATGCCTCTGTTGTCTTTAATGATGGTGAAAAAGTGAGGTGGTGGTGGTGGTGGTGGCGGTGGTGGTTGTCGTCTGGTTGGTTGTTGGTTGCCTGTGAGCCTCTCTCTCTCTCTCTCTGTCTCCCTCGTTGTCCTGTTGTTTCTCCTTACATGACAGACAAACGTTTCGTCGCGCTGCCACTAACCTTGCAAGGAAGATAAGCCTCAAGTGAGTTTGAGCTCACGACAGCGCTCAGGAGTACCCACTGCCGGAATTGGATCACTGTACTACACTCCATTGCTATGTTTACAGATTTGTGCCGGAACTTCTTTTCAGCCCCAAGGGGCACGGTTCAACCTCAGCTACTACAGCCCCCAACTCCCTGTGAATGCTTGCCTCAAGGAAGCAAAGTTCAACAGGTTAGGCAGCTCTTCTGCACTTTGCCAGGGGCGGATGCAGCAACAAGACAAGCAAACCCAAAAATCAAGAGACCTGAACCCCATAGCCCATTACCACCTTGCTCTACAGTGGCCGAAAGCTGTGTGCATGCTGCCACTACTTCTGTTTGTGGTGCGCGTGCGGAATCTCGCCCGAAATCGGACAGCAGTGCTTGTGGGCGTAGCCAGGGGTAGGTTCCGAGTTTTGGCTGAGCCAACAAGACCACTGGGCTCTCCGTTCCTCGGCTGTCTCTCTGTTTGTTCAATTGAGCTTGCGGTCCGCTCTCTCGGCAGAATGCCCAACCCCGCAAGTGTTTCACCGTAGACACTAAGAACCGGATGAAGATGATAAATTACAAATTACAAGGTTTGTCTGCTTCTGCCCGCCCCCTGTAGCGGGATACCTTCTTAGGCAGACAAGGGACGGTGCTCACGCGCTGACCCGGCGCGATCTCGCACACTGGGGCATGAGGTCGGTGTGATACGTTTGGACGAAAGAAGCTGAACTCCCGAGTTTACCACCCCCAACCCGCGGGATATCAGCAGACCTCACCACGCCGGTTTCCAAGAAGCCCGCCGAAGTCGCCAACCTCATGGTGCGATGGTGCGATGCTGCGACGGCAGCAAGGAGAAGACGAGCGCTTCTGAGAGGCCAGCAACCCTCGCGAAGCTCACCTCGGTGAGAACCTCAGAGCCCAATTCAAGGACAAAACCACAAAGGCAGAATCAGGCAGAAATCCTGGAGGCGGACCACCATGTCCAAAGAAGGTGCCTCTCCACAGAGAAGCAAAACTCCGACCCGACTCGGAGGAAAGGAGAGCCTGCAACTTCTCAGACAAGACCTCCGCATCCAAGTGCCCGCACCTGAGACGGTTTGACGCGCTTAAGCTGGTCAGAGCGGTTAGTCCAAGGGCCAAGAGCGCACCTTCCGGGGCTGCAAGGGGCAACAGCGAGAACATTTGTCTTGGTCTTCGTGTAATCCAAGGTGTCCCTGCGAAACCTCAGAGACTTCACGAGCTCTGCGGCCTGGCCCCGCTATGGTGTTCGCAGGTGTTCAAGGACCCCACAGGCGCACGTTGTGCTGCACGTGAGGCTCTAGGCTCCTCTCGCAGACCTCAAAATCAGTGAAAGCTCTTCAGCTGCTAGCGAGAGGCGCAGAGAGGCTGAGAGAAATTCTAGGGCCTAGGGGCCGCGCGAAGGCGATTTTTGCCCCCAACATTGCTGCACAAAGCCCAGCCGCCATACACTCAGCGCCTCACAAGAAGGCAGTCGCGCGCAGGTCGCACGACATCCACGTGTTCCACATTCCAGCCTATGCTCGCCAGCGCTTTGCCTTCGAAACTCCGACCAGCCCTGGGCGAGTGGACATGCTGCAATGAACTTGGTGCAATAGCGTCGCAGTTTAAGGGACGGACAGCTGTGCGATCATCGGCCGACCTCAGCCAAATGCATTGTCACAGCTCGCACTGCTCATGTATGACTGAGGCCGCGACTCGCTACCAAGTCTGCAACGTGACAGGCCACCCTTCCCCATGTAATTTTAGTCAGCTGTAGCCGTCTAGCCAAACTGGCTCTGCAACAGACTGAAGCCTTGATGCGAAGAAGGGTGCTGGTGGCGATTCTCTGAAAGAACCGGTAGCCGGCCTCGATGTCCAGCTCAGACCACAATTGCCGCCGGGAGAAGCAATGTCTCTCAGAGTTTCACGGATCGACGACGGTTAGGAAGAAGTCGTGCTGGTACTTCGGTGCCAAATGTTCCTCACGGCCGAACTTTTCGCCCCGATCCCAAGTCTCAAGGACCCAAGGTGTGCGAAAGACCGAGGCCGCTGCCAGCGACTCCTTGGCTGACACCGTCTGTCGGTCCAACCTGGGCACACAAAAAGAGCTGGAGTGCTGGACATCCGGGCGATGAAGAGCGCTTGGCGGCCCTGGCCTGAAGCACAAGCGCCACTTTGGCCGCCGTGGTGCTCCTTCTGCAGAGTGCAAAAGCCAAAAGCCCTCCCCCACATCGAAGACTTAACAAGAGTCGTCTGAGCTCCACGCGATTCGCTGGCTCTTGCTGCGGGGGGCTGCCATTGATGATGTAGCCCTTTCTCTGCCTCGACTTTACAGGAGCAGCAGGAGCAGTCCGTCTTCCATCTGTTATCATCTCCCTCAAACTTCTGGGCCGTTCTTTTTCCAAGGAAACATGGCTGTCAAGCGAAAATCCCTGGAAAATCTTCAGTCTGCGGTTCAGCCGTGCTGTCCACGAACCTCCTACCATTTACATGTCGAAGCGTCAGGTCACGATTTCAGTTGCCTGACGGCTTCCGCCAAATGCGCGCGCAAGATTTTGGCTGCGGGCATGGAGAGATCTCGTGGCGATCCAACCTGGGTCGCGCAGCTTGCGCAGACTGCAGGTTGATGAATGCACAGGGGGTCAATCGCTCATACACACTTGTCGGGGCTTCGCCCTTCTCGCTTCCCTCACAGACCAAACACAATAACTGACGACTGATCCGCCCCCAAAGCTTACAGAAAGACAAACATGCTTGTTTCTCAGCTTACCTTTGTTCATGTCATCGCGACTCTTGCTTGGCAGGTAAAGTACCAGTGTGAAAACATGGCATCATTGCTTCCCGCTTGTGCTTTGCACTTTTTGTTCTCGCGCCCTGTGCTGTGGGGACTTGCTGGCTTCGTTTGCAATTGCACTCGATGTGAAGTGGGCTCGAGGCCCCTCCTCTGAAGCGAGGTACTGAAGTGTCTCAACAGAATGTGGCTCCAGTCCTAAGGTCCCCACGCGGTCTCGAAGGTAGCTAATGCAATCGGCGATAACATCAAGATCGCGTCCGGACATCTTCGCCTGGAGAGAAGGATTCGTTCCTGATGCATGCCGTCTCGAAACTTCCGGAGCACCTCTTTCTCGACGGAGGCCTTGATGTTCAGCCTGTGGCAATTCTGCACTGCGCGAAGGCCGTAGCCGTAGCTACAGACAGGGCCAACGAGGGTCTCGGGTGATCGAAGTGAATGAAGTGATTGCGACCAGGCACACAGGACTTGGGTCCCCTTTGAGAAGGGCAGTGGCAATCGAGCGAAGCACCACATTCACTCCAGCTGCATAGTCCTCATTCGGCCTTCAGGGCTGGGTTAGATTCGCAAAGACATCGAGAACTGAGCTGCCGGGTAGAGTGCACCAGCACTCTGCAACACAAAGATTTGCAACCAACAGGTCCACAGCGGCCATCACGTGTTCTGTTGCTGCAGCCCTGCCTGGCATAAGGATCTGCAAGCTCACCTAGACAGAGATCAAACACGGGCTCCCTTTAATCCGCGGGCATGCCGCGTTGTTGTCTGCATTCCAGAGTCGGCGATGCTTCTTGCAGGTGAGGCGCATTTCGTCGGATTGCCTCGTGCCCAAGAGCCCACATCGCCTCCGGCTGCACGGCAGCAGAATCGGGTGACTGCCTCTGGCAAGCTGTCAGCTGGACCAACAAGTTGATCAGGCAGGAGATAGGCATTGATGCGCTTTGGGGCTGGCCTTCTGATTCTCGGTGAGGCGCATCGCCGCCTCAATCCGATAGTCCTCCAGCTTGGAGAAGGTGTAGACTCTGCGATACGTCTTAAGTGCCAAGCCTCCTCCGACCTTTCGAGCTGCTCCGGTGTTGGCGGCTCAACGCTCGTCTGCCACTGCGCAGGGAGCTTGGCGCTTTCCGGATCGATGTCCTCCTGAGAACAGCACATGCATATGAAAATCCAGTTCTGTTGAGCACTCGCCGGACCCAACTAGTGCCACGAAGATACTCGTGCTCGCACGGCTTCTGCCTTCGGAGGACATATGATTCATATGACTTACCTCTCTGGCTTCCGCTACAGAGATGCCAAGAGCCAAACGTTGTCGTTGGAAAAGCATGGGCCGTACTGTGGAGGAATGTCCATACCTAGCAACAGAAATTGATGCTGGATCCTGCAACGACAAGAGATGAAATGGTGCCTTCGAACCACAGCAGCCACAATCATCCCAACCATTCCACTATGCACACAAGCAACAGTGCGTGTAGTAGTCACTCTTCGTCGCCATGTAGTGCGGCAGCTTCTCATAGGCAGAAAGCCACCTGGGCTTTATGCACGTGAACTGGGTCCAAGAGATGCAGCTCTGACTCCGTCCCAGAAATATACAAGATGCCACCTGGAATACCATACTGGACAAGCCACTCGTCGATGTGTGCAAATTTTTTGCGTACATCATACCCTTTGTAATACCTTGGGTCCGGTGCATACCCGCAGAACACGACAGCAGCACAATTGCAGTCTGTAAAGCTCATCTGCGCAGTACGCACTGATCTGCAGCCACCCAGCATGGCACTCGCAACTGCACGCTCCACATGAGAGACATACTGCATGTCTACGATGGTCGGGTGCTGGTAAGGCAGGAAGAACGGCGACTCCTCCACTTCTGATCACGGTCGAGCAACTGGAGCTTGCAAGTCAAAGTGCTTTATCATGCTGCGCCGCTGCATGCCAAGAAGCTGTGTTCTTCGCCAGCTCGGAATCAACTGCTTGTAGGGCACTGGTGAAATCCCTTTCGGAACCACCAATCAACGGCATCTCTGGACCTCGGAATGGCTTCCCAAGGGAAGCACGATCGTCGAAGATTCAGCGTCTCAACCAAGGGGCGAAATAAGTATGAGCACCATGCACCGAAGAGTTGTCGCTCCAGGCTAAGAAGCTTAGCAGCTCGGTCCCGCAGTGGTCCCGAGGCTGGAAACCTTGCACTGGCACCGCAGCAGTGTTAGGGTCTAGGGTTTGGGGTTTTGCGTTTGGGGTTTTGGGCTCAGGGTTTTGGGTTTGGGGTTTAGGGTTTAAGGGAAGTCGAGGGGTTGGAAACTCGGAGCCCTAAACCCAAAGTTGGGGTGTTGAGGATACGGTGAGGGCTTAGTGTTCGAGACCACAAGGCTAGCTTTGGTCGGCTCCAGGCCCCACAACTTCCTGCCGCAATATCAGCGAGACACATTACCGTCGGCGTCGGCTGCGTCGGCTTCTCGAATCGAGCTTAGGCGCTGAGGTGTCTGTGGTGTAATGCTGGTGTTGATGCGATGGTGCTTTTCTTTGGTGCTCTGTCCGAGTGCGAGTCCCACGTTCACTGCTCTGCTTGGTTGGCAGTGACAAAACTTTGCTTGCCGCTTCATTGCGCTTGAAGAGCTTTGCAATTCAACACCCTCAGCAACCCCTCTGTACGACCGTTTGGCAAGCCCGCTCTAAACCACTCAGCTTTCCTGCTGAGCTTGCCGCATTGGCTTATCTGGATCTGGAAACGCGCCTTCCTTAGCTGTTTATTGGGAGTTGCCCAAGTCTGCAGAGGCCCAAAACCAATCTGCATCGTCAAGCCAAGGATCGATGGTGAACCTTCGCTGCTGAAGCGTGCAATCGCAGTGTGATTGGAAGGAGTCAGGATTGGGAGGGGAGGAAGAGGGCACCCATCTGACAGCAAAGGGAAGGTCGAGAAACGAAGCATAGCATTGCGCGGCATGATTTTCGGGGCCACGCCACTTTAAAATTCGACGGTTGGGGACACCAGGTGTGATCAGTCCGGTGCGCAGACGGTAGGTGGATGCGGGCGACGGAGCACTTTCGGTGTAAACAAAGGTATTAGCAGCGTGTGGGCGTCGTAAGAGAAGTCTCTCTAGGGAAATCTCAATGCATCACACTTCGAGCAAGCCTTGTGTTGGGCCAATGAGACGCGCTTGGCCTTCCGAACTTCGCGCTTGACCAAGCGGATGCCAGAGTCTTCGGCACGAGTTAAGGCGAGTAAATCGAGGTTCAAGCTTTCAAACTGCATTGAGCGCCTCATATTCGGAGTCCCTCGAGGTGCTGCTTCGAAGACCAAAAGGCAGAACTCAAGCCATGTCATCAATCATGTTTATGACGAGCAGCATGATGTCCAAGCTCTCTGTCATGACCTGCCAGAGGATCGCAACGAAAGAACCGGTTTGGCCGGCAGTGTCCGGCGTCATGGCCTTGCCATCAATTTCCATAGCTGGCAAAAGCCCGCGAGGAACCAGAGCCATGAACTCTCTCGGCTTGTCACCTAAGCAGCTCTCGGGCGCTCCACGCTTTGCCCGCAAGTGGCATCATCTGCAGCCAAGGGGACCGTAGGATCGCATCGGCACTTTCTCCACTTCGTAGTCCACCTGCTTCTCTTCGAGAAGCAGCCAAACCTTCCTTGCGTCACATCCCATGCAGAGGCAGTCCAGGACTGCAAGAGTAGCAGAGCAGCAGAAGACTCGCTCGCATCGGTGGATCGGTGCCGATGAGACGCTGGCAATAGGGACACCAGGCCGCCTGATCTCGATATATCTTTATTCGAGGTTTACTTCCTGAGCTGAGCTCAACGTGCCACGGATGTGCGGATAGTGAGCGAGTCTTTGCAGCCCGGCCACGATCCTTGCCAAAGTAGCGCACCTCGGCTGTATGTCGAGAAATACTGCAGTTGAGCCCCGCATGCTGTGTCTCTAGACTCGATTGGTCTGCTTTGGCACCTTGGCATCTGTGTGCGGGATGAGGCCTTCCGCCCGGTCTTCCCAGGACTTAAGCACCTGCTCGCCTTTTCAGGGACTCGACAGCTCAGTGGGTAGCAGCAAGCTGCGCTGCCTAAGCCCGGGAAATTGGGAGCAAAAGGCCCGTCGACAAAAATAGAAAAAGCCCTGCTCTCTGTGGCTTTGCTTTCGGTCCGCCTGCTTTCGTCTCGCGAGCCTGAGTGGCGAGTCCTGCCAGGGGCCACAGCGGCACTCGCTTAATCACCGCATCAACACAGTGCCCATCAAGCAGCATGCGATTGATCTGCGAGGTGAGCTTTGTAGCAGTCCTTCCCAGCTTTCTAGCGTGGCCGTCGCCTTCATGGCGGCGTAGGAGCTGCCTTCGGGCGTGGATCAGTCAGCGCAACAAAGCGTGCCTGCGAACCGTCTCACGCCTCGAGATGACATCCGCTTGGAAGCGTAGGCTCCCACCTTGGTCAAGCTGCAGCAGCTGCTTTAGGGCTCTGGAATGCTTCGGTTTGAGTGACTGAACGATGAGCAGCAGAACGCAATAGAGTCTTGGTTGGCAGGCAAAAGCAGAAGTGAGCGTCAGCCGCGAGAAACATCTTCGGCCTGTCTACACAACAAACAGAGCCCTTTAGCCTTTCACCCGAACTATGCCTATGCTACGCACCAGCGACTCGGGCAATCATTTTACGTGAATTCGAACCCGACCGCTTGCGCTCCGACGCGCCTTTCGATTTCTTATTACATTGTTGTTGAAGGTTCGTATATGTCCCTCTCATTGTGCCACACCCAAGTCATCGTGAGGTGGAGAGGCATCTCATTGCTTCAGAGGCACAAGAGCAGTGCCCAGTGCAAGCGCTCTCTGACTATTGAAGCCTTGCAGGCATTGCTCAAGCCATGGGCACCAGCAGAAAAGGCGACAAGCGGACAGTTCTGCAGCAGATTGCAATCAGTAGGCGCGCTTGTGACTGCAGATTTTGCCCGGACACCCTCGAAACGTGAGGTACCTCGGCTTGAAGGCCAGCACACCATGCTCACTCAAGTTACGATGCCAGATTTGCCAAAGAGGTTGGACATGGTTGGACAGATGCCGACAGAGGCTCCCGGTGCTGATGCGCGGACCGCAATGATCCGCTGGCTGAGGGCAGTGTCAAGGCCATGCGATGCGAGGCCAGCATTCAACGTCCCTACACTTGGCTCGAACCTCAAGGGCTTGGAGGAAACTGGCAGTGGGCTTACGGGGCATGTGCATTGCAAGCATGAGCTGTCCGATGTAAGACTTTGGGCGCCCAACTGGGAGGCAGCATCCAGCGAATCCTTGCAACTTGCAACTGTGGATGCATGAGCTGATGCCGTCAAGATCACCCGAGTGCGCAGCACTTTCTGGAACTGCCTTAGCATCCGGTTGGGGTATGGCATGAAACACTAATGCCGTCGCACATGCTACAAGGATGAGCTGCAGGCACCGGGACTCATCGGCACTCTGCCCGTCCAGTAATCTGTGCATGAAGGTTTGAGGGATAAAATCGGTTGCCCGGGTCCAGGGTCCCAAATTCAACTATCCCCACTACAGGCCGCAACGATCGTAATGCCCATGGGCATCCATGCATTAGACAAACGATGATCTATTGCAATTTGGAGTCAGACTTCTTGAGCCAGCAAGATCATCATCATGCGGCGGGCGACCGGCTTACGAACCTGGCGTTCATAATAGATGGCACAGCAGGACCTGGATGGAATACAATACTACAACATTCTTTTGGAGTCGGAAGCACAGCACAGCACCACTGAGAATGCTGTGCCGGGAGTCTTCGAGCAGCTGTGCTGATATCTGCCTATCTGTACACAAGCGAAGGTTGTAAATAGCTGCTGGTGTGAAACGTGCCCTCTGGATAATTGCCGGCAGGTCGTGCCTGTAACTATGTTGTAGGGCCTGTAAAGCATACGAGAAATTGACCCGGATCGCTGATGGAAGATCACGAAGATCAAAAGACGAAGAGGCACCACTTGACAGAAAGCAGGGCGATCAAGGCGGCGCACTCGGCACCGCAGCTGCCTCCGCCTCCCTGGGCGCCGGAGCCACTTCCGCCGCACCCTCCGCCTTGGCCTTGGCGAGAAGCATGCATCCTTTCGATCCCTTCAGATTCTGCCGTGCCGGGGGTCTCGCAGGGACTCCCGAGTCCGGGAGAGCCCCTCCGGCGAGTGCCATCGCAGCCATCTCCTGCACATGAGGCTCTTGCACTACGCTGCCTACGCTGCGCTCTACGCTATGCCGCGTGCTGCCCTCGCTCCTCCTCGAGCTTGGCAAACTCCTTGGCGAATTTTGAATTGCTTCTCTCAAGCTCAGACGTCTCACAGTTGCATTCCCGTTCCAAGGTATGGTCGTTGGCCAGCTCATCGTCGGTTGCCCCGTCAGGCACCATAGATCCTTGGGCCAGGGCCTCGTTGATGGCTTTCATCCTCGGAATGCGGTGAGCTCTCCCGATGCTCAGAATGCTCCGAATTCTGAGGGCAGCTCTCATCCTGCAAATCTGCCATGTCATCTGTGAGCTTGTCGACCGCTGCGATGTCCATCTGCTTGGTTTGATCCTCACCATGCAAGCCATGGTGGCTAGGTAAGACTGCCAACTCACAGGTCGCTTCGGCTTCTTGGACACGGTCCTTCAGTTGCGTGTGACCTGTCTGCATAGCTTGCACCTGGCGAGAGAGCGGGCGGCCGCAGCCGACAGAGCTTGAGAGGTTGGGCCAGAGTTTCTCGATCAATGCAACCAATGAAGTCGTGCTTTCGTTTGTTTCACTGGGAGACTGCGGAGGAAATGTTGCTTGAATGCAGTTCAACTCAGTTCAACTCATGCCAGCAATGCCGCCATGGCCGTGATCTCTGCCTGCTCCTGCTGGAATGCCAGGTTCTCAACGTTAAACCTCGACAGAGCTCAGAGGCAGGGAGCACCGCTCACGCTTCGCTGTGCAAACTCTGAGCAGTCTCTGAAGCGAACGGCTTCCGGCTAACCTGCGTTGTTTGAGTTGGTTCCTCCAAGGCAAACTGAGCGTGTTATCGGCATATATCAAGAGAAATCCGTCCTGAATACTTTAAAGAATCGATCTTCAACTCACATCCGGTAAGCCTGGAGCACCTGCGACTGTCTCCGAGTTCCAGGCTGCGTACTGAGCAGCTGATCCTCGCGCCCGCACAAAGCAATTCTTGGCACTTCTCGTGCTACACCACATTGATCCAACCCCTGAGAATGGGACTCTCTGCTGCTCGTACATCTTCTTTTTCTTCATGGCCTGGCACGTCAGGTCGAGACTCCTGGACCCTAAAAAGCAAAACTATTTCCATCATGGCGCCTGCAGTGCCTTGGACTTGGCCGTTGGGTTGGAGCTCCTTCCGAGACGGTGGACAGGACAGTTTTGCAAACAGGCACAACCTCATAATGACGTTGGCAGTGCAGTCGGTTCAGCTTTGTCCTGACATGCGCTCTCTCCAAATCCTTCCACAATCCCTCCGGCGGTCCCCTGAGCAACGAAGGTCTTGATCTCCTCATCGGTTTGTTTTTTTGGGAACGTGCGCGCACCGGCGCTGGAGGTGCTCATCTACTCATGCGACCGCTAATCTCCTCATCGGTCTTCTTGATCTTGGCTTCAAGGTTAGACACCTGCTGGTGGCATTTGGCGGCCCACTGCATTCAGTAGGCTGTGGGACCGTAGGATGTAGGATCTGTGGGCCGTGCCTGCTCGTCAATGCGAGATGAAGCCTGGCCACAGGATAGAAGGTGCGGGGTGGGGGGGGCATGGGCATGTTTCCTGGTGCCTTGCCTCCTGAAGGCTCGGAGCTTCTTTCTGTGGAGGTTCTTCCTGGTTTGCGGGCGAGTGCGGGGAATGGATGAAAGGCTGATTGAATCTGATTGTGCTCCTTGCTGAGGCCAAACAGGCGTCTCATGGCGCAAAAGTAATGGACACCTGCTTGGTGCTGGTGATGCTGGGAGCTGAGTTCGGTGTCACGCATATGCGACTTTGAGTGTGGCTTTGCTTGTGGGAGTCTCGGAATTCGTTGCTATGGGCCCATTGCTAGATGTCATGCAACTCACTGAAGCACTGAAGGCGTGTTGCGAGCAGCTGCGGCCGCAACCAATAACAGAATGACAGTTAACACGGACAGCTCGGAGCGCTGATGCAGCTGATCATCAGCTCAGCAAGTTTTCACAGAGCCCCATTTCCGGCTACCTGTACAGTGGTGTGGCTTCTTGGCCAGAAAACCGAGGGCTTCGAGTGCTGTCCGGTCCGTGCTCCAGAGTTGCACTTCGACACAAAGCGTCTCAGTCAGGCGTGCAGGGCCGAAACGGTGAATACTCACGAAGACTCTTTGCTTTGCAAGACTTCTGAGTAGTCCTGGAATATCTTGGACACTTGTTGTGGCCGCTCGCACATGTATCTGACGTCACTTGGGCTTCGATCGGCCTGTACAAACTCAAAGAGCTGGGCACTCAGCAAACAGGGCCTCTGGTCACAGTCAATGGAGCAGAAGCCATGCGAGCGCCAGTGCGCTTCTTGCGGCGCTCATCCGAGCATGCGATCGGACGTCGCCAACGGTGCGGACAGAAGCTTTCTTCTATGTTTCATGTTTAAGCTTTCTCCAGAAACCGCGGAGTTTGGACCATAGCTTGTTGATTCACTGGCAAATACTAAAACAGAGCACCGTTGGTCGACTTGGCTTCAAGCCTAGGGCTTTCAGCCTCAGTCAGCCTAGCGGCCTAGCGTCAGCCTCCCCCTTGGCGGGGCCTTGAACCTCAGCCTCCTCCCTCGCGCGCTTTGCCTCAGGGAAAGAACAATTTCCGGTTCCATACTGCTCTGCCCTTAAGAGCGGCGGCCTCGGACATCGAGGTCGTGTGCCGAAGGGATGCTGACCGCCTTCGGCGCTGGGCCCAGGGCAGCCTGCGAATCCCAAAACACCACTGCTTTTAAACGATCCAAAGGGGTTCCGACTCCAGAGAGAGAGAGAGAGAGAGAGAGAGAGAGAGATCGCTTGACCCCGCACAAAGCTGCAGAACCTCGTCCTGAGAGCACAGGGGTTGCGCCTTCAGCCTCTCCGTCTGCCGATCGTACTGGATCTTCCGCCTGGGTGACAAGCATAGTAACAGGTCCAGCACATTCCAGCAGGTTCCTCGTACATCGTCGTTCCTCCTGCGTGAATAACATGAAAGCTGAGGCAAACGCTTGGAAGATTGCTCAACAGGAGTTGAGGGTTGGAGCATGGGCAGCCAGGTCGGGACACTCGGGACTTGTGGAGCTTTGATCACAGTAGTCTGTGGCTCTGCATGCTCCGCCTCAGTCTCTGCATCCTCGACTGGAATCACTGGAATCTGGTCCGCAGCGAGGCGCTGCGCACTTGGCGGCGCCGAGTTTGCCTCTTTCATCGACTCTGTCGGAGAAGTTGGGTTGCAAGCTTGCGGCTGATGTGCTCCCTGAAGGGGTGCGGCTTCCCCTGTGGTTGGAGGATTGCTCTCGTCGTCCAGCAACCCTCCCAGAAAGCTTGCCTCCTGTGCATCCAGCAGCTCCTGCAGAACAATATCTCCTTTGCCTCCGTTCGCTTTCAGGCGGCATCGAATGTCTTCCTCGGACACATCGGGAAGCAGCCTCAGCACGCTCGAGACCATGCTCTCGCCACCGATGGGTGTCCGTACATGCAGAGCGAACCTTTACAGCGACATGCATGTACTACCGCACGATATCCGAAATCTCGCTCATCCTCCTGACACCACTGAGACGAATTAAAAAGTCACAGGACACATGTCACGATGACCTTACTTCCTCTATTTCCCATATGTGCACATTGGATTCTCCTTCTCTTCAAGAGTCTCGTTCAGCAAACATGGCAGTGTGTAGTTGTATTGGCAGAAGATGTGCAAGTTGCACAGGGCAAGCATCTTGCAATCAGCAGAACATATACCGAGAAGAGAAAACAGCTCAGTATGCCAGCGCATTTCAGAAGCGATGAAGAGTTGGACTTGTGTTCTCACCTGCTCGCGGGATCGGCATGACTGGTGTCTTGTTCCGCTAGGCCTTGGAAGCCTGAAGGTGCGATGAGAAGCGCCCTGGTGCGATTCGTACATGATTCGCTTGGCTAAATCTGCACAGGCGAAACCTGCGCTGCCAGGCTAGGGTCTTGCATTGCAGCCATCTCCAAACAACTCAGGACGCCGCACCTGGATAGCAATGGCTTCACTTTGTATTTGCTGTTCCCTTTCCGCCGCATTCTTCGCCCATCGCTTGCCCTTCGTCAAAGGACCGGGCAGCTCAGCAACAGTCATTGCTCGAAGTTACTGACGTTACTGTTGCTGTTCTAGGTTCAACCATTCTCCTTGCTTGATTGAGTATGCCGCTGGTCATAAAAATCGGCAGCTTCAGAGACACGCATGGCTAAATGAACTGCGTGTAATGCAATAATGGCATGTCTCTAATTGCCGAAAGAAGCCTAAGCCAGCAAAGATTAGATGAATTCGAGCCTAGTCAACGAAAGTTCCAGGAGCTGCTAGTCCTGCCGTTCCTAACGGAATTTTCCATTCTTCGATCTTGATGTCGCCTGGTCAAGGGTGAAACATCCAGGTACGGGTCAGATCGTTTTCCCCGAAACCCTTAGAGTTGGATGTGCGCCTCGCATGCCACATGCTGCGCTACTGCCGAGTTCGCAGCTCAGGTTGACACGGGGATGCGCATAGCCGCCATAGGCGTGTTGCTGCTCCAGGCTGTTGCAGCAGAGCCCACCGCGACGCCAACTTCACACAGAAGTCTTCAGAGACAGTGTGGGGATCGGGAACCAGAGAACCGCGCAAAGCATCCATTCTGTCTGAGCACTGTAGACCTTGTGGCGCACGAACACCTCGAATGCAGCCTGCACACAGAACGCACGGTGCAGAGACCGTTACATTTCCAATCTTCTCAATGGCTTCTGCCTGCTACAAGCTACTGTAATTCGGCGGGAAAGTGGAAACCTCATCGACGCATAATTATGAATTTAAATATGTTTTCACACTGCATGCACTTGAAGGTGGCTCCTGTGTCGTGACGCAACCGCAAGCCCGCTCTGAAGGGCCGCACGAAGAAGGCCGGCTCCCGGCTGCCGTTGCGCAGTGTGCTGTGTGATAGCGGAAGCTCGACTTGAGGGTCGAAGCCAAATAACCCGTTTTGGATACTCCGGAGGAGTCCAAGCAGCATTCACCGCTTTGATGCGGTGCTCCAGCGCGAAGCGTCCCTCACCGAAGGACTGCAGACGCCGCGAAAACCCCTTGCAACCTTGCAGCCTCAAATTGCTGGCACCGTGGGCGGATTCCGCAACGAGCGCACAAGATGTGCCAGGTTGAAGTTGAAGGAGACCGCAACAAACTTGTGAAAGTCGCCGTTCACGCTGACTTCGGACATGCAGCACTACCAGCGTGGCTTGATACACCCTTGCCGACCAAGCGACAAAAGGTCGTCAGTCCTGCCCTCGGGCATGATACGTAGTCACGGGAAGTTAGGCCTGACGCCCAGAACGCAGAGGGACGCAGGGCTTGCAGATGGTGTCCGAGGCAGCGTCACCTGCGTTGCGATCTGGCTTTCAGCCCTACAGTCCTTCAGAGACCCTCAAGCAGGCAGAGAGGCCTTTACTTTCTCGGCCCTGGCTAGGATGCATGTCTCTTTGGTGGCTTCGAGCTAGAACCTGTGGTGCAAAGATGCGCACAACATAGACGAGCGCAGCTGACTCTACAGTTGCACCTTGGAGGCTTTGCCAGACGATCTTGCGAGTGCTGCCTCATCAACATATCACTACTGATCACACATCCCCCATGGCCAGTGCACGGCAACAGAGGAAGGTCATGATGACCATTGAGCTGGGAGTTTCAAATGTTTCTAAGAATCACGCATGGACAACAACGAGCATGCAGCTGTTTTGCGATTTGGACATCAGCTTCGTTCCATCTGCATCCGCTGGGAGGCTGAGTGCGCAACCATTGGATTCGCCAGTCCATATGACCCTCGGGAGCAGTGCAAACTGTTGTTCACGGTGCACTGCCCGAGCCACACTTATACGATCAGAGACCTGTCTGTCCATGCAGGGTCTCCAAGCCCCCCATCACGTGCAAGCTTCCAAAATGACAGAGCCTACATGCAGCTCTACGGCACCATTGCCAAACGGCATGTGGCCTCTGTGGCCGCTGGCTATCGATCCTTCGGCATTGTTTCAGAGAACTTGCTGGCCTCCCGCACGCGTCTTCAGGTCCCAGGGCCCCTGCACAGCTGCCCACTTTTCGGCCAGCTTCACCTTGTTCCCTGGCCTGAACAGAGGCCGAAGAGGTTAGCTATGGCTGGCCTAGCTGCAAGACCGGCCTTGCTTGAAGCTTCATCGTCTGCATCTGCAGCCCATCTCCGAAGATGGCCTTGTATCCTCTCACTAGTACTTTCATGTTGTCAAAGTCCCGCAGCCAGTGGCCCTGCAAAGCCTTGGAAGGGCAATCACGGATGACGTCACAAGACGCCCTGCGGTGAGTGGAAGCCAGGATCGTCAAGTTTGGCATGGGCTGGGGTTGGCCTGGGGGCTGGTGCTTTGGGCGGAGAGAACTGGCACAGATGGCTAGTTCAGGCATTGGCACGTTTTCGAACAGGGTTTAGCACATGCATGTCGGGAGGTCGGGTGAGGTGTCCACGCCACTAAGACATCGGCACTACCCGTGCATACTCAGAGGGAGGACGCATTGTCGGCTGTTTCCCACACCCCAGAGTGATGGCATTCGCCATGCGCATGTTTCGGCGCAGCCCTCGATTTCGGGATGTTTAGGGGCTGGGGACTGGGGATCACGGCGACGGAGCTCAACATGCCTGCAGCTGAGGAAAACCCCGCCGCGTCATGTCTTCGTATGCATTGGCACAGTCAGCACGTGACAGCTTCAAAAATGAAGAGGCATGACGAACGCATCGCACTCTCCAGCCTGAATCTGGGGTTCCCAATCGTCCTGCGTCCATCGCAGCGTATGCTCTTGTCGACTCGGGTTCTACAGGCACAGCCAGGCCTGGCTGGTGTCTGGCTGCGAAGGCACGGGCGACTGTCCAGGTGATGGTATGGGCGATTGCCTTGATGATGACCGCGGCGACGGCTTCACCTGAAGATGGCACAATTCGTCCTACCGTGCACTTGCCGTACATCATGCTGAAGAGTGCACCCAGACGCAGCATGTGCAGCGGCACTGGCTGCTGCTGGCAGTAGACACTTCTTCGAGATTGCTACACTGCTACACACACGCATCACGCAGAGAGAGAGAGAGAGAAAGAGATATAGTTATAGATATGTGTGTGTGTATATATATATATATGTACACACATACAGCATGTATAAACCCGGTTCGGCCGCCCCCCCTTGCCCTTCCCCGCCCCCTCCGATGGTCCCCCCCCCCTCTGTGGTGTGGCGTGGCGTGGCGTGGTGGTAGGTTGCTTCCCCCCTCCCTGGCGTGGTCCGGGGGTGGGTCTGCTTGGGGTGGTTCCCCCCCTCCCCCCTGTGGCATGGTGGGGGGCTGCAGCTGTGCGCTTTGGGGTCTTCTTTGAAATTTTGGTATACTCATCCCTATGAGAATGATGGGGACGATGATCACCATCATCATCATCATTAACTCAAACACTTAATGTTTCTTTGGCTGGTCGTCGGGTGTCTTCTGAGAATCTGCCAACATGTCGGGTAACGATGATCGCTTGATTAATCGTAGGGCCACTATCTTCGTGACAGTTGTTTGGGGGCAATTGCCATGAGGTTGCAGTGGGCCAGCTGTTACAGGGATCGGGCCTGTCAGGGAACGCTTTCTTTGGGAAGAGTCCACAGTCACAAGGAGGCGTCTTTGGGACGCGATCCTGTTCACAGTTGACGGCTTTGGCAGCCTCACGTGCGAATCGTGCCGGAAAATTTGCACTGTCACATGTATCGGGCATCTTTGCGACGCGATCTTTGTGACAGATGACGGTGTTGGGGCCCTCTTGTGCAAAAAGTGTGCGCAGTCACGCAGATTCGGCTTGGGGAGGGGGGGATACAATTGGGGGGAGCGGGGTCGGCGAACCGAGAAGCGGGATCATTGTTGCATAAAAATATGGGGAGATATCCATGCTGTGCGAATCACTGAAATCTGAGAGAACCAAGCCCTACAAGCCGCCGTTCTGGGAGCACCCGATGCTCCCAAGACCCATGAGTCCAACATGTGCGGAGCGGGCTGTGGCAGGAGCACGACATGCCAGAACACGAGTCCAGTGATTATCGGAGGATAATTCCCGATTCTTCCCTGATCTTCCCCGATGGCCTTCTTGGCCTGGGGTTCCTCCAAAGCCCCTCGGTGGCGACAGGTGATGGGAGAAAAAGGGTGGCTTCACCAAACTCCGCAGTGAACGGCCTCCTTCTCTCTTCTGGCTCGCGCTCCTCGGCCGTTCTCTCGTTGCGGTAGCCAAGGGTGCAAGGCACCGCCCAGGGAACAGCGTCGCAAAATAGTTTGAGGACAGGGCGGTCCGGCAGAGTCCTGCCACTGACTAGACTGACAAGTGCGCAAAGCTGTTCCTGGTGCCAAGTTGGGCCATGCCTTGTTCTTGCCTTCCTGGATCACTGGGGCATCCTTGGCCTGGTCGGCCGACGCGACCGTTGCAAAGCTGCACCATCGAGTGGGCGTACGAAACACACCTTCTTGAGGAAAGGCTTCACTTTCTCCGTCGCCTGCTAAAGCAAAGGCAACGACAGCTCGAGGCAATGCGCTGCGACTCAGCCTTGTCGAATTCCGGCTTCCACACTGGATCATCCTGCGGCACAGCCGTTTGTCAAGGTTCAGAATGCCCGCCACAACTGCGCTCCTTGCACAAGAGCCCAACCTTTTTCAAAAATTCGATGGCCAACTTTCCTGCGACATGCCAACTTAGTGTGCCCAACCCGATTAAGCCCATCGGAAAGCCATAGAGCGACGAGCGAGACAGAGAGAGAGAGAGAGAGAGCCGAGGCCCCGGCGCTGCTCCTCCGTGGCCGTGCCTCAATTCGGGGTTTAGAAAAGAATTGGGGGAACCTCGGGTCCCCACATGCGCATGGAGGTCAACATGGCCACTGGGAGATCTCCTCCGCCAAGATCTGGGTCTCAAGCAAGCTGTGCCAACAGGATCGCAGCCAAGCACCCGCACAACAGCAACTCCAAAGGCCCTGATGAAGCAGCGCATGTTTCATTCAGATTCTAGTATGAGTAAACCTGTCAATCAGTGCAAGCTAAAGCTGTGGACGGCATCACTAAGGTGTTGTCGGAGTGTACTCGCGCTGCTCACGGAAAATACCCTGCAAGAAGCTCTGCATCTGTGCGGAGTTCCAACCTCAGCGCTTCGGCACATCTCAGGGCAAGGTCGACAAGCCTACAATGGCTAGGTGAGCATCTGATTTACAGCAATCCTGAAGGAGGCCCATGCCACCTTAGGCAGGTGCTGGAGCCTCTTCGCGCCAAGACACTGGTGACCTCGCAGCTTCGAAGATCAAACTTTCAGGCACCTCCACTCCTAATCGCGGCTGAGAACGATGCCTGCGCAATGCAGCAGGACTCCCTGGCAAAGTGCCTCATCGTGCGCTGCAGCAGCCAAATTCATATCCGCACTAGGGAGGGGGACTGAAGCCCCTGCACGAGAAGCTCCAGGATAAAGCCAAAGCATTTTCTTCTGCTTTCCTCGATCTCTCTTGCTTCGATCCCGTGCCTGGGCTCTGCTTCCGCTTCAGGAACATCTCACGAAGCCACGAAGAAGGGGCCGGGCTGGGCCGCAAGCCCTGTATGGCCTCGCAAAGGACCGAAGACTCGATGGACTTCATGATGCGTCATCACTCAATCAGCAACGCCTGGCGTCTTGTGCTCCTCACCTGATGACACCACCTCCTGCGAACAGCGCTAGATGCCAGCTCTTCAACATAGAGACTGTTATCATTGGGAAGAAGGAAGGCATAGTGCCGTCATCATGAATAGCCAGAAATGATGGTTGCTATTCGCGTCCAGTGTGGACGCCGGTGCTTGAGTTGGGGGGAGTCAGTAGTAGCAGTTCTCCGTAGACGCGACTATCGAATGGTCCTGCATACCTCCATCAGCTACTAGAAGTCCTTCGAAGCCCTAATCTGTCTGTCTAACCAGAATAAGTTGGGAGTCGAAGAAGGTGGGCCCCTAGATCCAGTGACCCTGATCCAAAACGAAATGAAATCGTCTACGCACCCGTGCGCAGAATGTTCGGTGATGCTGGCTGTCAACCAACGCTGGGAAATGACGCTGTGATGAATGCTCTTTTCAACATGGCCGCGCGTTGTGCTTGATTGCTGCATACAAAGCAGAGACTCGCTTGAAGAGAAACAGCTACTGGCCGGCAAAGCAGGCGGATCACAACAGCAAGACCCAAGAATTCCCTCCTGAGCTTTGAAATCCGCTTTGGAAGTTGTACTTGCACGTACATTTCCGGGGGTTGGTGCCATTCTTGAAATTCTGCTTGTGTTGACTCTTGGTTTCCGCTGCGAGGGAACAAACAGGCGTTGCGCTCTACATTCCGTGTCGTACAGTCGGCAGCGAAACCGACAAGCTCACCATGCCTAATCCAGGCATAGGCTGACAAAAGAAGCCTCAAAGCCTTAAGCTTTAAGCTGTCGCATATGTCGCCAATAACCAACTTTTTGTTGGAAGTACAGGGCCCACCCCTGCGTGTTAGTGTCTGCCGTGCCAGGTTCAGAACTTGTGACTGGAAAGGAGTTGCAAATCGAGCGCCCTCCTCACCGAAAGTTACAGCCGTCAACTCGAGCCCAATGCGTTTAAACGGCCAGCGCGTTTGAGGCTGATTTCTATGGCACTTTGCACAACGGCAACATCTGCATCTGCATGCAATCAAGGATCCTTTACGACTTTGCACGAACATGGTCCTTTGGCAAATCGCGAAGAAAGTGCAGACATACAAGAGGCGCGAGGAAGCGAATGTACAGTACTTCACTTCCTCCGATAGGGCGTTGTGCATGGTCTGAGCGCGGGCACCTCCTGTTTCACCTTAGCCGCCTCCTGTCCTTTTGTACAGTGTATTTTGCGTTATTTATGGGACATTAACTGCTCGATTTACAGCCTGGATCGTCAGCATGGCACATCTGTTTATAGTTTCAGCTCCTGTAGTATGGCACTCGACTGGTGTGATAGACTCTGAGAAGAGTCGAGCACATCGGAAATCATCATTTCAACTTCTCGAACAGAAGCAGCGATTGGTCGGTAAGCAAGGCAGCAGGTCTCGTAACAGGGAGTGGAGTGGAGTGAAGAGTGACCGGGACAAAATTTGGTCAAAAGGCAGTATCACCTCCGGCCCGAAGGCTTAAGGATCAAACCGCAAAAGAACAAAACAAAATGAAAGAAAAAAGAAAAAACAAAACAAAAGCGTGCTCCAACAGAAGCACAAACGAAACAACCCACCTACTTTCAGCAGCTGCCGCTGCTGCTGTTGCTGCTGCTGCTCCTGCACACCAGCCACGAAGAGGTCGCTACAGGAGAACATGGGTAGACACCCGCCAAGCCCGGGGGATGGATACCCCGAAAGACAACAAGCTTCGCCACGAAGAGCTCGTTACAGCAGCACGCAGGTAGGCACCCGCCAAGTCCCGGGGATGGATACCCCGAAAGACAACAAGCTTCGCCACGAAGAGGTCGTTGGAGCCAATCCCGAGGGATGAACTCTCCAAAAATACACAAAGCTTCGCCACGAAGAGGTCGTAAGAGGAGCACGCGGGTAGGCACCCGCCAAGCCCGAAGGATGGATACCCCGAAAGACAACAACCTCTGCCACGAAGAAGTCGTCAGAGGAGCACGCGGGTAGGCACCCGCCAAGCCCGGGGGATGGATACCCCGAAAGACAACAAGCTTCACCCGCAAAGCCCGGGGGATGGATACGCCCAAAGACCACAACCTCCGCCACGAAGAGGTCGTCAGAGGAGCACGCGGGTAGGCACCCGCCAAGCCCGGGGGATGGATACCCCGAAAAACAACAAGCTTCGCCACGAAGAGCTCGTTGCAGCAGCACGCGGGTAGGCACCCGCCAAGCCCGGGGGATGGATACCCCGAAAAACAACAAACTTCGCCACAAAGAGCTCGCTACGGCAGCACGCGGGTAGGCACCCGCCAAGCCCGGGGCATGGATACCCCGAAAGACAACAAGCTTCGCCACGAAGAGGTCGTTAGAGGAGCACGCGGTTAGGCACGCGGGTAGGCACCCGCCAAGCCCGGGATGGATACCCCGAAAGACACAAAGCTTCGCCACGAAGAAGTCGTTAGAGGAGCACGCGGGTAGGCACGCCAAGAGCAGGGGATGAATACCCCGAAAGACACAAAGCTTCGCCTGGAGAAGGTCGACCGAGTAACGGCACTGTCACACTAGTGCGCACCGGGGGCGAGGAGAGGGGTGCTCATCGAGCAAATGCTCTTAGTGCCGCCCCGGGGGTCCGCGCGGAGTCCGCTCTCTCCTCAGACCATCCCCCAGCAACAACGCACACTAGTCCCCGGGGGTCTCGTAAAAGGGAACACACCATGTGAATGTTCGTCTGGACCCGAGGATCAATCTGGCAGCGGCCGCTTGCCCACCAAATCATTCAATCCGGGTGTAGCACCACAGGAACTCTAACGATTCAGCATCTTGCCCTGAGAGTGCACAGGCAATAAGTCGGCACGACACAAGACCTCTACTCTGCATCTCCTCCGTGTCAAACGAACCAGAATCGAGCTGTTCCAGTATGTATTCCGTGATCTCCAGGATCCTCGTAAACTGCCGGTCGTGTGCCTGGGCTGAATTCCGGAAGAGAGAAATCTTTGCAGGCTTCCGCATGCGTCCGCTCCGGCCTGGCACGCCTTTTGAAGCAGGTGAGCCACCACTGGCCTAAGAAAAAATCACCGACACCAAGCAGAGCAGCAGACATGTCTGCTCCATGCTGAGCCGCTCTGCTGAGCCACCGACTGAGACATGCGACGTAGCCGCTCCCGGCCTCCCAAGCGTGGGCCGATGCCGTGGTGTCGCAGCCAACCTTTCGGCATGTCAGATCCAGCAGCGCATGTGCAGCAAACGAGGATCGGACAGAGGCTTGCAGCACAACCCAGAGCGGAGAATTGCGGGATTCGCCGGATCTCAGTTCCGTTGTCATGGCTGGGCTTCGCAGCAGCACTTCTTCAGGTCAAGCAGACTGGGATCGTCGCCAAATTGTTTACCTGAACAGCAAATGCCTTGTCGCCGTGCGTGACCTAGGCAGACTTGTGCTGCTGCAGCTTGTGACTGTGGATACGAACGTCAACGGCACTTTCAACAAACAACGCAACGACGACAACGACCACCACCACCACCACCACCACCAGCACCACTGCCGCACCAGCACCAGGAACAGCAACAGCCCCAGCAGCAGCAGCAGCAGCAACAGCAGCAACAGCAACAACAGTATCCGCAAAGTTGAACCTGAACCGTACACGGGGTACCCGTGGCCTTGCCCCGCCGCACCCCCCCTTCCGGTTCAACCGTACACGGTGTCGGAGACACCACCATGACCACAGCATTTGCCTTCCATTTCCCTCAAAACCGGAATGCTACTGTGGCTTTCGGCGCACGGCTAGTTTTATTGCATGAGCGAAGGGCTCCCTGCCATCCGAAGAAGTCTTCGTGTGGTAGCCATCTAAACGCACAGCTTACACTTACACATAAAATTGGTAGTGGACTAGCACCCTGACCCAAAGTCGCATTGAGCGCTGCAATCCAAAGAGGCTGTACAACAGAAGCGGCAAGCCGGTAGTTCCGCTACCTACCTCCTTCTTTCATCTTATTCCATTGGCCCGACATGCGCAGACTACAGAGTGCCCCGTTTGCAGCCGTTTGTTGTTGACTCACCCCGTCGAACGAGTGGCCTCATCCCTGAGTCTCCAATCGTCTCTTGCTCGAAACGTGCTGAGCAGGAACGCATTCCAGGCAAACACAGCACAAAGCAAGGGCATGGTGTCGAAATTTGTTGGACCTCTGCCATCTAGACACAACTGCAACCGTCCGGCATCGTCCGGCCGTGGTTGGGGTGCTGAGCTGCTACTGTACTGCTACTGCTACTGCTACTGCGACTACACCTGCCACTATGCTTACGACAGCGACTACGATGCTACCGCGACCGCGGCCACGACGGCGACCTCGACCAACCACAACAACGACGGCTCGTTTGCAGCATCTTACATGTCCAGTACACAGCAGCTCAGCTTGCGTCTTCGTACACAGCGCACAGGTCGGCTGTGGCTTCGTCCACAGCCTGATCTGATTGCTTCATCTGAGGTCAGGGTCTCATAAGATGTTGCACACATTCCACGCCTCGAGTGCGGATTGGCGCACAGCTTCATCCTGTGAGGTAAGGCCTGAACTGCAAGACTACGACAACATGTGCTGATTGTCTCGAGGAGTGAGAGCGGGACCATCATTGCAAACTATTGCCAAAAGCTTCGCCTGGGTGAACGAAGTGCTTCACCCATAAGTTGAAAAACAGTGTCGAGACCGGATGCCTCTTGCACTTCAGGATCTAAATCTATGTTGAGACTCCCGTCCCGACTATTGCCGCCGGAGCACGCATGGTCGCTTATCAGCCGGATGGAATTCGTTGTCGGGATCAACCTGTGGAGCCCAGTTTAGTCCGTCTTGACAGCTCATCTGGCCATGGGGAACAGGCAAACTGCACCAGCAGCTTGTTGAAGATCTGTGGGCCTCGTATTCGACTGGGCTGGGCAGCTACGATCGACTGGCATCACCGGGCAAGTGCTAAGTCTGTCGCTGCGCAATTGCCACTGAACCGATCTCTTGCCTGCTTCTGCAAGTGGCACGGCGATTGCGACGGCACTCCGCAGAATGGCCTTTCGTTGGATCAATTTTCTGACCTGAAGTGTCCGAGCGAACAGCAACTTGATCGAGAATCCAGCACCTGAGCCTGAGCCCCGAGCTGTTTTTGTCTTCCTCCCGGTCACCCTCCCACAGACCACGGTCATGTTTGCAGTTGGAACATGTCGGAACCAGTCAACGAAATTGGCCCGCCAAACGAATTACCACCAGAGCGCGCTCCCAGCCTCGCTTTCACGGCGGGCTGTCCACGAGGGCGCCTGCCAAGAATTCAGAGGATCAAGTCCGCTTGTTTGCACTGCATCAGCCTGGATCGAGGAATTCCAAGCTGTAGCGTTGTCGCGGACAGACGAAGCCGCTGGAGAGCCCGGGCCCTCCGGGCCCTGTGAGAAGCTTGGGAGCGCCGGCAGGCCGTTGCACTGACATCTCCCAAGTGCCAAACAACTGCGACTTGGGGTTGGCCCTCTGGGTCAGGGCAAACCTCGGAGATTCTGAGTTGCCTCACACCACTCTTGTTAACCTGCACAATCGGCCTGCTCACCCCATTCCGAAGCGTCCGACGCCACCTACCAGACGTGGGCCGCTCGGGTATGCCACAAGCCCTTTATGGAGACTCTAGTCTCAACCTGAAAGTTCTCGATTTGCCAATCTGCAGTAGGCTCAAGTCGAAAGAAGCACTGCCGAATAGGCTGAACGTTTATCCCAGGCAAAACCGGTGCAGCCGCGCAATCCCAGTGCAAAGCGGAAGGCAGCACACGCAAGCTGGCAGCGGCCCAAGGCGTAGCCTCGGTACTTGGCGATCGGTCCTCCTGAAGGCTCGGGGATAGAACCGTCCGGGCATCCTGCCAGGTCCATGCACAGCTGAAGGCTCAGTGGCTCCGTGGGTCGCCGCTGCGAAAGCCTGGAACCCAAAGAGGCGCTCGAGGATCCGGCACACCTTCGCGGCCTAGGCCGCTTCCCATTCCCATTCTCTATGTCCGCACCGGACGAAAGATCGGGAACTAAAAGGGGAGGATGGAGGATGCCTCCATGGCGAGCTCCTTGCCGCTTCGCCGGGACCTGGAAGAAGCTCGCGGAGGCAAGACCGGACTCGGCAACACGTGAAGAAATGCTGGGACAGACGCATTGACAGTAGAAGGCCGGCCAGATCTTTGGCATCGTCGTCCTTCGCCGCCCCAGTGGGGCATTCAAAAAGAGCGGTAAAAACGGTGCTCTTTCACGTCAAGGCCCAAGGCGCCCACCCCAGTCAGGCTCAGGTCGAAGCGAGAGACCTGGAAGAAACGACCCGGGACCCAATTTCTTTCTTCGGTCCAGGGCTAAGTCTATGACGTGAGACGGAAAGCGCTGGAGACCACGAGATGTCAATGCCTGTCAAGGGCCGGGCGCAAGCCAAAAGGCGGCTTGTGGCGGGCCCTCTATGGGATGCGTTTGCCTGGCTAAGAGCCAGCAGCGCTTGGTGCTGGCGCGGGCACTTGCCTGTCTTTCTCAATTGCGCAACTGGACTGTGTTGCCAAAACTGACTTTTGCAAAGCCTCGCAGTTGGCACAGAATTGCCTGGGCATACCTTAGATGGATCTTGTGCAGTTAGCCATGCAGCATCCTCAGCGTAATCGGTCTCAGGCATCAGCAGATACGTATGCTGCTTGTAGGCCGCATGAGTGCAGAAGCTTTCCATGCTCTCCCTTCAGACAAATGCGCCGAGAGAGACTCGATAAAGAATCTAAGAAACGAGGTTCAGGGGGCATCTCACAGTCACTTGCCTCGCTTGCACCTCATCTTTGGCGGCTGTTAGATAGCTTGTCAGAAGCACGTCCATCTTTGCCGTAAACCTGAGAAGCCCATGCTCACGCTTGAATGGCCGCTTTAAACATTGAGGCAGACACGCTGCAAAGCTGTCTGATGTTGCTTCGTGTTCTAGGAGCTCCTTGTGGAATTCCTGTCGAAGAGAAGCAAGTGCGAGCACTGATATCTTGGCCGGCTCGTCGCAAAGAGTACGGGAGGCTGAGCAGGGCTTCCAGCAAGGGACTGGGCTGTCCTGCTGAGATGCAATATCCCGCAAGACTTGCTGGATCCAGGCCGACTGTCTGCCTCAAGCCGGACTCAATTCCTTGTCTCGGCATAACGCGGCAAGACAGCTTCCGAGCCTTGGGGCTCCTTGGAAAGCCGATAAACTGCATCTCGATAGTGGCGAATCTGGACGAACCCTGGCTGCCTCCCAATCTCATGACGTGACGGCACAAGCCTAGCGAGTTGAGGTGAAGCTTCTGAGGTTCAAGCCATTCATTGCTTCTGCCATCAGTTGTTCCTTACAGAATGAGTTTTTGCATGACTGAAAATAAGCTGAACTTGGACACCGGCGGGATGGATCAAAGCCCTCCCCAAATTTCTTCGCGATGACTTCATGCAGCCTCTGTGACTCAGTTTCCACATGCTCGCGGGGCCACCTTCTGAGCAAGCTCTGGGGAGGGTGCACGTCTTCTGCCTGCAACAGAACCACAATGCAAACGAGTCGGCACTAGGACAACAGATGTTGTCCTGGTATCCTCTCAACCTGGGGCAAGAAGGCCTTTGAGGCTGTAGATTCTGAAGATTCATCACCACCTCGAGGCACATGCAGTCTGCAGATTGCACGGACAAGAGCTCTGGATGTGACCTCGAAGCATGACGATCCACTTCGCCATCTTCTGAAGATGCCTGGAATCTAGTCCGAGGTGCCAGATGCCAGGTACTCGCGTACGTATGATGTACAATGTACCACTTCACGATGGATGTGGTGATGCACGCAAACTTCGTGCTCCCACGTGCGATAGTGGACATTTCCGAGGCGCTTGCTGGTTTTCTCAAAACACAGGAAACGACCCCAGGGAGCTCGGAGGCTCTAAGTGGGCTTATTTTCGGTTGCTGCAGGCTTCCACAATCATTTTGCTGTCACGGCCTCACGAAGGACTCGGATCAAAAAGCTACTCGTTAAAGATCCCGCAGCTGAGACACTCTCGTGTGAGGCTGTCATAGGGGGTGTCCCCCAACCTCGACTCCATCACCTGCATTGGAGTCACTGCAGTACTTGAAAAAGCTGGAGACAACCCCGAGGTGCGGACGAGCTCCGAAGAGCCGAGCGCTCTGGGCACGGCGCGCTCTGGCTCTGGCTTTGCATCCTTCTCAAGATGCTTTGAGCCAAGCAACTCATGGGACAGCGCCAAATTACTGTATGTACTTCAACCTCAGCCCTAGGCCCTGCGCCCTGGGCTCTACAGTCTGCGCTGTGTCGTTTTATTGCTTGTGCTTGTGCACCTTTCACAGATTCGACCACGAATCTTGCATGAGGCCTGAGCGGCGCTGTCGCGGCTGCTTTAGTAAATGTTTCTGCTGATCTGCTCAGCGCCCGTTCATCAATCCTTGCCAGTTTTCCAGGCCCTGCAAGAGCAAAGATGGATCCCCTCAAAGGCCAGGAGCCCGAGCCGCCATCCTTCAGTAAACAAAGAGTTTGCCCAGAATGCTTCCACCCGTCGCCTTGCGGGGTTCGGCATGAAGCTCAGACGCTTTGGTCTCAGAATTTGGGCGGGAGCGGCTGCAACCCCAGGCGATGCATAGCCCCCAGTCCTCCATGACAGTACTCCGGCACTTGCTCCCCGGGAAGCTTCCCATCGTAAGGGTCGCAGGGATGGCACATCCAGAGGTTCATTACATATCTAGGCTCGACACCGTTGTGGAGGACCTGGTGGATGAAGGTGTCATCAAATGCAATGACCTTCCCTTCCTCCCACTTCAGCTCTTCATATCCGACGTACATCGAGATTTCCCCTTCAGGTACGATCAAACCCAAGTGCACACTCATCCGGGGAGCGTTGCCAAAGTGCGGTTTCAGTCTGCCACCAGGTCTCATTCGCAAAAAGCCTGCCCCCGACCCTCCCATTTTGCAATTCGCAATCTCGGGCCGTTGCTGCAAGATCTGGCAGGTGCGGGGTGCATGAGCACAGACCTCTGGAATGGGCTCGCCTTTTCTGAACAGGTATGCCGTCAGCCAATCGTCCCCTCTGGGGCCAAACTGTGTTTCAGCATTACGGGTGTGCTGGTCAAGGTTCTCGAATGTCGACCCCTGACGCAGTATGCTCTCCAGCTCCGACCGTATGATGGGATAGCTTGCCTCTAGAACACTTGCAACTGGCAGAACTTTCAAGGGATCATGCCACACAGGCCCGAATCGCATGGTGGCTGCAGGGTAATAATCCATGTTGAAATTGACCTCGTGGGTGCTAAGCCCATGCAAGAGTTCCACATTGGGCAGCTGACGCATCTCTCGGAACCAGGATCGCGCCCGTGACAGCATTTGGCTGCCGTGTTGGATACTTCGAGACTGCAACGCCAGGTAGCGGCCGGTTTCCCCGGCAAGCATCAGCAGGTAACGCCAGCGCAGATGGCATTGTAGGATGTAAAACTCCTGCGCGCTTAAATGTGGCTCGTGACAGCGGGCATGCCTTACAGCTAGATACATCAGCTCTGCAGCATGATAGCCGGCAACTGCATTTGGCTCGTTGTTGTGAGGACCTTCCCACCAGTAATAGTTGTAGAGGCACATTGCCACGGAGAGGGCCATGGCCGGGGTCTGCATTGCATGCTGCACAAGCGTCCAGATGTCCGAGGACAAGGCCTGCCACGCCTGTGCTGCAGCAGAATCTCCGGGTGACAGCACATGGGTGTAAAACACTTGTCCAAAGAGATTGGAGAGCTTCTCCATATTCTCGATATCATCCTCACGTGAAAACTCAATGCCTCCAATGGTCAGGGCTGGCATGGACGTTGCAGACTGTTCTAAGCTTTGAGAGGACGTGGCGCCAGCAATGCTGGGCGAGTCCCATGGATCCTGACTGTTGGGCTGCCCAACGGCACGGCCCGGAATGGTTCCAAGAAGCGTGAGGACAGTTCGCGCAGGCCGAAGCATTTGGCATCTGACACGATCACCCTGTTTCTTGCCACAAGAAAAGACCGGTCTAGGTCACTCCACCTGCTTTGCAACTGTCTGTTTGTGTCGGTAACTTGCACGCCCTTGGACATGCACAGTTCAGCTTGTCTGGGTTCACTTGTGGAGGCAGGCTTCTATTTGATGGTTACCTGCATTGCATCCTCCATGGTATGGTAGGCATCCTCCAGGCTTGACACTCGGATGCAACTCGATGCATCATGCACTGCCTTCTCTTGTTTCGTCGGTTCTGGCTCAGATCCAAATGGCTCAGGCCAAGTAGCTTTCGCATGCTGATGCGAGCCAGAAACGATGTGACAATCGAAATGCCGCTCACAAGCCTGACTTGCATTTTTCTCAGAGCAATGGGCCCAGTGAGAGCCAATTCTCAGCCTGGAGCGCGTTGGCCTTCGCAGTGGAGCAGCATTCCAGCAGACATGCGACATCTCTGGGCGATTCTTAGAGACTGGGCGGCAGGCTTGGCGAGGCTGGTGAGACGGTCAACAAGCCATCAAGGTCTGGACGAGCTTCACCTGATTTGCAACTTCCCCTTCTAATTTGGCCAGACCCGTGCGACCGTTGACCCAGGCAGAATGCCTTCCTCATCTTCGTCGACATGAATTTGCGAAGCAGTCCCAGACAAGGACAAACCAGCATCCCCAGCCTGACACGAGCTCAAAACGCAGTGTGGCACTGTGTGGAGCCTAAAGGTCTAAAGGCCCTGGCCTTCACCAGGAGCATCTGCTGCTTGAAGGACATGAAGTCCGTCAGAGAAATCAACAAGTCAAGGACTGCGGCATCCTCAGACACGAGCCATCCATCATGCTACACATCTTTACTCTCTTGTTCTATGGAGACTGTCTTTGCAATAAAGCTGAAAGACTGCAGCAGCCAAGGCCGGAACGATCTCATCCTCACCTGCCAGGCTGAAACCAGGCTTAGTTTCACATGAATCCCGGCATCATGCACTGGTACCAATGGCTTGTGCAACGGGACTAGTGTTGATGTTGCGGATGTGGGGTCTGACAAGAAATGTGTGGCCTCTTCGGGACAGCTCTTCGAGGAAGGATGCCATGGAGAAGCTGACGAAAGCACGCTTGAGCTGACAACGAGCATGGAGCATGGCCTTTTGTGACCATCTTGGAGCCAGGCCCGGGGATGGCGCTTGCCATCTGCCGTTCGAGGTGCCCTTCGATGAGCTCCTGAGTAATCGACGATCAAGAACGCTCGTGGGGCCCGTGGTGACTGTAGTGAGCTGAGCGTCTGCATACTGGTTGAAGAGTTCGGTGTAGATGAGTTTATTCTCCTCTGTGTCCTGAATCCGGCACACGCCGACAAGTCGAGGAGGCATCGAGCAATCCAGCCTCGAAGTGATGGCAGTGTTCCCTGCAGTAGGCATTCAGCATGTCCTCAATGACCAGTTCCACAACGAGGCACTCCGAAGTAACGAATCCCCGGCACAGACCCTTGGCCCTTGGCCTGGAAGGAGTCATCCAGGACAGCCTCTTGAAGGGCCCCGACCTCCACGGGCACGCGAACGCGCGGAACGTCACCTGGTCCTTCGGACATCAGCAGAAGGAGACGTGTCTGGCCTGGCAGTCGAAGGCTGCATCTTCGGCGGTGCTGGTGTCGCCAGTGATGGTGAATTCTTCGTCCTGCATGGATTATTTCGTCCGCATTCTTGCGCTTCGTGCCTCTTTAACTTCAACCGACCGCGCGTCTCTCTTTCTTTCCCCTCGAGCGATTTCGCGCTCGTAGGTAAGGCTGCTGGACAGAAACTGTAGCACGACTGAGCTGTAGTCACCAGCATTCCCCCCGAAACCACTCCAACACTTGAGAGCAGGGCGGACGAAAGCTAGGAAGGGGGAGTAGAAGTACGGAGAAGAAGCCCTTCGCGATGCAGGCCTGTTTGAAGTTAGTACTTTCGACAGCGAAGAACGAGATGGTCTTGCATTCACACTCTCGGTGGAGGCGTCAAAGTGTCGCGATCTCTGGGATGAGTTTATTGCTCCCGGCGTCCACGCGTTACTTTTTGAAGGACTCAGGAAGGCTGAGGTCGAGCACGCCCGACGGCACAGGTCGGATGGTGCCCCGCGCCAAGTCCCCGTTTGAGCTGGCGAAGAAGTCCCTCAAACAACCGTCCTTTTGCTCTGCTTTTGCTCAAGGCCATGGGGAAGAGGCAGTCCCCCTTCCCCGCTCGTCCGAGCGGCCCCACCCTCGACTGAACGAAACTTATCTTGGAGCTGAGCGCGTACCCCTTCATTGAACAGCAACTTCGAATACCAAAGCGATCAAACATACAGCAATCGTGCCTCTCTCTCTTGCTTGCACTCGGACAGAAGGGGTTGCCCCCCTCGCGCGCGGGCGCGCACCGGTCTCACGTCCAGACGTGAAACTTCCCCCGTTCACCCTCTCTCTCTCTCTCTCTCTCTCGCGCTCTGTGGGGCAGCCGAATTTGCCCTGCGGTTCGACTGTCCTCGCCATCGCCGCTAATCATCCTCAGCGAGTTGAGCTGCACGAGGCGGACGAGTTGAAGTGAAGACAAGATTTTGCTGAGTCCGAACTTTCTGGGCTGCCCAGCTCAGCATGCACAGCACCATATGGTGAATCAACAATGTCCTGGAAATCCTCGCCTTGCCGATCACCTGCACAGCCGAGTAGATCACAACAAGACATGACTAACATGACATAGCACATCCTGGCATAACCAAGCTGTGTTTGGAAGAGCTTGTCGAATCCAGGGCCTTCGCAGTCGATGTTCGGCGCCGCTGCCCTGCCTTCTCGATAGCCGGAGTTGGCCTCATTCGCTATGCGGAAGCAGGCCCCTCCACTACCTCTCCAATCTCAAGCATATATGGGAGCCACCTTCGGAAGGACTCACGACAGTTTTCACAGGGTCACGTATCAAATCTCAGAAACAACACAAAAGAAAGTGTGATTCCGCACCCTTGTCCCACCAGTGTTTTTTGCGCGCGTTGAAATCATGGGGTCTGTCCCCCAGCACGCTGGGACGTTCATTGTGGCATTCTTCTGTTGAAGAATCACCAACTTTGACGGGAATTTCACAGATTGCTTCCATTAGGGTTGCGACGTTAGGGGCTCTTTCGAAGACTTGCTTGTCTTGCTACCCCACTATTGGATGCTCGTGATTTCCTGCCTGGACTAGCACCGAACCTAATACGAATCTACCCCAGCTGGGCCCGCATGCCATTGCTGCGTCGCCAGCAGGGCCGGACCATGCACGAATATGCCGGAATATGCCGAATCTGCTTCTTATGGAATTGTATTTTCGGAGCTGCTGTTCTGTCACATCTTCGTCGGATCACCCGTCAGGCTGCAGTGAGACAGAGATGCGGCCTGCCAACGCCTGCATGACTGGCAGGCACTAGCGGCACTAGCAGCTAATCGACGAAGGCCTTAGGTATGAAGAAACCCTCCAAACCGCCCTTGGCCAAGCATTGCTGTGAAGATAATCGTTTCGGGAGGCATGCCTCTGAGCCGAAAGCAGCTTCGAGCAGAGGAGCTGAGCGCAGTGTTTCCGCATGTTGCCGACGCTGCGGTCAGACGAAGTCGGTGCTTGGGTTGCATCTGGCTTTTTCCACCATAGTACCACACGCGTCCACCGACTGCATCGGCTCTCCGGACTTTGTGCCAAACTTGTGCCCGCCGAGCTCCTTCACACCTCCCATTGCTGCGTCTCCGTGATCCTTATGGCCAACGTGACAGAGCTCCGCCAGCACCTCCCGGCCCTGCACGTCTCCGTGATCCGGCCCTTGGCCGGCACGGGAGTGTTACCGTCGGGCCCTAGGGTGCTCGTGCTCGCTTTGCGGCGCCGTCTGCGAGAGCTCTTAGTTGTTGAACGCGCTCACTGCGTAGACCATCCTGCAGGATCTTTCAAGACGTGCAGACGGGCCCGTTCGCTGGGGGGGGGATCTATCCAGGCCTCTGTGCAAAACACGAAACCCGAAAGCAATCAGGCAGCTACAACAGTGTGCGGGGAGCAGAAAGCAAACAAGAGAGAGAGCAGGAAGTGGCAAGCTGATATCATGAAGCACCAGAAGCATTAGCAAAAACCACGCAATTCTTGGTTAGGCCACTCAAGCACAATAAATGTTGCACGAACGTCACTGATGACGGAATACTACGGATTGCTCTGCAGTCCGGCCGGCCTTTGGACGACCTTCTTCCAGTTCTCCACAGCAATGACCAGCTCCTCATCGTTGAAGACCTTCATGCTGACCGAGACCTGGTGCAAGGACTTGGCATCCATGAGCTTGAGAAACAACTCCGGTACCCCCTCAAAGTAGAGCACGTGTGGCATCATCGCCCAGTCGCTGTACACCGACCATTCCAGCGCTTGCTCTACACCCATTGGCTGGTGCACGGAAGCGTAGAACGGGGAGCTCTCAGGGACCCCCAAACCCTCAGGCACCTGGGCCTGATCGGCAGTCCAGTGTCGATACTCCATCATGGGTGCAGTGACTGGGCCTATGAGCCATCGCCACAGGTCCCGAGGGACGAACACTGGCATGTTGGCTGAGTAGAACTCGTTGAAGAGGAAGATGCTCGTGTCGTAAGGCATGCAAACCACTGCGCGGTGTGAGGCCAATTTGTTGTAGGGCATGTGAGGAACCTGGCATCATCGCGTCTCTGTCTAATGGTGGAACAGAAGACCTCTGCACTTGCAGTTCGGAAGCAGCACGACAAAAATCGCATGACAAATGCAGCACGTGATGCACAAACTTGGATGAGATTCTCCAGTGCAAGAATTAGACCAGGCCTTGATCTCGCTGGTGTGCTCCTCCCAGGTTTTCGCATGTTCCAGCTCGTCTTCTCCCGTTGCGGCCTTCAATACAGTCTATCATCTGACCCATTCAGGCTTGCAGCTACCGCTATGCCTTGCATTCGGACCAAGTCTACTCCTGTTTTCGCTCTGCGGGCCGGCGCTACCTTCTTTCAAGGCGGTCAGGGCACGGAGGCACGAAATGATGTCAGATCTTGCTTGAGTCTGCTGCCCCTGGGGAGTGCAAACACTCGTGGCAGTTTCCAATGGCCGGCTTCGAGATCAGAACCGTCGAGCTGCGGGAAGTCGACCGAGCCCGGCAAGGGAAGGCACGTGGCAAGATCTGGCTGTTGAGGGCATCAGGACGGCCGCAGTCAGCCACTCTCTCCTTCAAGATGTCTCCTTGTCATTTCGAGGACGTCTGCCTTGTACCTCAAGCATATGCAGCAAAACTTCGAAGACTCTGCGCTTCCGCATGCTTAGCTGCTCAGCTGTTGGCACTCCGCTGTTGAAGCCTGAGCGCCCACGGATCTGATGGGACGGGCTCGCCTCCGCCAACTCGGAGTCCGGAATGCCCACGATGGAGACTCCCCGATTCTGCACCTGAAGTCCTGCAACGCAAGCTCGGAGCTTCATGGTGTTTGTCTGACTTAGGCGTCTCGCAGGAGGCCTCTTGCACATCCAGTGCCGGTAAGGTGGAGGGCCCCATCCAGCTCCAGACCATCCACCACAACCTCGGCGTCTTCTCTCGTGCCCAATAAGGCGAGCTTGCCGAGCACTAAGCACAGGGCATCGCCCTCCAAGACTAAGGTGGATCTGTTTGAAATGACAATCCTTGGCTCACGAGAAAGCTCAGACAGGAGAAGCTGGTTGCAAGTCGTTGCAAGGCAAGCCTCCTTCCTTTCAGCTTCTTCTGTAGCTGCACCATGGAAATCGCGAAAGAAGGCTTCAGCACAATCCTCGAAAACCACAGCGCCGTGTCATGTCGTGTCTGGGTCGACTTTGAGGCTGCCAGGACAGCCTAGACTCTTCGCACCGATGTTGGCACGTATACCCAGGAAGGACACCTCGTCTGGTTCGTCGATGTCGGCACCGGCAAGCCTCGGTTGTCAAGTTCTCTTCCCCGTGCTGAGTCGAACCGGACCTGGACAGTCTCAACAGGTTTCAGGAAGCCAAGCTTCCGGAGCAGCCGCACATTGCATGAGTACAAGTCCGCCTCGCATGTCAGCGCGCATTCCGGCGGATTCTTCTTTACAGCATCCGCCAGGTTGTTCTTGACGGATGTCTTCGAAATCCAACGCTCCACCTGCGTGACGCCGACCTTGTCATCTGGTCCACAGAGTCGTGGGAAGTCCTGCATCATACATTCGAGGCGCGACGACGATTTGAAGCGAGTCTTGGCAACGTCGGCCCACTTCGGGTTGATGAACTCTGGTACGATGCCGCCGCTGCCGGCTAGACACTCGGAATACCTGGGCAAGTGGAACAGCAACACGTTTATGTTTCCTGGATACGGTGAGTACCCCGAGTCGTCTGGTATATCGCCGCCAGCAGGAGTCTCTTTCAGCAGCGGCTCCAGCTGGTTGTATTCAACATTCAGGGTCATGGCGGTCCCCGAAGGACTCGTGAGTCTGCAGATGCCACCGATGGATTCGCCAGGTATCCTGGGTATGGCCACGGAATTCATGATGTAGCCGTTCTTCGCAGAGACACCAACCAAAGCGCAAAGGATGCGGAAGTGCAAAGGGTTGGTGTCCTGAAATACGAAGAGCCAGCGCCGGCCTTCTTCCACCCAGCGCTTGGCGAGGCCCCGCTGATGCATGAGCCCATGAATGTCACCTTATGCGTAAGCAAGAGCAGCACGCCTAGGCCTCGTCGTGCCTAAGTCTAGGCCCGAGCCCCTAAAACCGCAGGGGCCTTGCAAAAGGGAAACGAATGGAGCCGACTCTGAGTGGCCATGTGGCCGTGGCCATGCGGCTTTGTTTCGATTTGACCCTCCTTTGCAGAGATGTGGGCTTCAACGTCCACAAGTGCAGGGACCTTCTCCTGCTTTAGAAAATGCACCTGCCAGGGAAAGCGCATGACATGATCCCGTGGTCTGTTTTTCCATTCCTGGCCTGTTCCTCCACCATCCCAAAGAAAGCCTGGGATTGTGAGAAAATGTCTGCAGAGCAACTACTTGGACCAAGTCAGCCGTTCGAAGGCCAAGAACCAACGTGTCTGAAGCTGATCCAAGCATCGTTTTCTCTCATCATGTGAATAGTTTTGTCATGAGTGTCGCCCGAAGTCATGATGGCGAGTGGCAGCAGCAGGCTGGAATCACCGGTGTCGGTGCGTGCATAAGATTGACATGCTAGGATGTACGAGCAAAACAGCTCGATGAACGTTGTCCCTGTGATGACTTCCGTCACGATGCCGATCTTTATGCCAGGGAAGCCCAAGCGCTCGCCAAGGCCACCAGCCACGAGGCAGAAGCAGCACTTTGACAACTCTGCCATGCCCAGCTCCTCCGCAGCAGCGAATGTAGGGCTGCCCGGGCCCGTCTCGCCGAAGAGCTGCTGCCCCTCCGGCACCGAAGGCACCAGCCCGGCAAAGGGGTTCACTCCGGCCTGGGCCTGTGCCGACACGGAAGGCGTGTGCAGTCGCGCTACAGTGTGAAACCTGGGATTTCTGCCAATGCCAATGGCTATCTGAGGAGATTCAAACCTTTCGGCCCCGACCTCTTGGAGCAAGGCACGGCCACGTTCCAGGTAGCCCTTCAGTCCACCACCTGGGTGTGCAGGTCTATGCCTGCTTGTTTCCCATGACAACTCTGCCGCGAAGCCGAGTGCGGCATTGCATTCCGGTTAAATGATAATAAAGGAGCCACAGGGATGAACACGGGACAGGCAGATCTGAGAGAGCGCGGACGCGGACATGTGCAAGGGTGCAGTTGGGAAGAGAAAAGAAGAGTGCCGCAGGAAGGAGACAACATGAGACAACCAGAGCCAGAGCGAGGGTAGAATGCATGGGATGGAAAGACAGGTAGCCAGGGAAGGGAAACTCTGTGATGTCACCAAGCTCCGTGCCGGGCAAACTGCCATCGATTGCATTCAGCTGTTCCAAGAGGGCGTTCTTCTGATTCTCTGGCACGTCATCCGCAAAAAGATGGGCCTGGCAATAAGGTTCCGAAGAGAGCTCCTCGACGGTCAGCGACATCGCCCCCCACGTTAACCAAAGCTTCGAGCCAATTTGAATCAACGGATTCGTAGCTGCGGACTTGGGCTCAGTGCTCGCGGCTTTGAACCGGGCGGCCGACCAGGTGCTCTGCAAAGAGCAAGGACTCCATCTGCACAAAATGGAGAGGAAACCTAGGCTACACAGCTCAGCTGCCCAGCAGCTCAGCTTTGTGAAAAGCTTCAGAGCTCTAGGCCAACGCCGGTTGACTGCCGCGAACTTTTCCAACACGCACTCCTCAGCTGAAGCGGGAACCGCTATCGGCGTCTCAGAACTCCCAGCGCTCGAAGCACTCCAAAGCAGCTTGCAAGCGTAGAAATCTGTGTACTCGGACCCATGATTGCGGCAGTAACACGAACGGAAGATGTGAAGCCGTCGAAATCCAATGCAGAGCCCGTCGCCAGCAGAGCTAAGGCAGGTTCCGAAAGCCCTCCACTGGTTCCAAAGCGGCTCACCAAGACAGTGGAATTCCACACAGGCCTTCATCGAGTTGCATTCAGAGCATGCTACAAGATGCTTCCCGGACCGCTCGGGCTTGGACACATGCATCGCATTTGTGTGCAGGCCAAGTGGTCTCAACGTTGGCACGCGTACTCCAAATTGCCACTGGACCTCTCTCGCCTGTCAACCAGTGCTTCAGGTCAAGAGTCTAAAGTCAAACAAGCACGGCAGCAGCATGCTGAGAATTCGACTACGAACACACTGTTTGCTATGACCACGTGTTGTTGGCCTCCGCTTCACTTCAGCACATGAACCGCTTCCGGAGAAAGGACCGTCTGAGTACCATCGCTCATCAAGATGTCGGCAAAGTCTGCTGCCCAGCCAGCACGATCGGCTTCAGGCATGTCCTGCAGCTTGGTGGCTTGATCATGCAAGCAGCTGTAAGCATGCATCATCGTAGGTCCCACATCACGGGCAGCCCAGCGTAGAGAAGCATCGGCTTTCGCATGTTGATCAGGAAGCGACACCAACCTTACAATAAAGGACTTTAGGTTTTCTTGCTTCGATACACCGGGAAGCTCGCAAGCGGCACACTCAATGGTTGCGAGCACATAAGGACGTCGGCCTCTCGCGAGAGCCTGCCCGAGCAAACTGGCGATTGAAGAATTCATGTGTTGGATAAGTCTTCCCTCCACTACGACTTCTTGTCATCACGATTTCGGCGGGCAACCTTTGCCCCAGAGCTTCTTCGAAAGCAGCTGCAACGGTAGCGAATGCCTTGACAACAGACGGCGCTGAGCCAAGACAGGAGCAGCTGGCAAGCTGTCTCAGAGTCTCTTCTCAAACTGCCTGCTTCTCCTTGTAGTAGCGTCGCAGAAGTCCCTGCAGGAGCTCCTCAAGGAAGTTTCTAAGAGCTGGACTGACGCCCCGAAAGAGAAGTGCCGGTGAAGAGGTGTCCCTCGCAGAACTTCAACCCTCGCACATGGTGCTGAAGATGCGAACGGCACGAAGGCACTATGCACCATGCGCACAGCGTATTGTGAACTAAGTGGTTGTTCTGTTGCAAGTAGGACTACTATGTATGACCGTCCCACTAGCAGCTGGAGAAGCAGCAAGTGGCAGTGATCGTTTTCAGATCAATCCTGCTATCAGGAAATCAATCTACAGACAGCATACACGGCTCCGCCAGCCAGGATAGCCCAAAGAAGGGGCATCTCTCCGACGTTGCCAGACTTTAGGCACAAAAACGTTGCCTGGGCCACACATGCTCCCAGTCCTGCAGCGAGTCGATCGTGTCTTGGAAACGGAATCAACATGCATAGCAAGGCCAGTGGAGCACCGACTGCTGCTGTCGCGTCTTCCGCAAGTTCCCAAACATTGTCACCCAGTTTGGACACACCGCCGACCAAACCGAGTGCAAGAACGACAGTTGCATGATCTGCCCATGCAGCTTGAGGCAAGACTTGACATCTTCTGGCCTGACTTGCAATCACCTTGGCGCACATGAGGATGCTGGTGTCGACAGTGTTCAATGATTCCAGGATCAATACTCCGACCAAAACTTGTTCCTTACCGGTCAGCTGAGGCGGCAAAAGTCGCTGAATGGCCACTCCAATGACTTGATCCTGCGACTCGCAAAGATCGTGCCCGTCGGAAGTCTTGAGCAAACCCTTGTAGTTTGACCAAAGACCAAGGATGGCAGGTGCCAATCCAATGGTACCAAACAGCAAACATGCAATCAAGCACGCAAGCCTCGCTTGTTGTGGAGACTTGGCCGCGAGTACTCGGCCGGCCAATTCCTCGGTGAATAAGTTGCCGAAAAGTCCAACAGCGAACTTGTTAGCGGCAAGAGACGGCGCAAGAGTCAGCGCATGAACCTGCTCTACTTGCAGCACTTTTTCCGGCAGCTGTTTCCATGCCAGAGTTGCCAATATCATCATCGTAGGGGCCACGACGAGCATTGAGAGAGCATCCAACCAGACATCCGCCAGAAAGCCCCCGACAGTAGACCAGGACAACAGCCCGAGAGCCACTGCTGGTTCAAGCCATTCTGCTGCACAGACGTTTAGGCCGAGAGCCAAACTGATAATGGCCTTGTACTGAGCCCCCGCCCAAAGCACCGATCCAATCAAGGACAAGGCAGCCGCAATTCCACCTACGGTGCTCCCGAAGCGATGGACCATAATGTCGGACATGGTGTCGTATCTTCCAACGAATGGGCCTAACAAAAACCCAAGAGCCATCAGGCAAGCAGCTGCACCCAAAGGATCTAAAAGAATGGCAGGAACTGCATGGCTGCAGGCGACTTCTCCGGTCAAGCCAGTGATGTTCTCCGAGCCCACCCAATTTGCAACCAAGCTAAGCGCAACGACCAGGAATGGCAACATAGAACGATTCACCCCAAAGGCAAAAGTGGCGCGTTGACTTGAGCCTTCAGCAGAGTCATGTCATGAGATCACAAGGACTTGCATACACCTGTGCCCACGCAAAGCACACCACACCGGGACCAAGCTTGCTCTGGAGCAAGAGGCCGAGAGCAAGCAGCACTGCACAAAACTCGACTGCAGCTTCGATCAATGCGACGAGCGGCAGTCCTTGTCCTCCGGCTGGGCACACAAGTCGTAGTTTCGACCTCCCGAGCAGACGAGAGCTCACGAGATCAGGCGCAGACCCTGACTCCAAAACAAAAGTTGAGAGCTCGGCAGACGTTGGAAGGGAAGGAATTCCCAAGAAAGCTGACACGAACCTCAGCCACGGCAGGCCTTGAAGAGCTGGGAAGACCGGGGTATTCGACAACACCGGTTGATGACTCGAGAGCGGAGCACAACAACGATGCCGGCTTAACACGAAGTTATGCCAGCCGACTAGGTTCACATACCCAGAGAGTCATCGGGACACTTTGTGTCAAAACTGCATCAAACCATGGCACATGCACATGCAAGTGCCAACACACTTTGTCGCATGTTTTTGAATGTCAAAACCGCGTTGCGGTTCATTGCGTTTCAACTTCATGGTTGGCATTGGTGTGCTCAGCAGCCTTTTGTAGCAGTTCAGTCTCCTGCGCTTCGGCGTGGCTGGACAGGAGGGCCAGGGCTAGGCTGACAGCCTTCAGACCATGACCCCGGAGCAAACGGCGCAGACAGGGCGCGTAGCTCCGCCAAGCATCCCAGCGAGAGAAGCTTATCGCTAGGCATGTATGGGACGAATCTTATCCCAATCATCCTCGAGATGGCTGCCCTTGAAGCCTTAGGGCCAGTGCGGCTCTCCCATTTAGGTCAGTGCTGCTGTCTTGATGGGATAGGCACAGGTTGTGTTTGTATTGTTGGTGCTCGTTTTGCTTGTGCAGGTGGGCCTATGCCGGTTAAGAGCCTGGCTCCACCGCCGAGCTCACATGCTGCGGAGTCTCAACAGAGGTTCGCAAGCCTACCAGGATCACAACCGTAAGGGTGAGTGAATCAGTGGGTGGATCGTCGAGTGAGTGAGCGAGTGAGCGAGTGAGTGAGTGAGCGAGTGAGTGAGTGAGTGCGTGGGTGAGTGAGTGAGTGAGTGAGTGAGTGAGTGGGTGAGCAAGTGTTGACCTGGGATTCCAAAAAGACGTTCAGCTGATGCCCCTTGTGGTTGCGAGTGCTCGAACGCGATAATGGTTAAAGCTAACCTGGCTTGGGCAGCTGATGTATGAAACCTTGCGCGGGGGCTTAAAGGGTTCTCTGTGCCTGCTGTGCCGTCTTGGAAACCGGTTCCCGATCACACAAGCGTTTCTTTGGATGGTTTTCGCCGCGTCGTGCTCCCGTCGTTTTCCAGGGTGCCTGTTTTGATGGCCATGTGGCTGGGAGGCACGAAGCCAGCGCATCCCTCATTTAGGTCAGTGCTTCGCCGCTGGCCTGATGGGATTGGCACACTTTGTTGGTGCTCGTTGTGATTGTTCAAGTGGTCTGGAGATAAGTAGGTAGGTAGGGATCGACCAACGATAGCTGGCCCCCCCACGAAAGGATGCATAAAGTACTGCAGCCAAGCATCTGGATACCATTTAAGGGCGGTGGTGAGCCAAATGGCGTCGGATGGGGTTCAACGGCATTGGCAAGTGAGCTGCCACGACAAAAGTGCCGCGGAGGGGTTGGGCACCTGATCGGTTGAGTTGATCCAACACGCGCATGGCTTGCGTGACAAGGCCCTCGAGCTGGAACACGTCTGCTGGCTGCGCGAGGGAGTGCCTGTCGAGGACTGTGCCTCTTTTCCCAACAGCTTATCTACAGCGGAGCAGCCTAGCCTTTGCGGGACGAAAAGGTGGAAAGCCGTGCACGCCACGCACCCAAGGTTCAAAGAAGCGGACCTACAGTCGAACGGAGACGGCAATGCAGAACCCCGATCTCGGCGTGAGAGGGGGGGGTCTGGAGCATGAGAAAGTTTCTTCGGGACGGTGGGGCAAAGAAGCACACCCAATGCGGGAGGCAGCGGACCAATACAGCCAAACGGAAACCAGAATCCAGACCCCCGGTCTCGGGACGAGAACGGGGGCCTACCATTATGAGAAACCCCATGCAGGACGAGGTGGAAAGCGGCGCACGCAAGGTTTAATAAAGAAGCGGACCTATACAGCCCATCGGAGACGGTAATCCAATCCAGCCCCCCGGATCTCAACACTCAAAAAGAGTCTGGAACATGAGAAAGCTTCTTCGGGACGGTGGGTGGCAAGAGGCGCACCCAATGTGGAAAGAAGCGGACCTACAGCCAAATGGAAAACCAGAATCCAGGCCCCCGGTCTCGGCGCGAGAAACGGGGTTCGGGAAGGTCTTTAATCCGGCCCCAGAACATCAGAAAGATTATTCGGATATATTCGGGACGAGAGGTGGAAAGGGCGGGAGGCTTCTACGGTGGAAAGGAGAGAACCTACAGCCAAACGGAGTCGATAATCCAGACCCCCGATTTTGGCGTGAGCAGGGGGGTCTGGGAACATGAGAAAGCCTATTCTGGACTGGCGGGTGGAAAGGAGCGGACCTGAAGCCAAGCGGAGTCTTAAATCCAGACCCCTCCCCCGATCTCGGCGCTAGAAGGGGGGTCTGGTGAGAAAGCCCATTGGGACGAGAACATCAAAAGAAGCGCACCCAAGGTGGAGAGCGGCGATCCATGATGCACTCGGCCACCAGAAGGCGCATCAGGATGTTGAGTACTGCCGAAGTGCGTGTGACGAGATGCGGATAAGCGGGTGCCATGGCGAGGATGGCTGAGGAAAAGAGGTGCGTGGGCGTGAAGGGCTGGAAGGAGAACTGGCACTGCCACTCTGACGGAAGAGCGGACGGGGAGGGGCGGGTGCTCGTCGACGGGTGTGGGGGGGGGGGCCGTCTTAATGCCGCCCCGGTGTCCCGACACCGTCAAGCAACCCAGAGAGACCGAGACAGACCCGTCAGAACCGGGGGGTGGTCTGGAGATGTCTGAGAACAGATCACTTCCTAAACGCCAAGGCCGAGACTTTCATCGCATGACCAAACCTGGTAAGCATAGTCTTGGCCTCCGCACGAAAACGGACACCTACAATCCAGGACAGCACAGTTGGCTTGCAAATCTTGCAACACCTCCCCAGCCAGCGCTGTGTGGTCGTCAAACTGCCAGATTCGCAATGCAGGAACAACATCAAGCCTCAGCTTCGCAACATTAAGCGTTCACCGGAGCCTTCTGGAGCGCGGATGAGTGCCAGGCTCCATTCCCCGATGCGTCTTTTTCGCATCTTCTGACGTCCCCTGCCTCCGACGTTCTAGGTGTTGCCCCACACACACACACAAACACGCACACTTGTGTGAGTGACTAAGAAGCCCACCAACGGCTGTGCCAGCGCAAAAAGGCTGGTCCCTCCAATCCTGGACATGGGAGGAAATTCTGATCAAGCTTTCAAAGCAACTGCGTACGAGTGCGAACTACAGCAACAGCATGTTTCTGCAAAGAGGGGCCCGAGTGCGCGAATCGTCGATGTGTGCTCGACAACAGTTTATAAGTTTCGCATCCAACAGCGAAGACAAGCTCAAGAGAACACGTTGGCGCTGGAGCACCGCCTAAACATCACTGGCATGAGGATTTGCTCGATCAAGCGGGATGCCATGTGCCGAACACTAAAATCGCTAAACAAGAGGCCCAACGCTAAAAGGTGCTGATAACGGCTCTCACTGCCCCTGCCTGGAAGCCGACCGGCAGCGCGAACTTGCTCCAGATCTTGGCCCACGAGGAGGCGCTGCGACACCTGGGAAAGCGAAACGAAGCCCAAGCGCAAGCCAGTTCGAGCCTTCGGAGCCCAGCAATGTGCACGTTCAACATCACCAGCAGGGAGTCCGCGGGCCAGCCGGAAGATCTCAGCCTAAATGGGCCCGGCGGGCTCCCACGCATCAACGATCGGCAGTCGGCAGCCGAAAGGAAAGCCGGGCGACCAGTCAAAGGCAAAAAAGTCGCCGAGGAGGACGTACCTCGCAGCGGAGGGTGAAGGGGGGGGCGGCTCGTTGCGCGGCGCGCAGCGGAATCTCGGCCGCCGGCGCGAGGAAGAGCATCCGGCCGGCCTGGGCCTGGGCCGCGGACTGCCATGGACTGGGACTCGCCGCGTCGGGACTCGGGACTTCAACTTCTCCCAAACCCAAGCGGCGAGTCCGCAGATGAGCACTAGCTCTTTCTCTGCCCTGCTCTGCCCTCTGCTCAGGCTGCGACCACCGAATGAGGGAATTCGAACTGGGCTGCGATCACGAGAGCAGTCATGAAACCTGCGCCCCAGGCCGAGCGGAATGTGCCAAGATGTGCCAAGAATGCCAAGTGGTCGGACCGAAGTGACAGTAATCCGAGGGCGTCCGCTGAACGAACTCCAGCCCACGGTTCCTGAGCGCAAGCACGGGGGTTCGTGACTGCACTGGAGAAGCATCCTTAAGGCCTGAAGTAATGGGTGATGAGGTAACGGTCGAAGTTGACACTGGCTTTGCAACGTGCACCCCAGTCCTCATCAAGATGAAAGCTCTGTGAAATGGCATGCAGCTGTCGCTGCAGAATGCGTCCTCTACGAAAAACCAAGCCAGGTGCTGTGTTGTCTGACAGTCCTCCAAGCCCGAAGCAATGAGATACTCGCGGACAAATTGATTGTGCCGAGCCTCCTTGCAAACGATCCATCTCCACTTCGCCACCAGGCTTCTAGCCATCGACTGTTCAGAACAAGGAGCTAGGATGAATTGACACGGTTGTTTTGGCATAGCGGCATTTGCTCCCCGAGGGCAGGCGCAAGAAGGCCTCCAGCTCTTTGGCACCGCTCGCCTCGACATCCCAGCCATTCCTGTTGCAGTCACCGACAAGAGGCTAGACGGTCGCAGTCGGGACGACTGACAGCGCCTGCTATGTGCAACAGCCGCCAGGCGAAATCTCTCCCATTCCGGTGAACTTGAACAGTCCAGGTCTGTGGGTCGCAGGACCTGCATGAGCCGGGGGGGTGTCTGCAAGGCTTTCAAATGCCGTCTCGGCGACTATTTTGACTCTCGCCAGCAAGCCATCTCAAATGACTTCAGGCACAGGCTCACTGGGCTCAAAGGGTGTGTCGAGCAAAGCGTACGGGCCCAAGAAGCCACCATAACGGTTGTGCGCCAGCCAGCACGCACAATTGACCACACCCTCGGGACAACTGTTTACGAACCTGTCCTTGTTCTCAAAGAATGTCGACCGCAGTTCAGCTAACTGCGATGACATGCTTGATACTATATCCGGTCGCTGCTCGAAGAAGTTCACTTGCTCCGTTGGGTCGTGCTCGATGTCGAACAGACAGCCACCAGAACATGCAGAAGCTGTGTCCTCTCCGGAGCTTGCGTTTGGGAAGCGTGGGCCTTGCCAAAAGCTCGGCGCGGTCGCAGCAGTGATGAGCTTCCAATCACCTGAGATGAGGCATGTACTGCCCACGGGGACGATGGAGCGCGGCGAGCGTGCAGCTGCTCCCATCAGGTAAGGCCACACATTAAGTGAATCTACCTGCGGCAGACCCGCAGCTGCTGCGCGGTCATCAAAGACCTCGACGCCTGCAAGACTGCATAGTGTTCCGTACCAATCTGCTATGTGTATGATGCCACTTTTGCTCGTCCCGCGCATCTCTTGTGGAATTGCACCCCCAGAAACAAAGGCGGCTGCCCGAATTCCACCCTCAAACTGGCTGTACTTTCCACCACGGAGGGGCCAGTTGTTTGCTGCGTTCTCTGCCAGTCTCACCGGCCCACCATTGTCGGAAGAAAATATCATGAGCGTGTTGTCCCACATGCCCTTGGTTTTCAAAGCACCAGTGATATTCCCCACAACTTCATCCATTAGCATGACCATTGCAGCATGCTGCTGCCGGCACTTGTACTCCAGCTTCAAATTCGACGGATCAATAGGATGCTCGCTCTGAACTGTTTGCTGACGGCATTGGTCCTCGTCGTCGGACATCCAACTAAATCTGTTGTAGTACTGCTCTGGAACCTGCAGGGGACAATGAGCCACGTGCGGCGCATAGAACAAGAAGAGCGGAACAGCCGGATCGTGTTGCTGAATCACTGATAGCATCTCGGTCTGATAGAGAAATTCGGAATATCCAGTGCCATTCACATCACGTGCTCCGCGGTTGGTACGCCAGAAATCTATGATGGAGGGGTCTGACTCGCAGCAAGTCTGCATGTTGCCTTGATTGTAGAAGTCGTTCTTGTGTGAGAAGTAGTGTAGGCTGGTGTCATAGCCTCGACCATGCGGTGAGTGACGTGGGGTTGACATCCCTGCATCCCATTTACCAGCAAAGTGGGTTTTGTATCCTGCGGACTTCATCTTCTCCGCCACTCCTGTCATGTTGTATGGGATGCCGGTGTCATCATCACAAACATCGCCCAAACGGGTGTTAATGTGGACAGGCAACCTTCCCGACTGAACTGACGTCCGTGTTGGCGTGCACATAGGGTGCACGTAGTGCCGGGCAAGGTGGATTCCGGATGCTGCGAGACTATTCAAATTCGGAGTCACAACCTCTGGATTGGGCTGCTCCCGATGAAATCCCACGTCTGCCCAGCCCAAATCGTCAACTAACACGAACCAGATGTGCGGCTGAAGTCCTTCTGTCTGCCACGCAAGCAATGCAGGCAAGAAAGAACGCAGCTTGGCTGCCATGAATAAGTGGGTCGACGACCTCCTGCTCAAATAGGCGCAACAGCTGCTGCAATCTACAACTACGCTGTACTGTGCCCCCAAGCTTGAACAAAACGACAACTCCGCACTGAGAGGCTGTGGGTACCCTGTCGATCCCTAAACCCAAGCCCAGAGCGAGCCTCGTCTGCAGTGCGAGGAAGGGGTGAAGCCGAGGAAAACTGAGCATTGCATTCGGGACACGGGCTTAATGCTGCCAAAACACTGCGTCCACGAATGCAAAGCGCTCACAGTGCACTGAACGGACACGGAATTGCGCCAAGCGCTGCCAAGTGGCCAGAACTCCGAGGACGGCAGCGGCAGCTGCTCTCGGCCCGGAGCCTGCGGAGCTGAGACATTCGAAATCTTCGCAAAAAAAGCGATCACGCTCCAGCTCCAAACGTCGCTTTCCTGCGGATCGCCTGGCCTGGCCGCAAACTCATGAGTCGAAGGGCTCATGGCGATGCGGCCGATGCGATTTCGCCGAAGTCTGACAAGACGATGGCTCTTGTGCTGCACCACGAACTCATGTAACCGCGGCGTCCCTAACAAAGGCGCTCATTGTTGCCACAAGCCAAACGGCTGTCGAAGCAGGTAGCGCATGATCCGATGCGCAACGCCTCACGCTTCGCTCACGGACTTTCAGCAGCGTGTTTGAGCTGAGTCAGGCCGTCTTCCAATGCACCTCGCTTCCGTCCAGCGCTGCACAGTGACAGAATGCATTGCACCATATACAGATCCCCTCGAACAGAATGCGGGCCGACCTCTCTGGGTCGAGGATTCCGGCCTTCTTGCACGTGCAAAGCTGACCTGGATCCACAAAAGCACGGCTCTTGAGAGGACCCGGTTTGTCGGAAGCTTCGTCAGAACCGACTCGGCACCACGCAGCGTGTCTTGACCTGCCAGGACATGGAATCATGTCACATCCTGTCCTGCAATGACAACCTGCCTTGTGAAGCGTGGCTGCTTTGACACCGGCGTCACATGCTGTCTCTCCGCCTGGCGCAGGAAAGCACGCTGGAAGTCAACAGGAATCTCAGCTTCGCTCAGCAATTGTTGTTCTAGCGAGCACATGAGTGATTGGGGTGGAGTCAAGTGGAGTCGAGAGGAGGGAGGGAGAGAGAGAGAGAGAGAGAGAGAGAGAGAGAGAGAGAGAGAGAGAGAGAGAGAGAGAGAGAGAGAGAGAGAGAGAGAGAGAGAGAGCGAGCGAGAGACAGCGAGAGACAGCGAGATCCAGCGAGAGACGGCGAGAGACGGCGAGAGACGGCGAGAGGCAGCGAGAGACAGCGCAACGCAGCGAGAGAGACAGAGAAAGAGAGAGAGAGAGAGAGAGAGCGAGAGGGAGACACAGGGAGACAGGGAGACAGACAGCCAGACAGCCAGACAGCCAGACAGCCAGACAGACAGCCAGACAGACAGCGAGAGACAGACAGAGAGACAGACAGAGGGACCGACGGACGGACGGACAGACAGAGACGGAGAGAGGGTTGTCATTACTCGGCTCTGTGTTATGCAGTGATGTTGTGCGTTTCCTTGTTGCTCCCACTACCCGCGCGAGAATTACCATCGCTTGCTGGAAGAAATATTTTTGGAAGCCTTTTTGCAGTTGCATGGCTGCAGCTGCACTGTCCGGGGCTTCAGGTTGCATCTGGGGTTCGGCTTGGGCGAGGCGGACCCTGTTCGGCCTGGTACTCGGCCCAGCGACACCGGGACACTGTCTCGCGCTCCTGCGCAAGAGCCGTGTGAAGCTCGTCACAGCAGGATTCTAGTCTCGCCTGGTTCTTCGCTTCAAGCACGCGCGAACCAACATCACAAGCCCGAACCTTACCCAACGCGACAGGTGGCTCACGACCCCAGGAGCAGCTAAGGGAGCCACATCCTGTCTTCGAACAACCATGTCCAGCCTTCTTGGGCCCAAAATTTTCGCACTTTGCCCAAAACTAGACTGCAGAGACCTGCCTTGGGGTTGGTTGCATCTCCGGGCGTTGCCAGAAGTGCTTGCCCTGGGCATGCAGAGCTGCCTTGCAGAGTTCCGCCTGCGCACAAGGGGTCGCCTCGTCTTTGGAGGGGGAAAAAAAGCGATGAGCAGAAGGTCGCAGAGGGAAGAATTGCAGACCTCGCCAAGGACGGTGGCAAAATTCGTGCCGGAACCCTGAAAGCTGGCCTGGCTTTTTCTTTCGGCGCCAGCTTTTGCCTCTCTGGCTGAAAGCCGTGTCCTGCTTTCTTCCAGTCGCACGATGCTTCAGAGGCGGTCTGCACATCCCGCACCCGGACCCGCAACTGGACTTTCCAGTCTCCGTCGCTAATTCCAGGTGTGCCCGACCTCAGTCGAATTCGATTGAGACGGGCCAGGAAACACTATAGTGCCATTTTCGAGTGTGCCAAGGCGCCGCGGAGGGTATTCCTCGTGGATATCGTCAAGCCGGTTTTGACACCACGCCAGGGCCTGGATGGCTACGGTTTCAGGGGCTCTATGCCGGCAGACCGTGAATGAAAGCCAGATCCAACCGAGACAACTTGAGCCCAATCTAAAACCCTTCAGAACACTCTTGTATTGAGTGAGGCTGAAGATGACGACCCCAGCATAGTTTTCTTAGGTCCGTGCTTCTGCCGCCGTGGTGAGGTGGAGGCCAAGGCCTGCAAGCTCGGGAGTGTATGCTCAGACGCCGGTGCATTTCTTTACCGACCGAGTTCACCGACGAGGTGTTTGCAGGTTTCATCCTGGTATTGCCTAACACCTTCTGGCCCTGGAAAGCAGAGCTGTCGTTTCTGCGCGAAGATCAGCTCCAAGCCTTGATCCGTCCAACGAGCCTTAAGGGGCCGGGAAGGCAAAGAGACCTCGAAGACCTGACTCGATCGTGCCGACGCTTCGGAGGCCGCGGCCTCACCTTCATGGTGTCTCTCTTCCAGAAGCACGACACGCGCAGTGTCGTCGCTCACTTGCAGGTCGAGGTTAGCTCTCTGGGCTGCGCTCAGGACAGTTCTCAGAAGCAGCTTGGAAGAGCTCGTGGAGATTCCGCAAACCCAGCCAGGGAGATCTCGCACTCGCAACACGTACAGCAAAGTCTCTCCCAACTGGTACTCTTCGCATTGCCACCCATCACTCAAGCCCAGTCGGTCCAGTCGGCTGAGGGATGCCACAACTGCATAAGCACCAGGTCTCAGCACCCTCCGGTACTCCGAAAGCAGTGCACTGCACGCGCTTGGCTGGTTATGGCTTAAGAGCTCGTCGCACGCGATGTGGGCCAATAGACCCTTGTCGATCAAACAATCAAAGCTGTTCCTCCAAGCATTGGGCATGGATGCCGCGTCGCCGTGATGCCACTGCACCTCCGGCTGTGCTCGGCTCATCCAATCTATTGCTGTCCGGGACGCATCCATGCCTGTCACCCGAGCCCCTTCCGCGAGCAAGGCAGGCAAATCTGATGTTCCTGTGCCAACGACCAGAACATCACCTTCCAAAGGTAGCCTCTGCACCAACAGGAACTCCTTCAGCTGTTCAGCGGAACAGTAGCAATCCTCTGAAGAAAGTTTGCCCTTTCTGGCCAAGCTTCGCGCATAGTACCTTTCCCAATAGTCAGCCATTGAAAGCAGCCAAATTAGCTAAATCTAGCCAGACTCTCCCATGCAAGACGGCGAGAACTTGATTGCCCTCACGCGTCATTTGCTACCTGCTCACAGTGCTCACACTTGCTGCAATGAAGGGTGCGAACAGAATTTTGACAACCTGAGCCGAAAATGCTTCCGTGAGTCGAACGATGTCGCATGTTGTGGTCCTCATGGTCACCGCAGCGCACACGTGCGGTGGCCTTCCTGAATCTGGCTCTGGGTCCAGCCATTCCTGCAGCGCTCGAGTTGTGACTCGTCCCTGTGGAACAGTGAATCTATCTGCTGCTTGTCTGAGACGCTGCAGCTACGCATATCCAGGATCTATGAACGGCTTCTTTTGCCATGGTCAGATCTTGGATTTCTAAAACACATTCGAAAGCCATAAGCCTGATTAATGATGCGTGCCTCAGACCATTGTGCAACAAGAACGCTCCGAGTGCCACACATCAACTGCTGCAACCGTTCAACTCTGCCTTGCTTCGTCTGTGGGCTGCATGCATCGCAGGCAAACGTCGTGGCAAACTACCGTGAAAACGGCAAGCATGAAACGGAAGAGACTTGTGCAGTCTGCTTACCTCACCATCAGATGATCAACTGGGCCGCGTGCGATCCAGTGCACCAACTGAAACTTGCAGCAACAGCTCATGGTGACGGCCATACAGATCCTGCAGCGGTCTCTGCGTTTGCCGTCAGCATTGTTGTTCAGTTGATATCTGGGCTGGCGGCAATCTTCGACAAATGTACAGTACCTGCAAATGTCCTCCTCGGCGTCTGCCATACTCTCCATCAGGATCCACACCCTGTCGGCATGAAATGTCGACGGTCATCTGGCCACAGAAGCACGCAGCACGAGCGCCCAGCTTCTTGCCACCAAGACCAACCTCTGCAAACAGCCTGGCACTGTCTTTGCATTTCTTCAGTGGTGTTTTGCTTGCGGCCAACCTCTGCATATGCCGGACATCTTCACACCCGTTCTCGATGACCTTCACGCACCACGTTGCTCGGATGCGGGGGCTCGAAAAAATACCACAGATCTTTGGAATTGAGATTACTACATCCATGATGTCTGCGTCGACGTCCACGTTCGGAACGCCGGTAGCAGACCTCACCTCGCAAACTTGAGAGTAGAGCGGAGGAGGAGGAAAGGTGGGTGAGGGAAGTCGCAGCTGTTGGCAAGATTGATGATTGATTGATTGATTGATTGATTGCTGCAGTGCTCCTTATATACTGTGTTGCGAACTGGCTCATAAAACTTAATCCCAAGCCGGCGTGAACGACGAATGGCAAAGCTTTTGCCGCAATGCGGAAAACGAAAGCTCTGAAACCTGTGTTTACCCTCAGATGTCTTTCTTTACTTAGTGCTTTCTTTCTTTCGCTATGTCACTTATGTCTTTATTTCATTTGTACAGTTGCACATACCTTGCTTTAGCGATTTCTTTTGTTCTGCCCATGGTTCTCCTTTACGTCGTTCTTTTTTGTTCGTGCTGTATCTCTTTGCTTCATTAACTATGTTAGATTTCTTGGTTCGTTCGGTATTTCTTGATTTCATTCGGCCTGCCCTTCGGTGATTTGTCTGTGGTTATTTATTTGTGTTTCTCGTTCGTTCGTTCGTTTGTTCGTTCCTTCGTTCCTTCCTTCGTTCGTTACATCGGTTTTGGGCTCTCTGTTCATGGCTTTATTTTAGTTCTTGTGTAGTCGCGCGTTTGCTTGCTTGCTTGCTTGCTTGCTTGCAAGGCGTTTAGGTCAGGTACAACACCCTCCCGCCCGGCGCACAGCGGTGCGCCTTGAGTCCGAGTCCGGTCTTGGTGAGGACTGTCGTCTTTATTTCGCCAGCGCTGGGGTGGGGAGTGTCGTGTTTTGTTTTGCTCAAGGGCAAAAGCTGCGAGCAGCCCATCTAAGATTTTGTTGGGATGGGCTCTGCTGTAGAAGGAAGGATATGAGCAATGTGTCCCCGTGCGGGGGTCTGTATGCTAGCAAAAGTTGGTGCCCCAAGTGTCCACGACAAAGTTGCACCACAACAGCAAACACCCAAACTATTCTACTTCGAACATCCCCACCCTAGCGCCTTGTCCTTCCTACACGCAAATCCTAAGACCTAAAGAACCCGAGCAAAAAAAACCTTAAACCCTGGTGTTCCCGAGCACTCCCGCGGGCCGCCACGCCGCAGCCGACAACCCTGGTATTCCCAAGCACTCCCGCGGGCCGCCACGCTGCAGCCGAAAACCCTGGTATTCCCAAGCACTCCCGCGGGCCGCCACGCTGCGGCCAACACAGCAAGATTAGGGCTGGTGTTTCACACGCGTTGTGCTGGGGGTTTAGGTGTGGAACAAGTGTGTTTGTATAGCACAAGATGTTGTGCAAAGTATGACAAAGAGTATGTGTGGAATCTGCTTGTGACAAACGAGTCCGATGCATCTTGAATTAAGTCTCGAGGCTGCGAGGCCCCGGCAGATTCCAAAGTTGGGATTGGGCACTCCAGGGAATTTCACGGTAGTCTGTTGGGTTGGGCACTCCAGGGATTCTCACGGTAGTCTGTGGGGTTGGGCACTCCAGGGATTCTCACGGTAGTCCGTGGGGCTGGGCACTCCAGGGATTCTCACGGTAGTCTATGGGGTTGGGCAATCCAGGGATTCTCACGGTAGTCTGGGCTTGGGCACTCCAGGGATTCTCACCGTAGTCTGTGGGCTTGGGCATTCCAGGGATTCTCACGGTATTCTCACGGTAGTCTGTGGGGTTGGGTACTCCAGCAGGTAATCTCAGCGGGCGAGGAGAAATAGCTGACTTTAAAAGCTTCCAACAACCCTACACCGAGGGTGGGGAAAAAACCCAACCACAGTCGAACAACGCAAGGGAAATGCTCCCCGGACTCAGCGCAGCTGGCTTGTGCTGTGAAGGAACAGCCTGCCTGAATTATCAGCCCTCCGCTCTTATGTTGGTTTGGGCACACCACTTATGTTCTTACGAAGTGCAAACCAAAAAGCCCTCATCAGCGAGTTCAAGACGGCACAGTGCCCTTTTCAAGCGTGTGCCTTTAACAACGAGTGGCAGGTGGATCGAATGATAGAAGTGTACGCGGACAGAGCTTTGCTCCACAAGGCTGCTTCACTTCTGAATGGTTCCACTGGTTCTCAAAATTTCTCAAAGAAAGAATTCTACTCCTCTTAGTTAGTCTTGGTTCCTGTCGCCGTTTTTGGCTGTCCATCTGTGTCTCTGTCTTCATCAACTTCCGCGCACGTCCTTCTCGAGGATGTGCGCCCCCATCTTGCCCAGAACGCTGCTTCGGTGACTAGCTGGGCTCAGCTCGTGGCATAGTGCCAGGTACCCAGTGACGTAGTTGTGGCATCGCTTTTGGTGCCCCGCCTCCTGTCCGGCTACCCCCACGTGAGGTTCGGGCGGCTTCTCGAAGTGGTAAGTCTGTTTGCGGTGGTCCACGGCCCGCCTTTTTGTCATCTCACGTTCGTGGATAACCAATGGCCATCTCCTCTGCCGGTTGTGTGTCCCCTCGAAGATGCACTTGCGCTGCTGGAATGCGCGATGCGGCTCCCACCCTCCTTGGGCCAACGCCTCGGAAGCCGGTGCCTCCCTGGCCTCGTCGTTTGTTCCCTTGGCCCTTGGTGGTGTCCTCTTTTTGGGCAACCTTCGGGGTTTGGTACTCCACCGTTTCGGCTTTTGTTGCCTTGTTTTGATTCTTCTTCTCCAAGCATGTGGGGCGAACGCTTAGGCCTTCTACTATCAACGGCTTTCGTGCCCGCCCCACCTTATTTCTTAGTTTGCCAACCTCTCCTCCGAAGGTGTACTTCTTCTTGGTGTCCCTGCCAGTATCACGATCATTCCCTCCTTGGTCTCCCCCTCCCATTCATGTGCCTTGTTTGTTGTTTGTGCCGACCTCTCTCTCTCTCGCTCTCGTCTTTTGTTCCTTCTTTGTTTTGCTCTTTCTTCCTTTCCTTCGCTCTCTTTTGCGGGGTATGAGCCGTAGGCAGTCCCTATGACCCGCGCAGTCCGCGCGACCCCATCCCCTCATTTGGAAACGTGGGCTTGGCTGTACTGGAACTGAAAAAGAAGACTGCTTCTCCGAGTCTCTAGTCCCCGTTTCGGGCTTGTTTGCTTCACATGAGTCGGTTTTGGGCGGTACTCGGCTCCAGATTTTCCAGGTGCTGGCAAAAGCTGAAACTGGGCAGCCTCGGTGTCACCCTCGTCGCTTGCCAGTCCTCCTTGCGGGTCCCCGTCCTCCTTCTGGTGCTCGCCATGGTGGGCAGTTTGCTATCCCCTGAAACCCATCCCTTGGTCTCCGAGTTCTGGTCCTTGGTCTCTGGTTGTGGCTGAAGTCGGGTGGTGTCGATGCCCATGATGTCCCAAAAAGCATCATCCGATTCTTGTTCTCCGGTCATGCGGGCTAGCCGGAAGATCTCCTCTTGGGTCAGCTCGCGTCCTCTCTTTGGTCCGCTGCCCCGTGCACTTGTAGAAGAAGGCGACGAGGAGCGTGTCACAACTGTACTGGCAGGTGAGGAAGTCGACGAAGAGGAGGACAGGCTTGGTGGTCGGCCGCTTGGCCTTTGACTTCGACTTTGTTGTCGAGTGTCGGGTCCTCGTGGGTCTCGAAGTAGCGAGCTTCTTTCGTCTCTTGGTGTCCCTGGTGCTTGGTGCTGGTCCCTTCCAACTCTTGTGGGAGGTTGTTTGCTGTCTTTCCTGGTTCCCGGTGAGCTGTTCCCCTTCTGCCAGGAGCTGCCTGCTGCTGCCCCTCAGGCCGTGCTCTCATGTAACTCGCAGTCAGGTGCAAATCTGTCGTGTTTCCAGTATTTCCAGTGCTCCTATCATGTAACGAGGCATCTTCGGACTCCGTCCACGATAAGCGGCTGAGTTGATTTTGCCCTGCTTGGTTAGTGTTGCAGGCCTTGTTTTTGCCGGCGGGTCCTCCGCGGCTGAGTTGGTACTCTCGCACCCATCATAGTTCGTGGATCTCCGTCCCGGTGTCCCTGCCAGTAGCACGATCTTTCCACTCTCGGTGTACCCCCCCCATCCGGCGACTTGTTCTTCACGTCTGCGTGGCAGTGGTTCTCGAGCAGCGACTCTGCATTGGCCATTGGGTACTGGTCCGAGTAATTCCCTGCCGTGCGTCTTCACTGCCGAGTCCATTGTAAAAAAACAGGCATGCTGCCGTTCAGTACTGGTGGGCCACCCCTGCCAAAGACAAGGGGCCACGGTCAAGGAGGGCTTTCAGTGACCGTGTTGACCGCTGTGAAGCTGGTGGTCCGAATGGCTTGTGCCCATCTGACGTTACGTCGTCAGACGATTTGATGATTTTCGGTTCTGGTGAAAACATCGGCAGGGGCCGAGCACATGATGGGCTGGCGAAGACGAAGTCTAACGCCGGACAAACTATGAGGACACCACCCTGGAGAGACTTTCTCCAGTCACAAGCCGTTGCCGAGTGCACCTCGAAAGGAGCGGCGGATGACTTGAGCCAAAATGGCACTTTCATTCTCCCTCCTTCTTTCTGTCGCTCTTTTCCTTCTGCTTTCTCTGGCTCCGTCTTTGCTTCTGTCGCTGTCTGTGTGTGTGTGTGTGTGTGTGTTTGCCTTCGCCCTCCTACACACTCGTCCATGCTTGTGCTTGTGAGTCGGAAAACAAGCCTGCGGTAGACGTGAAACAGTCTTCGGCAATGCTTTGTCTACAGTTGTGCAGATGTTTGCTGCGACTATGTTACCGAATCATAGTGGCTTTCCTGTCTGTTGTACTGACTTGTGGGGGGGGGGGGGGTTCATCGAGAAAGCAAGCTGCCTGAGTCATCAGGCAAGAAGGTGAGGCGGGTGGGTGCAGGGGGTCCCCCCAATGACCCGCAAATGGTGTATCAAGGCCAGGGCCTCTGGAGTCTCGTTTGGCGCAAACCAAATCTGTAAACGACAACTGCCGACGACCAAGACAGTATGATTATGATCAACGACATGACTCTTGCAGTTCAGCGCATCAGTCTCTAGCCAGTTTGAGTAGCTCCACGGCTGGCAGATCAGAGACCGAAATCCTTCAAAGCCCCGCGTCTGGACTCATCTGCAAGTACTAGAATCACGTCAGCAGGTCCTCATTTCGGTTCTGAACCGCTGCGGCAGCCATTCGGATATGGCGTCCGCTGCCTCGGCCATCTCCACGATGGCATCGAATCCTTCGCTGCTTGGTGTAATTAAAGCCAATGCTATAAAAAAGGATTACATTGCGAAGGGACGAATGTAAGATCGAGGTGACTAATATTGAACTGAGGAGCCGCTTCTCGAGAGTAGATCGGCCAACAGCCTTAAAGAAGCCAAGGATGCAGATGAGAAGCAGCTGACATCTTGGCCGCTAGAAGTCACTCGATGGAACTTTGGGGCTGTCTGCTCATTTTTGCCGATCATCATCACCATCTCACCCTTACTCTCATTGATCATGCCGACCTGAGTGTCTTGCCGCTGGTGCTCTGGTGGCTGTGAAGGCTCACATGGCCGTGCGCTTCTGCGCAGCCACCTCAAGGTGCGAGCACGAAGTGAAGCATCGGACCTAATCGTCCAGGACATGCTGAGCTGCTGAGGGCTGAGCGTCCAAAGGCGATACGCCTCTCGTGACGTAAGCTCGGGTGGCTCCAGGCGGCAGCGCGCTCGCTCTTGCTCCCAGTGACCACGATGAACTCAGAGAACCCACGCGACGGCTATTGGATTCGGCTCAGTTTTGGGTGGGTCTACATTTGCGCAGCAGAACCGCAAAGCACTCTGACAAATACAGTACCTGGACCAGCAAGCGAGTCGGTTCATTCTGGGCTGGCTAGCCTTTGACTGGGAGGTGGCTGGTGAGAGCATGATGTCTTGCACATAGAAGCAACTGCGACGATACTGAACAAACTGGGGCCGACGCATTTCGAAAACATGGCGCAGTGTGATAACTAATGTTGGCTCATTCGTGCTTCTCTTTCTGTTTGGGTGCCTTCCATCAGTCCTGTACTCACGACCTAGCATATTGTCACGAGCCCTGCGCAGCTGCGGCCAACACCACCTCCATCCCCACACCACGACAGATGAAGGGACCAGAATGACTGTCCAAACCCCATGAGCTAGCGGCTATTCTTTTCTCCACTGGCCAGACCTGGATGTCTTGCGTGGGTTGCAGCCTGACATGCCCTGCTCAGGAGTGTAGTCGTATCATGTCCCTCTTTGTTAGGCCGCAGCCCCTTACAAACTCGTGATTCCAGGCTCCAGGAACGAGCAACGAGCAACCTGCGGCCAGTTGCAGGGGCCCTGCTACGCATCTCGCGCGCGTTTGTGCCTTCGGCCTTGGACTTAGGGAGCTCTTCTGGAATTCTACTTGTAGGATGTTCCTTTCAATCTTGTCCCCAGCCCTTGGACCATGGAGGGCTGAGCTTGGCTCCTAGCGCTTGCTGTGCCAAGCACAACAGCAAGCGCTATGCCCTCGGGATAGTGTAGCTGAAATTATCTTTCGCCAGCGAAAGAGAGCCGACAAGCAGAGCCGGCTGTGCCGGCTCCTGGAAGGCCCCCGGAAAAGGATTACCCAGGCTTCAAAGGGCCTCCAGCTTCCATAGCAAACGCCATCACAGTCTCCGAAGCTCTCAGCTTTGCAGAGCCATTCACTTTTCTCCACATACAAAGAGTTCGTAAAGGGTGAAGGCGGGCTAGAAAGAGTTTCAGGTCTAGTGTGGCACAATTAAGATTGCCTGGACGGGTGCCACGGCAAAGGAGTCCAAGACTCGAAATGTCCAGAACCTTGACGCGCGACTCGGCGCAGGGAGGGCATGCTTTGGGGAAGGTTTCTATAGAAACGGTCTGAAAGCTTGATTCATGGATCTACAGGAAAGCAACACTCCCCGACTGCAGGAAATGGACACAGAGAAAAATTCGACATGGCGGAGTTTGAAGACATCCGCTCTCGGCCCAGCATTGGGGCCGAAGTCGTAAGCACCTCTTCCTGGTAGGGGAGCTTTAGGCAGCTGTTACTTGGTTGATTTTAATTTCCAGATCTCGGATCAGATTGAGGCACATTGATCTCAAATCTTTCGGATTCCCCTGGTGTCGAGAGCGCTCCACACAAGGAATCCGGAAGTCTATCTTCAACTCGGGCCGTGTGTACAGCAGTAGCTATGCAGGCTATGCAAAGGGATTCACGGCCGCATGACCACATGGTGTGGCGCATGGGCAAATTCGCACGTGTCGTTTCAAACGCTTCACAGCTCGGGAACCGCAGGTCCGACATTGGCACAGGGAAGACGTGTGCCAAGCAACCCGCGGCTCTAGGATTTGCAAGTCACCCAAGTGTCGGCGACATGATGGCACTTCCATACCACGGCCTATGCTTTGCTGAGCAACTTGCAAAGGTGGGCTGGCTGCCCTGACGGGGCTTTTTGTGACAAGCGATACACCGTTCCTTATGTGTCTTGCGACTGCGAGGACTGTGAGGATGGTCGTCGCGGCATGACACCTCGCCTGGCGAGAGTAACAAGTCTCATTTCACCCAGATTGGAGGCGGGAAGGGCAGGCCTGTATGTACTGGTACTGCAGTCTGAATCTTCAGGCCCACTTGGTGCGCTGAGAGACAGCTGCCCGGAACCCGAGGAGCGGGTCGGCGGCACGAATGAGTAATCCCAACCACTCACCTCAACAGCACGCTGCAGCACGCGGTATTCGCGCGTAGCGAATGGATTCGAGGTGATGACCCCACGCTCGGAGCCACCGTTCTGCCCGCGTGCATACCTCGCAGCTCAGCTGCAACGACAGCCAGAGTACGCGTACAACAGAAAAACACAGACGGGCCTTCCACGCCAACCTCGTTCTGCCCTGGCAAAAGGACTTTCCGGAGCTCGTCCGGCCAAACCCAACGGGCCATTCCTGTTCGCCAGTTCTCTCCCAGGGTTCAACGGCTGATCCACCGCGCCTGTTCCAGGAAGCTGGCTCATCCAATGGATGCGCCTCTGGGGGCAGCACCTGCTGGAGGAAGCAAACGACTGATCTGTCAAGAAAAATGCCCTGCCATTGCCTCCCGGCGCATCAGCTGGGCGAAGTCGACATCAGCAAAAAACACATGACCCTGCAAGGCCACAAAATGCCACAAAGTCAACGGAGCCAAAGGAGTACAGTAGAAGCGCCTTCACGTCACTGGTGTGGTGCGCACCGATTCGCTTGGCCGGCTCTCGCTCCATGGTTGCCTGGCCAAGGCGGGAGAAAATGTCTTTCTCGGCCCCCCTGCTCAGCCTCTGGAAACCTGCAAACTCAAGTCGTCAGCTATACCTCAATGAAGGAGCGTCCTATGCGCGACACATAGAGCGGCACCTGCACACGGAACAGAACACATTGCTTCATGATGAATCATGTGCGAGCGACATCGACAAGGGCCTCTAGATGAGCATGCTTGATATTCGTAAAGAGGGTCTCCCTGTCGTGGTGATAAAACCTTCGGCACAAGGATGTGGCAGGATGAGAAGGCTGTCAAGCAATCTTGAGCACTCGACGGTGGGAGGCCGGTCAACATATCGTACAACAACACACCCAGATTGTAGATGTCGACTGTATGGTTGTGGCCTCCGACATCAGTAGATAGGGTGGCACAGCTGAAGCACTAGAAAAAGACCGGACCCTGCCTTTCCGCAGGAGAATCTCGGGTGCCAGAAAGGCGACCGAGCCACAAAAAGACTTTGTACCGCGCTGGCCGACACCCTCCTCCGAGCAGACAGCGTGAGACCGCAAAAGTTTGGAAATTTGGTCATGGGATTTCATAGCAATACCGACAGAGATCGATGCCCCGGGCATGCGCAACACATCGGCATAATCACCCCAGAACAGAAGATCTTTCAGTAGTTCGCCCATCTGTCTACAGCATTGACAGACTTGTTGCTAACATTCTGCTGAACCTGGAGACTCGCAATCTGCCTTCGAGAGCCCGAAGTCCGTGAGTAGAGCGTGGTGCGCCTCATCGATGACCACGTTGTCCTCCGGTGAGGAGAACTTTGGGCCGGGCCAGGGCTCTGGGCAAGGGCGTGCCGGCTTCAGGTCGCGGAAAACGGTATGCCTTGCAAGGGATAAAGAGGTCTAAAGGATATCCTAGAGGCCTCACTTCCGCGAAGAACCCCTGCCTCTCATGCAAGTGGATCAAGGCGAGAAGAATTTCAGCCTGGAGTGTTGGGGGGAGTTCCAGGCTTGGGAGTGGCCGAGGCATACCAAGCCCGCGACCGTGTAGACCCTTGACAAATTTTCGCATAGCCGCTTCTCCCGAGTGATCAGGTGCCTCACAGCGCCGCAACGCCGCAAGGCGCCCCAATGGCCCAAGCCCCGAAACCTTGCTACAGATCTCAACCAGTGCTGGGTGTCTGGCTGCAGGTTCCCTCGGGGACAGTACTGGAGCACCAGCACAAGGTGGCTAGGAGTTTGGAATGCATAATGAAGTGAAACGATGTACGGATGGCGAATATAGGCGAGAATGTTCCTCTCGGTCACGGCATATCGAAGAAGGTTGCTGCTCATTATACGGCTCTTCTGCAGCACCTTCATGGCATAGGCTTTTCCGGTTCGCTTATGCTTGACTTGGAAAACTTCTCCGAATGATCCTCGACCGAGGAGGTTGACTAGCTCGAAAGAGTTGGGACCAACCTTCTCCACTCTCGAGCTTCCTTGGCGCATACGAGCAAAGGGTGTCCGGATCTTGGGGGTGCTTGTTCCGCTGCTGGCTGACGGAGATCGTCCTGGTGAGTCTTTCGGCGAAGCTGCCTTGAAAGACTTTGCACTAAACGTCCTGCCGTCCTTCTCGCGCTCAGACTGGGCCTCGTCCAGCTGTCGTGTCAGCTGCATAAGACGGTGTACTGCGTCTGCGCGTGCGTTGCGGAGAAGCAAGCCATTCGCCAGCGGCGTGCGGTCCGCGTAGCCGTCTGCGCAGACTTTTTGAGAGCTTCCCAGGAATGGGGGGTAAGCTGGGCCGCCGAGGCCGGGGCCGGCGCCCAGCTTGGGGCAGAGCAAGGAGGGCCCATGCCCAGGCTGCCCAAGCCCGGGCACGTCCGTAGCCTCGAAAGTACTCAAAGAACTGCTTCCAGTTGCTGTGCTCGCCTCGCTGGAGGCGCTGTTCCGGCGGCTGCTCATCTTGCACCGCTCCGGGACGGAGCACCGCTCCGCTTCAAAGTCCCGGAAGATGCACAGCGTTTGGAGGTCTGACGCCGCCTCGACCGGTCTTTGACCCGATGCGTTGCGAACACCAACTTGGCCGACTTGGCCCTCCTCACGACCATCTAAGTGGTCACGCTCATGCTGAAGCAAGATCTTCACAACCTCGGTGTGACCATTTGCGGCAGCATAGTGCAAGGCCAACTGCTTGTCCTCTGTCTTAGACATCGCATCTGCTCTCGCCTCCAGAAGCAAGTCGACCATCTCGGAACTTCCATAGGCTGAGGCCACATGCAATGGAGTCAAGTGGGTCTTCCTGCTGCAGAAATTCACGTCCGCACCCTGCGAAAGCAGAGCCTCCACTGCTTCGACCACTCCTGAAGCCACAGCCAAGTGCAGAGGCCCCCTGCCCGAAGAGGCACCTGACTTGCAATGAGAATGAACAGCAGCTGGCGGGCCCCCGTCACTGGGATGCGTCAGCTCGTGGATGATCCTGATGTTGCCTTCAGCAGCAGCTTGCAGCAAACGCTCGTCCTCCAGGGATGCCAAGCGTAACATGTCGAGTACCGCCGCTAACTGCTCAGTTTAGGCACGAGGCACCTTGCGCCTCTTCTCGGACCTGAGAACAGAGTGCCGGAGTGGAGGCAAAGCACCAAGTCAAAAGCCGCCAGCTGCTACTAGTAGGCCGCTAGGCTCCGCGCCACCACTGCCGCCAGTGCTTGGATTTGCGCAGCCGACTTGGTTCGGAGGGAAAGCCGACCTTGGCACCCGAAACAGGCCATGGCCCATATTGCGAATTGCGAATGTTTTCAGGCCGTGAGGCAAAGCTTTGGGTCAAGTTGTCCATGGCAAAGGGTCGAACCTGAAAGCTGCACAGATGTGCTGCCCTCGTCGGCAGATGTCGGCAGGCCTCGCCGGTGTCCAGGTTCCGCAGCTGACAAGAATTCGTGAGATTGGGGGCCGTCGACGAGGGATCCTGCGAGGCTTAGCTCCAAAGCCATGCAAGCCTGCGCAGTCGGATCCCGACCTCGAAGACTGTCTCGAAAGGCTCTTCAGCCAGGCTCCTTCACGCTGTGCACATACCAAACAAGAACTCGCCTCGAGATTGACAAGTTCTGGATTTCTCAAATTTAGTGGGCGGCTAGCCATGACCTGAATCTACAGAGGAAGTTTTTCCGGAATAGGCGGGCTGCATGATCATTGAGGATCCCCTGCTAAACCATTCTTTTTGTGAATATGGCAGCGCGGTCAATGTAGGCTCGATTGCCGACTGGCCTCAAGAGCGTCTCGACGGCGGTCTCGACGACGGAGGCGTCCTACACAAGCCACATGAATCAAAGAGACGTGTCGAGCAAGAGCCGCGGGCTCCTTCTCTCTACGGAGGGCCGGGCCACCCGCATCCTCTCAAAGCGACGCGCATACTGGCACCGTGGCAATCCGCGGCACTGGCACGACACGCAGGCGCAGCGGCCAGAGCGAGCCTCGGGGCCTCCTGCCAGTGCGTCCAGTGCCTCCTCGGAGGTCACGGCAACAGGGACTCAGGGACCCAGGGACTGGAGACGCTACGGCCATGGGCCTCACGATCCACCGGACGCAGTGGCAGAAGGGGCTTCTTGGTGGCCTCAGCCCACACCACTTCGGGGCAATGGCAAAGACATCACACGAGCCTCCATGTCGAACGGCGACCCTTGCCTTCCGGCTGGCTGGAGAACCACGGCTTGAAGCAGAAACTCAGGTGCTTAAGGATCCAGAGCCTATTCAGGTGAAATGACTGAGGTTGTAGAGTCGTTGAGGTTACGGGGTTTCATCATGTCCACCAATTGAAACGACTTCTGACTCGAACGATTAAATTTGCCACCGAGCTGAACTTCATCGAGTTCTGAGTGCGGCAGGTTCTGTCTTTTCAGCCTGGGTCTGTCCGTTTGACCCTCCGCAGGCACAGGCCTTCTTGGCCTGTCCATTCGGCTTCCAAGTTCCTGGACTGATGATAGGTTCTGAGTGTTGCCGTGGCTTGCAGACCAGCCACGTAGTGTCAGTCAGCTCCCGCTTCGTTTGTGACTCTCAAGACCCACATCGTTAGGAAATGCATGGGGTGTAAAGGTCCAGCCATTCCCTTCGAAACGACGGGTCAGAAATTCGCCTGATCCAACCGCCCTGATGCCTTTTATCCGCAGAGGTCTATGCTGAGCCAGCCTTTGGCCTATTACACCGAAAGCCAGCTACCGACTTGCGTCCAGCTCTAAACCCCTCTACCCCTCTGTCTCGCTTCAGCCGGCCGCCTTTAGGCCGCCTTTAGGGCTGAAGAGGCTTCGACACCGCCCCAGACTCCTCTTCTGCGGAAGCCTACTACGACCTGTGTGAAGTCTTCACAACCGGAAAACAAACAAGATGGTCAGATCTGTTGCAATTCACCGGCGGACCAAGCTACCAGTGACCTTTAAGGGGCAGCTTGTCAGACGAGACACATTATCCGACAATCCCCGCCTCACAGGTATTGAGGCACATCCCCCCGCCGCGTCTGCTTGTGACATGAGCTCTGCTTTGCAGGGTCTTCAAGCTGCAGTGGGCTTGGAACACGTCAACCGCTCTTGCGTGCCTCCCAGATTTGCACGTTGGGTATGTTTTGCTGAATGGATAGGACCGTGTACCAAGAAATCAGACTTCGCCGGCTGCGGTAGTGCTTCAACGTACAAAAGACTCTCATGCGCTGGCAACACCCAAACACCCAGGACTGCAGACAAACATGCTGTGGTGCAGAGCGGTACTTTTATTCTACCTTTGACAGTCAGGAGCTGCAACACCGCTTGTCTTCTTGACTTTGCTTGAACTCGGGCTGCTCTGGATCGAAAGCTCCTTGCTTTGCTAGCTGCTAGCTGCTTGCATGACGACAGGAAATCTCTGTGACAGACTCCTGGGCAGCGAAGGCCCCGTTCAGTAGTACCGATTGATTCCATCGCATCCCCGCAACAAGCGGCGATAAGCTGTTTGTCGCTCAATGTGACAAGTCGCTGTACACCGTCCTAGGCCTCCTACCCTGTGCCTTTAGTAGCATCTTTGGGGCCCATCAGCGACCCCCAGTCAGACCAGGTTTCTGCCGGGATTGCAAACAATCGCAATGCTCATCCTGTACTTGCAGCTGGTCGGCTTAATACACAAGAACCCACCGACAAAAGCGTATTGTGGCTTCTTCACGAAACCCAGATCCGGGCCCAAACGGCCAAGGTTCTGCAATTGAGAGTTCACGGCCCGCAACAGCAAGTGCCTTACGTCTACTGTAGCGACCTTTCTGCGGGACTAACAGAACCTCGAAAGTCAACAGATGCGGCTTTGCTCTTCTTCAAAGGAGAGCCAAAGCTTCAAGTGCAAGTTGACGCAGATTGCCCTGCAGCTAAAACACGATCACTTGATCCTGGCATCCGTCGATGAGCTGTGCATCGCTGTGCGTGATCAGTTCCAATTTCAATGGCCGCAGCCTGGCAAAACGAATGCTCATGTATACTGCTCCTTTGCGTGGAAGGGCCAGGCCAAACTGACTGAGGGGCCGACTGGGAAAAAAGGCGATGTGTCGACGCGAAGTCCCTGATTTCTTGAACCCTCACGTCGGACATTCAAATGCCGCGTATCACCTTGGCCGAGTAAGGCAGGGAAGCAAGATCGCCAGTCACGCTGTAGACGTTCACACCACATAAACATGAACCCTCCAATTCTGACCCTTCGTGGAGACTATCCCCACTTGCCCACCGTCTTCCTGCATCCAAGCAGCTTCTGAAGGTCTCGATGGATAGACACATGTTCAAAAGTGAGAAAACCGCAGTCACGCGGTCATGCCCAAACAGAGCTTTGTTCGCGCTTGTCCCAAGCAACTTTCGAAGCGAGACAAGAACTGGCAAAATCTGCCCGTGCCAAAGTCCTTCACCGAGCAGGTGTGTGTTGATTGGGGAATCTGGCTGAGTGCAGACAGATGGACTTGCGGACGGGCGAAGACCCGCCACAAGGAAGCCGCTCTTTGCAGCTAGCCGGGGCAAATGGCGCAAATTTACTTCATACAGAAAAAACACTCACGTGCAGTAGCTCCAGTTGTTCTCATGAATGTAGTCTTCACTATATCCTCGCTACATCACAGATGCTGCACGTGCATTGCTTGGCATCGTGACCGATCAGCTTATGCTTCCTTTCTGAAGCATCAACTGACTGACACGACAGTCTGGCGGCCGAATTACAGCACGCATGTAGAAATGATTCAGTGACGGTGACGTAGCATGGATAAGTATCCAGCGCACCTTGGAATGTCTCTTGGTATCAAAGGCATGGAGACAAGAGAGCCAGCACTGTCACCCGCTGGGAAGGTGTGCCATGTAGGTAGAGTATCAGCTGTGGCAAAGAGGGCTTGTGACAGGCCAGGCTCAGGACGATCCGCCGCATGAAGGGCTGTCACGCCCCGCAAATTCTTGGGCCTGAGACTCCCCGCATGTGGTAAACAGTATCACACGTGGAAGTGGCTTTGATACCGTGTGATATTGACCTGTTTCTTTTGTACGTGTGCGTAGGTGTGGTTTGTGCGAGGGATGGAGACAGGCCAAGAGTCAAACATTCGTAAACATTCAGCTCCATCGCTCGATTGCCGTGCGGAAGGCACAGAAGGTCGATGTGGAATATGAGGAGTCAGCTTACATCGAGTATTTCATTGCAACACGGCCAAGCGACGAACATGTTCAGACAATACGGGCCGAGGATGTGCAGAATCGATGCTGGAAGGCACACTAGCTTTGGGCGAATTAACGCCTGTTTCTGCACATCCATTCCGTGAGCGTGCATCGTCCGGAAAAGAGTGAGCTTGTCACAGGCTACACGTCCGTGCAGCTCCTCTTCAAGTGCTCCAAGAACGACTGCCTGCAAACGAATTCTTTACAGCCTGTGCTTGTGCATGGGCCCCGCGCGGTGGCTCCATGATCCAAGTCCGTTCGGACAAATGGAAAAATGAAAAACCTTCAAGACCCTTGCTACTCACAGCAAATGTTGCCCCTAAAAAAAACATAGACGAAGAAATCTTGCGCAAAGTGAGTAAGTGACTGACGATTTTGTGTGTTTTTTTGTATTGCCGAGTCCAAGGCCCAGCGCCTTTGGATCCCAGTGTGTCAAGATATATCGCTCTCAAAAGCGATCAAGGGGGCAACATTCACGAAGATGTGATGTGGGGGGGAAGTCTCCAATGCCCAAAGACAGCAACAGTCCCAACATCTTAGTAGCTAACAGTATATCTTTGACATACTTGGGTGGAAGACTAACCATGGCTGGGGTGTAATGTGCAATTGCCAGGCACAACGTCAAGAAACGATGAAGCAATTGCCCGCCAGTCGTTGGGTCCTGAAACCACTGATCACTCAATCGAAGTTCGGTGTGCACCGCATGCAATAGGGCCACGTTCGTGCCGGTTGGTCAAGGATTGGAACACCTGCCACCAGCGTCTACCTGTTTTACAGCACTAAGGACGCCCTGCCGCTCCTTCTTTGCGGACGGTCTGCGACGCAGCAAGCCTGGTCGGCTGCACGCGTGAGTGCTGCAAGCACGAGTTCTTCTTCTTTCCGATTGACGCTCAGAAACAAAGGCCAGAAGCAGATCATGCCCTTGCAAATTCATTTACATGCACGCACACAGACACACCTACAGACACACATACACAAACAAACAACCAACCAAACAAACAAACACACGCACGCACGCACAGATACACCTCCGAGCAAACATGTCGCAGCCAAACAAAGGCAATCAGAAAACGTGAGGGACTTGGCTGGAAGGCAAGCTGCTTTGACCTTCTTGTTCTCATCCAGTGGGCAGATTTCAAGTCTGCCCAAAGCCCGGTACGTACCGAGATGATGGAAACCCACGACCACGAGGGAAAGGACGGGCGAGGAATTGAGACGATGAGGAAGATGAGGATGACGGTCATTAGTCATAGCGATGATATATAAGGCTGATGACGACGAGGACGATGAGAAGGAAGAGGAGGAGGAGGAGGAGGATGGTGATGTGCGGTGAGCCCGAAAGGGGTAATGGTGGGAAGCCAAAGACCAAAACACGAAATGATGGTGCTGAAATCTAAAACTTTGCAAAGAGATGATGAATGAGAAACCTTCAACATCACGCACATGATGGAGAGGAAGCCGTCAACCGAATCACATGATGCTTGTTGAGTGGGGGGTCTGGCGGGCGACGTCGAACTGGAGGACTACTTCACATGAGCTTGACTTTTGTTTGCAGATGCAGTCCATCCCAGCCAGCGAACCGTAGATTTTGATTGCCGCGAAAACTCCTAGGCCTGCGCCCGAAACCTGGAAAGCAATCGGCGCACGGTTTCAGGCGTCTGGCGTTCCCCGCCCCCTGCCCCCCGCAATGGTGTGGTCTGGTAGGGTGGGGGCGGGGGGAGGTTGGCATGTGCGGATAGGGATCGGAGCCAGGTGCCACACGCAAGCCCTACGCAAGCCATAAACCACATAAGATAGCGCATGCTTCTGTCTATATGAACCTTAACCTGTACATTAAACCCTACACCCAACCCTGAACCCCGCCTGAATGCAAGCTCTAAGCCCAAAGCAGAGCATGAACCGTCAACCCTGACGAACCTAGCAGGACCTAGCACTTGTCGATCGAAGCCTGATATTCTTTAAACAGTCGCTCAACTTCATTTTCACCTGCGCTCTGGAGTAGATCCGAAGAGTTCAAGTGGACTATGGAATCAGTCGCTCAACTTCATTTTCACCTGCGCTCTGGAGTAGATCCGAAGAGTTCAAGTGGCCAGCAGCCTTTGCCGCCACATAAAACTCAACATGTGAGCTCACACAGCCCCGTACTTTCCCGTGTCTTCCACCTCTTCGCTCAAAGGTCGTTACCAAACAGTAGGAACCAGGACGTAGTCGGAACTTTAGCCTTGGACCATTGCTTGGCTTTCCGGAGGAGCTCAGGAAAAGCAGAGGCGCACTGAAGGACTCTTTGACGGACTTCTGGAGGTTGGTCTGAAAGAAAAGTCGCTGCTTCGACCTCCTGAAGGTAGATTTCCATGACCCGCGGGCTTAGCCAGCGGCCGCGTCTCCTGACTAAATCAGGATTGTCACTGCTCTGAAGAAGCCACGTGGCGCCGCCCGGCCGAAAGGAGCCGAGCTCGAGGCTCCTTGCTTCATTCTTATTAACTGGCAGCCCAAGAGTCTCGCAGACTTTCTTGAACCTGGTTCGCAGGGTCTGTCCAGAAAAAGGCCAAAGCCGAGCTCCTCGAGGCAGGTCAGAGAAGGAGAGAATAATAATTTCCAGAAGGTCTGACAAGTCTACCTTTGCTGCTTGGTGCTTTGCCGCTCTGCGGCGAGTCTTTGGCTCTTCAATCCTCAGGAGAGCAAAAGGTTGGCTGCCCAGTACGTCCTGTGGTAGCACCAAGTGCCGTCGGAGCGAGAACAGAACTTCGCCCGGGCGACACAGGCCTCCCCACATAAGAGCAAAGAGGCCGGCCTCTTTTGTCCATCCCCAAATCAGGCAGACGCTCAGCATCGCAACCAGTACGATCCCCGGCAGCGCAAGGTGATGCACGTGAGGTTCGACCTCCAACCAGTTGAAAGCCAGGTCCCAAGCGGCAGTCAGTTGCCGTCTAAGGAGAGGTCTCGCAGCCGCTATTGCGTTGATCAGCTCAGAGTAGTGTCCATACGGCCGCCCTTCTCGAAAAAGCTTCTGCCCGAACTCGACGACTATACGGTTTACAGTCTCGGAGTCCAGGCCTGCTACACCAATGATCTTTTCGAGGGAGTACTCGCTTGATGCAGTAAGCCACCTGCCAAAGTCGTCCAGCCGTCGCTGTCGGTGGTCGCCAGTTCTGGGCAGGACAGCTCGCTGAGAGCTCAGTTGTGTGGTAGCTCGAGCGGCGGCCCTTTGGGCGTAGTTTTCGCCGGCAGGGGCGGCGGCGCATCCATGGCAGCAGAGACCTACAGCCCAGAACACCCTGAAGAAACCCAGCACAGAGGCGCGGCAGGCAGCAGAGCAGCAGGAGGCAGCGAAGACAAAGCAAGCAGAGACTAAGTCCAGATCTCCTCCATAGTAGGAGGGCGACGTATCTTCAGAAGTCCACTCAAAGTCCAAAGAGGCCCCGAACGAAGGAGGGCTAGAAGAAAAGGTAGGGCCGGTAGAAGGCAGGCCCAGAACAGGAGAACTGGAGGACAAAATGTCCGTAACACACACCTTTTGAAATCCATCTGCAGTCGGCCGGGAGATAGGCATACTTTTGCCTGGCAGGCAGAGCGTCAGGAGGCAGGCCAGACGCAGCCAGTTAGCAGCAAACCTTCTTACCCTAACGCGAGCAAGAAGCTCGTTGGTCTCGCGAGGGATGGCTCGGCCTACAGAGGTCCCGGAAGGGCTTCTAACTTCACAGTTTCTAGTGGGGTCGTCAGCTATGTTCAATCTGGTGGGAGCAAACCCCTCAGCATAGTATACGCCTTTTGCTAGGGCGAGCGCGCTGACCTGGCAGAGTACCCTACGCAGCTTGTGGCTGGAGGTCCTGCCCTTCGAGGCGGCAGCAAGAGCAACGGCCGAGTCGAAAAGGTGGAGGACGCGACGGTCAGTCTCGTCAGAGGGCAGCTCCTTGAGCAAAGTGACCAGTCCTCGTAATTCGAGCAAGTTGATGTGCTCAGCGAACTTCCACTTCCATACCTTTTCAAGCTGCCAGGTCCTCGAAATTAGGAGGTCATTGATAACAGGTGATTCAAGTCCCGAGACCTCAACATGATGAGCCCTCTCGGTCCTTCTGTCCCCAACGATCTGCTGGACAAAGACTGCAGCAACCTCCCTAGCAAAACGCTCGCTCTCCTTTCTAGGGTGCGCCTCTCTACCTGGAAAGAGGGAGCCCAGGCTGCTCACATCGATGTTGCTTGCAAGTAGGCGGTAGCAGCCTTTTGGGCCTCTTCGCTGAGCGGCAGATACAAGCGGGATCTCAACCGTGCCCTCGTGAGTCAGCGCTCTCTGCCATAGCTCCTCAGAAGAGCTTTCTTTCTGAGGCGTCCCAACCAACACAGCCGGCCGACCGTAGGTTCGGGCACTCAAAACGACAAAGAGGGACCTGCGGAAGGCGAGGCCATCAGCTCCTGGAAAACAAAGGAAGACGCTCAGGACTCTGCCCTCCTGAAGCATGCCGATGATCCAATGCAGTGCGTCGAGCTTCCGTATATCATACTGCTTGCTGATGGAGGGGTCGAGAGGGGGGCAGCAAACGAGACCTAGACCGTGGCAGCTGGCGGTCACGAGACCTACATCCTTCCCGGACCCAACCTCTAGGAAGTCAAACCTGAAGGGAGGGTTCTTTGCCGGCTGAGGGACAGCCTGGTCGGGCCAGATCTCCTCGAGGAGAGGATCGCCTAACCCCTTCAGGAGAGCCCTAGGCGCAGAGTCCAGCCTGGAGTACCCCCCTTTTTTCTCAGAGTTCCTCCAGAGGGTGGCAGCTTCCTCCTTCGAGATGGGGGTGGAGACCAACGCCCCTTTTGCCAGCGAAGCATCTGACGCGAAGAGTGTCGGGATCAACTGGGCCCCTATGTTCGTGATCATAAAGAACGACAAAACACTGGCGAGCACAAGTTCATCGGCGACCCCCCTAGAAAGACTCAAGACCTTATTGCTAGGACCCTGCTGCGCCTCACAAGAATGTATCAACTGATAAACCTTGGCAAAGGCAACAGAGGTAGGTCGCCGATACATCATGCAGTGGACCCAGCTCCCAACGAGCCTCTCAAGTAGAGCCCTAGTGGTGACCCGGAGCCTTGCTGCCCCAAGGGACGCGAGACAAAGGGCACAACGCTTGACGGCAGGCGACGAGACTGAGATCAGGTTGTCTCGCAGAGCACGCTCGCTAGAGTCTATTTGGGCGCCGGCAACAACGTAGGTAAGCTCGTTGGTGAGGTCTTTCTCGGGTGAACCGGGGATGTCGAGCTTCCGATACACCTCGTGCGCCGCATCGATCAGCCTCCTCGACTCTGTCGTGGCCTCGGGCCCCCTTCTCTTGAAATCCTGGAGCTTGGAGCTGCTTTCCTCGCTCAAGGCAAAGAAATCGTCAATGATTAGCCCTTGGTAAATCGGACCAGGAGGGCAGGGGGACTTGCCTTTCAGGCGAGATGGCTCATCGAGCAACATTGCTTCCCGTAGCACCCCCTCATGCGCACTCGTCGCGATTTCAACCCCCGCGTGGTCGCCTTGGAAAAGGCTCGTGAAGACCGGCTGGAGGGTCTTGCAGGCGGAGCGGGACAGTCGCTCAGTCCATTCGGAAGCGTCCTTAGAGACTCCCGGCGGCCGAGGGCAAGCTTTAGCGAAACCAATGGCGGCACCGATGGGAACACGCATGCCGACCGGATTGCAAGCGGATCTCTCATCAGAAGTCATGATCTGATGGTAGAAATCCCTTCTATCGGTTATGGAGCCGCACAGGAGGGACTTTGGCCGCAGCAGGATGTTGCAGATCAGGGCTCCAGGTGGAAGCTCTCGAGAAGGCCCTTCGAGGCATCGCTCGATGCCGTTT